GCAATGTCATAAGTTGTAATATAGTGTTAAATATGACATTTAGGAAATTCCTAAAAACATTTCCAATCATTTGTCTGAAGCTCTCTTCTCTCTTTTCTAAATCATCTATTCTTCAAAAATACCAGGGAAAAATCATTGAGAAATTTTTACTCAACGTTTACTTTGAGAATAGCTTATATGTATCTGTTGTACAATTTTTATTATCTTTACTATAAAAAAGAATCAGTTCAGAAGGCATCATTTTTGGTCACTCTATGTATAATTTCAACACTTTCAAAATTTTCACACATCATTTTAAAAGTTTTTTGCAAATTTTAAACCTAGGAGAAAGTTAAAAGATTGGTGTACAATTAATCCCACTATTCCCACCATCTAGAATGTGTCTTTTATGTTTTGCTATATTTTGTTTTATACAACCTGCTATCCATCCATCCATCCATCCATCCATCCATCCATCTATCCATCCATCCATCCATCCATCCTTCTAGAGATCTATCAATTTGTTTTATTTTTGGTCATTTTAAAGTGGAATTTAAAACATTAACACACTGCCTCTTTAAACTCTTCAAAATGCACACCTTTAAATACAGCTATAGACATCTGTAGTTCATTTTTTCTCTTTTGATATAAAACGTACATACAAGAAAATGTGCAAATTGTACGTGAACCATTTGATAACTTTTGACCACAGTACACCTGTGCGACTCAAACCTCTGTTGAGATAACAGAACAATGTTATCACCCCAAAGAGTTGACTGCCACCCTTCCCTGGTTAACCCTTACCTCTCCTTTTCTCTCCCCCAAGAGACCATCAGTGCTCTGATTTTCATAACTGTGGAATCATACCATGTGTGTTCTTGTTTCTAGCTTTTTTTCCTTAGCACAATGCTTCTGAGTGATGTCCACGTTGTTGCACGTGTCAGTAGCTTCTTTTCTTTTCTAAGTAACGTTCCTGTGTGTGGATCTACTGTAGTTTGTTTAGCCATCCTCCAGTGACAGACACTTCTGCAGCATTCTGAGCTGAGTTGGTCATAAGTCACTAAACCTATGGGCTTTTGTGAAACTTTTGTGAAATGTATAGGCTATCTCAGTCATTATTTCCACTTCTCAACTGGGAGACTTGTGAGAAAAAACTTTTGCAAGCATTTAGCCTTTTAAGTTGAAATTCATGAGAATCTTACTTTGTTTCTTCACTTTTTTGTTTTTACATCGTTACTAGTTTGAAAGGCTTTGTCTCCTCCTTGTTTATAAGTATCTTGCAGAAATTGGCATTAGTGAGACGCCTGGCCTGTATTGTGATCCACAGTTATTGAGAACAAATGCCTACAAAATTATTCTTTTGGAAGGAAGGATAAGCCATGCTGGCCAAAGAGGACAGAATAGGAGGTTCAGAAACAAATACCATTGCATCAAGGTCAAATGAAACTGATGGGAAATGACTAGCATGGGGCCAAATATTGACATTCCACATTCAAGTTTGTCTTTGTTGCCTCTTCCTTAGTTTTCCCGATTCACTCTTTTTCATTCACTTGGGATGTTTCCTCTGTTCTTTCTTTACTGCTGTGCCATCATTTTAAGAATCGTGGAACATTCTTCTTCTATTCTCTGCAGACAAGGTACCTCGAGCAATTGCTCTGAAATCAACCACTGGAACCTTCCTCTGAATCTCAGGCAACATGTCACCTCTCACAGGAGGGGGAGAGAGGGAAGGGTTGTATTTACAGGCTTTATTTTTGCCAGTCAAATTAGACGGTGAGAGAGACTGCTTCTTGTTCGGAGCATGTTAGATGGTAGTAAGGAGAAAAAGGAATATTTTTGGTGTGGTATCAAGAATTTCCCAGTGATCCTAAAAGAACTCTATGTCTTCTGCTGCTTCCTCTGCCCTCCCATAACGTGGACCCTGACCAAAAGAGGCAGAACAAGTTAACATCAGTGCAGGCATCACTGATAGGCTTGACTATCTCTAAGGCTCTGCAAGAAGGAAAGATAACCTCCTTTGGAAGAGAGAAATAGCAGCAATCTTACTTAATGTGCTTATTAAAGATTCACCTTTCCTAAATGCAGGCTTCTAATACCATGTCTTAAAAGTGGTTACAATGATAAATCTCCATGTTATGTCTATTTTACCACAATAAAAAACGCTTCTTATCAGGAATGGAGAACATGGTTCTGATCTCAGGCTTTTCATAGTTTAACAGTGAAGCCAATGTTCCTTTTGTGCTCTAACTTTCCCTGCTGAAAATGAAGGGAGGGTAAGAGTATTTGGAAGCCCTTACTTAACACCTATGTGAGTGCACAGCATAGTAATTTGATGCATACTTAAGCCTAAAGAGCCCTGATCATTCACCTTCCTATCTGGAATGCCATCAACATAGGGAATAATTTGTGATGTGAATACTAAATGCGCCTCTGATCTTTTCTTTCTCAATACTCAGATTCAGAGGTTGCTTTCATACAATATAAATAATCTTAAAACAAATACCATTTTATTATCTCTGTATATTTGATTTTTTTAAGATTCCACATATAAATGAGACCCTACAGGGTTTTTTTCCCACTTCTGGCTTATTTCATTTAGCATAATGTCCTCCAGGTCCATCCATATCATGGCAAATGGCAGAATCCCTACTTTTTAAGGCTGAATAATATTCCATTTTATACACACACACATTATTATATACATACACACATAGTCACACACACACACAAACACATATATTCACACACATATATTCACACACACATACACACATATATATACACACACACACACAAAAACATTCAGACACATACCTACACACTCATATATATTCACACACACAAACACATATATTCACACACATACATACACGTTCATACCACATATACATACACACATATATATTCACACATATATACATGCACATGCATATATTTTATTCACATAAATACATACACACATATATTCACATACATATACATACAAACACATATATATTCACATACATATACACATACACACACATATACATGGAAACATCCTAAGTGTCCATTGACAGGGGAATGAATAAAAAGAATGCTACACACACACACGTATTCACACACATATATACATACATGCACCTATATTCACACACATATATACGGATACTCATATTCATACATACATGCACACACATATATATTCACACACATATACAATACAAAGACACACACATATATATTCACACATGTATACACACACACACATATGGAAACATCCTAAGTGTCCATTGACAGAGGAATAAAGAGAATGCTACACACACACACACACACACACACACACACACACACACACAGAGGCATATATTAATATATTAAACATTATCTTTATCCATTCCTGTTTTAAACACTTAGAATGTCTCTATATATTGGCTAGTATGAATAATGCTGCAATGATGACGGGAGTGCAGACATCTTTATAAGCTGGCGACTTTATCTCCTTCAAATATATACCCAGAAGAGGAATTGCTGGGTCATATGCTAGTTCCATTTTTAATTTACTTAGAAATATCCATACTGTTTTCCATAATGCCTGTAGCAATCTGCATTCTCACCAACAGCTACCAGGGGTGAGAGGAAACAGGGAGGAGTTGATGAACTGATGCAAAGTAGCACATGTGCAGGATGAAGTCTAGAGAGCTAATGTACAACAAGAGGACTAAAGTTAGTGAAATCATATTGCATTAGTGATTTTAGTTAAATCAGTAGATTTTACTGCTCTTGTTACAAAAAAGTAACTATTGAGATGATAGTTATGTTAATTTGCTTCACTACAATACCATTTTACTGTCTATATGTATCCTTCCCATACCACCATGTTGTAAACCTCAGGCATACACAATAAAATTTACTTTACAAAAGAAAAAGATCCCATGAAATTTTTATATGGGATTTTATATAGTAAAGGGGGCCATACAGCTAGACATCAAGAAATGCCCGTACTTTTGGTGGTATTGTCTGGTTTCCATTCAACCATTAGTTATGAGATAGAATCAAGCCAAAGAAAACTTATTTAAGGTTTATTTTACCATTTATAAAACCAGATGCACACTGTTGCTTCTCTGGCCAGAGATGTTGCAACTTAAATAGGCATTTCTAGGATACCATGGAAGTGCACAGAGTGTAATTGCTACCAGTCCCTTTGGTGCACATTTTTGAGGAGGCCATGGTTAGGGAGCAGCACAGCCTAGTGGCCATAGTACAGACTGGTTCTCAGGATCATGGTTCTTCAGAGCTGGACTCTTCCAATGACCATTGTGTACCCTTGAGTATGTCACATACAGATGACACAGAAATCACAATGAAAATATCACCACTTAATATTCCACCTACAAATGTGGGGGAAGGAAAATAGAAACTCCCCAACCTTTCAAATTGTCCTGCTTGCCTACATCTAACTCAAAAAGGTATGTGTAAGTTTATGTAATTAGAAGGCCAAACGCCAGTGGCTCATGCCTATAATCCCAGCACTTTGGGAGGCCAAGGCAGGAGGACAGTTTGAGGCCAGGAGTTCAAGACCAGCCTGATCAACATGACAAAACCCCATCTCCACAAAAAAATACAAAAATGGTGGTATATGCCTGTAATCCCAGGTACTACTGGGCAGGGGTGGGGGGGTGCTGCAGCGTGGGAATTGCGTCAACCCAGGAGGTGAAGGTTGCAGTGAGCTGAGATCACACCACTGCACTTCAGCCTGGGCGACAGTGAGATTGTCTCAAATATATATATATATATATAGTTAGTTAGTTAGTTAGTAACTCCATGCTTTAAAATAGAGATTTATATACAGGAGATAAGATATCATGGTAGAGGAAAGTTAATACTTCCAAAGGAAATGAGACACTCAAAAGATTACATTATTTTACAAAAATCTGTAAGAATACCAGCACCATAGTTGTTATTGTTACCTAGGGAGCAATTTAAAAGGAAAACCGTCTCCAATGATAAATCAGAAGCTTTTTTTTTTTTTTTAATATCAGAGCAGAATACAAACCAGAGAAGCTTCCTTCACATTCCTTTGAGATTGACCATGAAGATGCTGATAAGGATGAAGTAAGTAAAGAGTTGAAAGTGAGATGTTTAAAACATGAGGATAATTAGTTTGTCTTGCAGTAAAAGTTTTGAGTTCTGACTGGTTTGTTGTAAGTTGTAGTAGCTGTTGGCGGTAGGGCTTTTAGTCAAAATGAATCACGTTTGTTCTGAAATTGAACATGCTTATTCAAGATAAGTCAAAGAGAGGAAAAGAAGTCTCTTTTTTAAATGCAGTGTCTACCTATGATCTAGGGTCCACAAAAGATGGCTGTCATGCTAATATGCCTTTCCAACAGGATACCACTTCCCACTCGTCTTCCAAGGGGGGTGGAGGAGCAGGAGGAACTGGCGTTTTCAAGTCCGGCTGGCTCTACAAGGGGAATTTTAACAGCACCGTGAACAACACCGTTACTGTTCGGGTAAGGAGACATCAAGACTCATCTTTGTCTCTGTCACCTTTCTTAACACTCCCTCCTCAGGTCACAGAACAGAAAAGAGCCATTTTCATTGAGTTTATGTTTCATGTAATATTTTATTTATGAGGAAGTAGGGATGCTCTTCTCTAGAAAAAATGTCCTAGAAATATAGCACTCCTGAAGGAATTAGAATAATTCTAATTTCTATGAGTAAGAGCACATTACAATTTGAATATCTCCTTATATCTTTTAGTCATTCAAAAAGCGCTACTTCCAGCTGACTCAGTTGCCAGATAATTCCTACATTATGAATTTTTACAAAGATGAGAAAATATCCAAAGAACCCAAAGGATGCATCTTTTTGGATTCCTGTACAGGAGTGGTGCAGGTGAGTAGAAATCCCTTTTCCTCCTTGGGATATTTCTTTTATTTGAAAAGTATATTTAACAAATATTCATGGAGTATCTGATATGAGCCAAGAGCTGCTGTGGACTCTAAGAATTCTGTGACAAACAAGGCAGCCTGGATCTCTGCTTTCACAAATCTTACTTTCCAGAGAGAAAGGAAAACAGGAAATAAGCAAAGACATGAATAAGCAGAATGGAATCAGCTGTTAAACTTTTCAATAAAGAAAATAAACAGAGAAACATAAGGGAGACAGAAGATTGGTGAGGATGAAAAGGAATATTAATACTCAATAAGGGAGAAGAGTATTTTTGAAGACAGATAATTTGATCTGCAAACTAAAGAATGAGCAGAGGGCCAGGCGTGGTGGCTCACGCCTGTAATCCCAACACTTTGGGAGGCCAAGGTGGGCGGATCACGAGGTCAGGAGTTCGAGATCAGCTGGGCCAACATGGTGAAACCCCATCTCTACTAAAAATACAAAAATTAGCCAGATATGGTGGCACAGGCCTGTAATCCCAGCTACTGGGGAGGCTAAGGCAGGAGAATCACTTGAACCCAGGAGGCAGAGGTTGCAGTGAGCTGAGATCGTGCAACTGCACTCCAGACTGGGTGACAGAGCAAGACTCTGTCTCAAAAAACAAACAAACAAACAACAAAAAAAGAATGGGCAGAGGCAGCAAGTGTAAAGGCCCTGTGGCAGGGGCGAGTCTCAGATATTCAAAGAGAAGCAGAAAATTAGCACCCATGTTTGCTGCCATGTAGAGAACCCCTGAGATCATGAAATTCAGTAAAGTAATATCTAAATGACATAGTATTAACATAGGCACTTCAAATATGTTATTTTATAATTAGGTAATAATGATAGAGTAAGTTGACTGTGTACATATGCAGCATCTTTCTCCTAAGAGGTGGTTTTCTTCAAAGACAAGGATTCCATTGATTCCAAAGAGTCCAATTTCAAAAACAGACATAGTGCTTTTAACAAATAATGTTCTGTCAACTCTCGGTCTTCCAATTATTTGTCCTTAGTATGAAATTCAACATGGGCCACTGTGGCAAAGGGAAGCAGAGTAATTCCATAGACCCCATTTGGACATTTTAGTTTCAAAACGCTGCGTCCTACTCTGATGAAATAACTAACCTTATTCCCTTTTATGTAGTCACGGAGCAATCAAAAGTGTTTTAGCAATCTTCCCTCAAATTTCACAATGACACTGGCTCACTGAGGTCCAGGACTCTATTTCTGGTCACAGGCCAGTAGAGAAGTACTTTTTGTTACCCTCAAACCTCAGCATTCACCTAGCTTGTTACGAGCTGAGATGACATCACAGACCACTCCTGGAGGCCCCTGGATATGCGGATGCAAGTAGAGTTCTCTCCAGTCTAAATGATTTAGTCCTGGCCTATTTCTGGATGGTTTATCTGTTAAAATCTGGAATTCTTCCAGGAAGCAATAAAGCTGAACTTTAAAAGGAAAGAATTAATTGTTTCTGAGCACTCTGCCACAAGTGAAAGATGATTGCATTTTAACACAGATGCCAGCTTTCCACAGGGAAAGGGCAATAATGACCTTAATGGAAGGTGGAAATTGTTTTCTATCGTTGATCACAAAGGACACTTTTTGGCCTTAGAAACATGAAGTAAAACGTTAGCAATAAAGATCAATAACTGCGTTTTATAGACATTGAGCTGAAAATTTTAAATATTATCCTTTCCATTTGTACTTGAAAGCTTTCTCCAGCAAATGAGTCATCATTTTTTAAGACACATCATTGTAGTCTTTTGTTATATATTAAGTTTGCAGAAACACAGGTTAATATGCAATATTTTTCTTCTTCAAATAATCATAGAACTTACTGCTCTAATCTGCCCTTCCTATGGAGGAACTGCTTCTCCATCATCTCTTACTTAGATTGTGTTTCAGTCTCTGCTTAAACATTGTCATGGAAAAAAAGGAGTCTTGAAGGGAAAACACAAGCGTGAGGTTCACGCAGGTCAGCATTCAAATCCTAGTTTGACCATTTACTATCTGAAGACTTTGAGAAAGTTACTCGACCAATTTGATCTCAGATTCCTCATTTGTAAAACCAGAACGATGTACTAGCATGAGAAAAGAACTGGGAGATAGTGTATTTAGCCCTTCTGCCCTACTTCTTCCATTAATTTCAAAGGTCACAACCTAGGATATAGACATTCCATTATGGGAAAGCCTTCCTAGAAAACCTTGATTTACCTTCCGGATATTTTTTCCAAAGTGTGTTAATTTATCATGTCTTTAGTCATTAATCTACTGATGCATTCAGCAAACCCACTTAGTGCCTATGACATGCTAGAAACTACATCTAGGTGTGGGGAAGTCAATTCTTTATTGAAGTCAGAATCAGAGAAGGGCATTGCTACTTGCTCACTGTCACACAGTATCTCAAGAGCGATGATGGAGGTATGAATGGAGCGATGATGGAGGTATGAATGGAGCGATGATGGAGGTATGAATGGAGCGATGATGGAGGTATGAATGGCAGAGCCCATGGAATGCTCTGGGAACATGAAACAATGATGAACTCTTTCAGCTCAGGCTGTAAGTCTATACAGAAAAAGCTGGGCCTGTCTGTAGTATTCCCCAAGGTGGATCTGGCACATATATCTTTTAAAGAGTTCACTTCTATCCCTGCATTTATATTCCTGTTCATCAAGAAGCTTTATCCAGTATTCTCTATATCCTTTGTAGAGGCAGGGACTGGTTTCTTGGGATCACTTTGGGGAGACAGACCCTGGGTCACTTGTCACTTTGCGTGTGGGTCCCAGTTCTTACATATTTGCTTATAGTTCTTCCAGATGCATAAGTTTTTACATCTGGAGAGAAGAATTTGAGTGAAATAATGCCCGTTTAACCATTGCTCTAGTAAGCTTTCAGGCATGAAATGTGCCTGAAGATGAATCATGTACACACAAAAGCACAGAGCAAATGAATAACTAGGATGAATCAGACCAATTTTATGTAGAATCATTGCCAGGTTCTGTTGAATCAAACAAAAAAGAGGAACAAAGTCTCTGCCTCAGAAAGTACTACTTAACATCCGGCATTCTTAGGGAGTTCAAGTTCATAACAATCTTTAGTGAATTGCCATTTCAGTTTGATTCATTCAGACTCAATCCATATCATCATTTTCCCTAGAATAATTTGGAATTCTTAGATATATATTACAAGGGTGGTTTAAGTAGAGAGAAACTCCTTCCCAGCTTTCTCAGAGACTTTAGGTAATGTTTATGACTGACAATTTCTGAATCTTGGCCAAAAAAAAAACACACAAAAAAACAAAACCTAATCGTGGTTTTCTACTTTTTCATAACATCATCAAACAGTATTAGATATTTTTTATGGGCCTATGCTCCCGGTCTGGAAGAGAACTTGGTTTTTGCTGCTTCAATTTTTTTTTTTTTTTTTTCCTGGGACTAAGGGATATTTAGGCCTGTGTTATCCTATCTTGTTCCTTCAGTTCATGTATTCATTCATTCATTCTCACATTTGTTCATCCATCCATTCATTCCAGGTTCTGCCACTGTAGAAGAGAATGAACAGCCCAAGAATCCCATCTGTTTTAGGTCCCTATCTCAGTAATGACAATAGCTGATGTCACTTTAGACAGGCTTACATGGGTGTGGACAGTGTGGTGGACAAGGTTCATTTCCTTCTAGGTGCTGAGTCTACCACCATGTGGATATGGGTTCCAAGACAATGGCTTCATGTGACTAACCAAAAGCTAGAAACGCAGATACCTCCCGTAGGTCAAGCAGCCCCCTCATGTGTCAAGAGAGGCCAGATGTGAGAAATAGATGCAGCTTGGACTGTGTAGACGTGGAGAATGCCTGCCTACAGAAAGCAAGTCAAATTGGGAGCAGGGGAAAGAACATTACAAGGAAAACAAATCTAGAAGGCAAATATGACCTGTAAGCCTCACATTAGCAACTCAAGCTCTGAAAATCCCACTTCTGAGAATAATAAGAGCCAAAATTATACTTGTGGTTTTCTTCATTTAATATATTATTTGACAGCACTTGATGGAACATGAATTATGATTGTTCCATTTATTAAAATAAAATTCAGAGAGATAGAGTGTCTTTCACAAGTCACAGAGCTAATGAATTGCAAAGTTTAACTTGAGGCAGAGGAATGTCCAAAATTACAGAGAGATGCCCAAAGAAATGATGTATTATCATATGTAAAGTAGGCATACCCACATACGTACATTTATTCTACCTGCATAAGCTATGTGGCCAGAAGAAACACTACAAAGATATGTTCATGTGGAGCTTTAAGCAGTGAATTTATATATGGGATTCATTTCAGCAAATACTATATATATATTGGACAACTTGCAATGTGCAAACCATTGTGAAAAGAGCAGACCCTGAAAATACATGTGGCTCAGGTCTTCAAAAAGCTTCCAGAATGTGGGAAGGATGCACAGGGAAAAAAAACAAAACAAATATGGTACATGCAAATAAAACAAGTGACACACCTCAGGCAGTAAGTCCTGATAACACATGCAGGAATGAAATTACATTCATCACTGCATGATGCCATATTATATTACACATCTATTTTATTTATATATCTGTGTGTGTGTGTGTGTGTGTGTGTGTGTATTACATATGTTATCTTTCTGCTTATTTGCTTACTGACATTTCATTACACCAGAAGGTAAGTTCAATGAGGGAAAGCACTTTACTTGAATTTTTTCAGTTCTGTGTGACTGAAACATAGCAGGTACCCATTTAATTTTCATTGAATGAATGAACAAATAAACCTACAGAGTGGAGAGGGTTTCATGGAAGGGAGCCATCGATACAAGAAACCTGGATTTGTTGTATGATTCCCTTGAGACTCTTATTCTGTTCCCGCAAAATTCTATGCCAGATGGTAGCCACATAATAGGTGTAATTAAATATTTGGTTTGGGTAGCTTCCCTCTTTGATATTCAGTCTTCCATTGGCTTCAGTGATTTTCTTGGAGTATCTACAGTCTGGAACTTTTTCAGATGAACATTGTGGAAGCAGAACAGTTTGCCACAACTCGTTAAACATATCATGACAATAAGACTTATTCACAGGTTCCTACTATTTATGAAGTCATGTAGATATACTATGGTAAGGTTGACTGAATGAAGTAGTTGCACTGGCTGCAAAGGACACTGATACACGAGAAATAGAGGAAAATTTGGGGGGAGTAAAAAGAAGAATATGATTACTTCTTGATTACCATTTTAATGACTTAACAATTGTACTTCAAAGTTATTAAAATGTCCTATTGACATGTCCCATTGATTTTCAATTTTTGTCCTTTTTGCTGTTCTATATGACATTATCTTTGAGATTACAGACAGCGAGATCGAAAACCACTCAGACACCTTAATCTTTCCCAACATAAGCTTCTCTGGGCTGCAAATAGTTCTATTTCTCTTGAAATAGAAGAAGGTAATTTAGTTCTTGAGAAGTTTCAAATTGAATATTTATTTTAATTATAAATGTCCCTTTTTGAGAAACAAGATTGTAATCCTTTGCTCAAATTTTTAAGAATATTTGTGATTACATTGTTGAGGCCAGCAATCATATTTAATTCATTTGAAGTACTGAATGCAGTTTAGACAATCAAATCAATGTTTGTTTACATTTTATAATGTTTCATTTCAAAATTTTGTTAGTATTCAGCATCTTCATTTGAAAGCAGGTTGCAGCTCGATTCACCTTTAATTTGGACCCAATATAAGCATTTTAGGTTGCTTTTTATCTCCCCGTTAACATTATTTGCAGCATCAAATTCATCGAGCAAATTCTTTCATTTGTTTGTTTTCAAGATAACACTGAGATTTGCTTGCATTTTTATATAATCAAATACTTAAAAATGTCCTAGCAAAAGTTGTGTGCCAAACTCTGGACATTTCTAGTTCTTTTATGAGTGTCTATTTCTTTCTTTTTTTTAATTTTTTTTTATTTTGAGACCGAGACCCACTCTGTCACCCAGGCTGGGAGTGCAGTGGTGCAGTTTTGGCTCACTGCAACCTCCACCTCCTGGGTTCAAGTAACTTTCCTGCCTCAACCTCCCAAATAGCTGGGAATACAGGCGTGCACCACCATGCCTAGCTAATTTTTGTCTTTTTAGTAGAGACAGGGTTTCACCATGTTTGCCAGCTGGTCTTAAACTCCTGGCCTCAAGTGATCTGCCCGCCTTGGCCTCCCAAAGTGCTGGTATTACAGGAGTGAGCCACCGTGCCCGGCCCTGAGTGTCTATTTTTATTCCTATTGTTTTTTGAAGGAAATTGTGCTGTGATAGGACACCTGTCTTTCCTTTTATACCTTCTCTGCTGCCATCTTGTCTTTGCCCTTAGACTGTCTATCAGTGAAGGTTACAGGCAGTTTTGTAGCCCTTCTTCATCAGAACATCCCAGAGCTGTGTGTGAGGGCACGTGGAGGACATCTACCCCAGTCCTCCTGGGCAGAGTGGGGCATCTAGGAATTTGCCTTTGGAAGGAAGCTGCCTAGATGTTTGCTTTGCACACTGAAGTTTGAGGCCATGGGCTTTCTGAGTACCCTCCACTCTGTTTACACTGCAGTCAAAATGATTTTTTCAAAATGCAACTCTGACCTTTTACTTGTCCAAATACTTGTATTCTATGTTCTCATAGAACTTAATACCTCTTTTTCAAAACATTTATACACAATTTAAGTATGTTTGTTTTCTGATATCACATTTGTCTGATTAATTGCTTAATGCCTGTCATTCCTATTCTGCAAGAGCAGGGACTTGCTGTGTTTTTGTCCAAAACAAAATATGAACACAACAGATATCTCTTTGATAGTCAATTATATCACTGCGCTAAGCACTGAGGATACAAATTTAGGTTCTGCCCTTCTAAGACTTGTGGACTATAAAGAGCCAGGCCTGTGACTAAGTCATTATAAGGCAAAGAAATAGATAATACTTGACAGTAATACAAAAGTATGGACAGGAGCAAAGGGCTCATCCTTGGAAGTCTAGAAAGTGATGTTTGAGCTGTGAATTTCCACATGAGAACCATAGTTAGCATTTTAGCCAATTCTTTCCCCTTCAGTTCCTGATCTTCACTTTTTCTCAAGGCTATGTGTTGCCCCACTATGTGTTCTCGAGCACTGAGAGAAACCACAACTCCCAGGCTACAGATGCCCCTTTGTTGTGCTGGGGCAATGTCAAGAAAGGAGACCAGCATCAGTTGAGCATCTTCTGTGTCCCTGGCTCTGTGCAATGCATAAGACAGCTCAGCGGGTGGGATTAGGAGCACAGTTGTTAGAGTATATAGGGCTTATTTCCCCTTCTCTACCATTTGCTATCAATATAATCCCAAACACATTTTAATTAATCTCCCCAAAACTCAGTTTCACTACATGTGAAATGGAATAACGTGATTGGTCTGATAGGGTTGTTATGACATTTAAATTAACAGAACCAGTGTTTAGTAATTGTTGTGTTTGCACTAGTAATCTGTTGTGAATGTTGAAAGAAACAGCTATCTGGGGACAGTCTGTGAGAGTATCCCAAAGAAAGAGAACATTGCCAGAGGAGTATTAGAAATTTTTGCTTGTCACCAAGAAATAGCAATCCTGTTCTCAAAAATAATTTCATACATTGTTATTTAGCCACAATCCCACACCATTCATTTCATTTTGTGGCTCTTTTCTTATTTGTATTCTACTTAATAGAATTGTCCTAAGTGTTAGGGTTTGCTCTGTTACAATTATGAGTAAGCTACAGGCTTTATTGATAAAAGCTGGACACCTGCATAGGAATTGCCTGGAGTAAATCAAAGATGAAATATCTTCAGTAATCTTTCCAACAACCACCCCCTTAAATAACACCAGTTTGTGTCGTTAGGGGAAAGTTTTCTCTTTAAATGTACATTCCAATCTCATGCCAGGAATATAAAATTGTATTTTATATATATAACATACATATAATATATAAAAATATATATATTTATATATAAATATATAAAATTGTAACAATTTGTTCTTGGGTTTCCCCTGCTTTAAATGTCCCTCCCTGAACTTTCAATAGCCCATTTCTCCTTTTTACAGATTTCAAATCAGAGATCTCCTTTAGGGAAAGGCCTGCTTCTGACCACCCAATCTAAAGTACCTACTCATCACACTGGCTTATTTTAGTTCTCTGCAGAATGGAGAACCTTTGTTTTTCAATTGTTTGTTCATTCCTTCAACCATTCATCCATTCACCTCTTCTCTACTAGAATGTCAACGTGGAATAGGAACCTATTCTGTTCCATTCATAAAATATGACTGGTTTCGAACCCACCATTATTGAATCCTTCATGTGTCCGCACTATTACACGATCTGGTGGTTAGCAAAACTGATCCAGTCCTCACGGAGGTAGCCTTAAGGGAGACATGTATTTGTCAAAACAAATAAACAAAAATGAATAGGCAGATAATTTCAAATCATGGTAAGTGCTCTGGAGGACCAGACCTTTGTCCCTTTGTCCTAGACTAGAAAATTGAGGAAAGTTTCAGTTGAGATCTGAAGAGTGGATACAAATCATATAAGTACATGAGGACACACACCATGCTCATTGTGCTTGTGACAGCATGTGTGGTGAAGGGGGCTAACCTGTCTCAGGCCTTCCTTGTGGCAGCAATAAGAACATGACAGGAACACATTCAGGAACTAGAACAAGGCTTTGTGGGTTGGTCACAAAATGCAAAGTAGAGATGTCAAGTTATAGAAGAATCCGGAGGTTGGTGAAGCCAGAACCAGGAAAGGAACTGGGGTGTCACTGCACATGGATGTCATTTGAGGCCACTGGAACAGATGAGAAATAAAGGAGAGAAAGGAGTCTGAGGCATAGTCGGGATTCTCACTAGAGGTCATGAGAAGAAGGAAGAGCTGGCAGAGGAGATCGAAAAATGGCAGCCAATGAGGTGGAAGGAAAACCAGAATAGAGTGTGGTCATGGCAACTGAAGAAAGGTGAGTTTCAGAAAGGAGGAGGTGGCCATCGTGTTAATTATGCTGCAAGGACAAGGAAGATATGAAGAAAGAAATAGTCCTTAAGATAGGATGGCAACACAGGGCCTGTTAGTGATCTCGGTAAGAGCTGCCTCTGGGATGTGATAGGGTCAGATGCCCACCTGGAGTGAATCACAGAACATAAAGTGAGAAAGTCCAGGCAGAAACTCAAAGAAACTCTTACAAAGAGTTGAGAATATACTCAAGCACATGCCCATGACGAAATGTTTAAGCTAACGTGTACATCCAATCAACAAAACCCTAAATAAGATATTTCTTAGCACAAAAAGCTTTGAAAGAAACCAAACAAAATGATCAGAGCCATCTAAAATGTTGTCTTGTTTTGGAAAATCTTCTTTATGTTACCTATCTGTATGGAAAGACTTTTGGAACCTCAAGCCCACATAAATGGTCTCTCTCTCGAAGGCTTATTTTTTGGTATTCTCTTTTTTTTTCTTTCTTTCTTTTTATACCACAGAATAACAGACTAAGAAAATATGCCTTTGAATTGAAAATGAATGACCTGACCTATTTTGTGCTGGCAGCTGAAACAGAGTCAGATATGGATGAATGGATCCACACCCTCAACCGCATTCTGCAAATCAGTCCTGAGGGGCCCCACCAAGGGAGGAGGAGCACAGAGCTCACTGATCTGGGGCTGGGTGAGAGCATATGAAGCCGTCTTCTTTCCTTCCTTTGTCCAGTGTGACCTGTGTTTTTGGTTCACTCAAGCTGCTAGGCATTGTAGTCGCTGTCTGTTCTAGCTCATCCATCCTGGGGCCGTTTGTTCCAAGAAATCACTAATCACTCCTAAATCTTTACTGCACAGTAATGGCCACCACACATAAGTACAATTGAGAGTCAACTCGCAATGATCTGAGGCTGTCCCCCAGCAAATGATGTTGGGAATCATTTGTCACAGCATCAAAAATGTGCTCATGTCCAATGGGACATTACCTTTTAGGGGGCATTTTGTGGTTTTCAGTCTTTCATTAAATTTAATTAATGAATCTTATGCTCTGTAAAGGCAAATATGAATTTCTTCCTGTAAGTTAAAAAGCATCTTTCATTTGTGCTTTTTGATCATACTGTGATCATCTTATATGTGAAAGTTTCAAAAATTATACATGGTAATGGAATTTTTATAAGATTAAATTTTTTTTCTCCCCATCCTGATTCCTTCGTAAGAGTCTACTTCATTTTATGCAAAGAGAAGGGAACAAGAGAGAGGAAAGAAAAGGTGAAAAGAAGGTTAGAAAAGCAAGCCTGTAGCTGCATAGAAGGCAAGTTCAACACCAGCAAAGTCAGTCACTCCTCCCAAAACAAAACTATTTTCAGGCATTTTGCACAGCACATGGTACATTAGAAACCAAAGCATCTTTAAGTTCTCCTAGTCTACGTCTCAGGCTCTAGAGTGAAAGAGCCATAGAATAATGTGGAAAAAAACTATTGTTGATTTTGTTGGTTTTAACACAACTACTGTATGCCATACTAGGTGTTTTACACTTATGATTTACTTAATAATAACAACCATAGTATTAATGTTTACAGTGTCTTACAGAGTTTAAGTAGCTGAAGCAAGAAGGTGGATTCCAAATTGACAGCCTAAGAGCGAGAATTACCAAAAATACATACATATTTAAGAAACCTTTAGTATGCATTAATTAAGTAGGTCAAGACAACCCCAAGTATAAATGTAGTGTAAAAATCCAAAGTTCTTGTAGACACAAGATGGTATCATGGCAAGAATCCCAAAATGATCCTCAGAGGGTCTGATTTCCAGGCCCAGATCACCCAGCAATGTTCAGGAGTCAGAACACAAGGAAAGTTTAGGCTCACCAACGTCCCTCTTAGCTCTTAAGTCTAACTTAGTTTTGTAAGTCACAGGCTAGAAGAATGTGTGACTCATGAGTAATATTTAATAACCTGACTTGGTATATCTTTTTAAGATTCACTGGATAATTCTGTAACTTGCGAATGCACACCAGAGGAAACAGATTCTTTAGAGAACAACCTACACCCAGACTTTGCAAAGGTAATAAAGTTGACATTGTACTTGCAAAAATGATTTGAGCTATTTGTTAGTTATGGCTTTCACGGAAAAGACGTAAATGCTTTCTTTTAAGATTTAGACTAAGAAACTAATTCGGAACTTTCCATTAACCTATGTGTTTTCATTAACATACACACAGAGCTCAAAAAGGAAACAAACTTTTACGAGATTTGCCAAGTGTTAATGGGTAATACTAAAATGGTGATAATACTAAGGGGCTGCTTCTTGGCCATGTGGATGTGTCGGGCTGTATCTGGATATTTAGATACCAAGGACTAACACGATTTTCTCTGTAGTACCTCACAGAAACAGAAGATACTGTAAGAACAACTCGAAACATGGAGAGGCTAAATTTGTTCTCTCTAGATCCAGACATAGATGTAAGTCAAAATTTTTTCTAAGCAGATATGAACTTGATCCATACAGTTGGGGATTATAATTTAGAATTTCTTTTTTATGTTGGATGTTTGGTGACTCATTCAAAACTTTTTTAGACCTTGAAACTTCAAAAAAAAGATCTCTTGGAACCTGAGTCTGTGATCAAACCATTTGAAGAAAAAGCTGCCAAGAGAATCATGATCATCTGTAAAACTCTCAACTTAAATCTTCAGGGATGTGTTACGGAGAATGAAAATGATCCGATAACGAATGTAAGTTTCTCCTCTGTTACATCTTATACCATTCAGCCAGCATTACACCACCCTAGTCAAAATCTCTTCTATTCCTGCTAATTCCAGGCACTGGTTTCACACTATCTAGTGTACCAGGGAACATTATTAACAGCATTTTCCCACATTACACAAGTTTACAAGTTCTAAAGTGGAACACTTTATAATACACTGTATGAATAAAGCATAATTAAATATTAATATACTATACTTTATCAATATACTGCCATAAAATTTTCCTTTTAACTTAAAGAAAAAACATCAAAGGACTGTGTTTGGGGATTTTCTATGAAATCAGCATAGTGGTTTAGAGTTTTCTATGGCATTGTGTGACTCCTCTTAGTAGTACTCAAGATGGCTTTTTTTTCTTTTGAAATGGTCTTGCTCTGTTGCCCAGGCTGGAGTGCAGTTGTGCATTGTTGCTCACTGCAGCCTCTGCTCAGTGCAGCCTCAACTTCCAGGGTTCAAGTGATCCTCCCACCGAAGGCTTCCGAGTAATGGACTGCAGGCACGCACCACTGTGGCCGCCTACCTAAGTTTTTTGTGTTTCTTATACAGATGAGGTTTTGCCACAATGGCCAGACTGGTTTAGAACTCCTAGGCTCAAGCTACCTGCCTGCCTCAACTTCCCAAAGTGCTGGGATTACAGGCGTGAGCTACCGCGCCTGGCTTTTACATGCATGTTTTTATTTTACTCTTTCTATATTTATCCATGTAAAAGCCATCTTTTTTTACTCTATATTTATTTTATTTTACTCTATATTTTTTTATTTTACTCTATATTTATTTTCATGTCTATTAGAGAAAAATCAAAGCTAACTAACCCTGTGACTTCCCAGCCATTATTGCTGAGGACAAAACTAAATAGTGTATCAAGTAAAATAATATTAGATGGATGTTAAATAAATACTAGCAGGATGGGACATGTAAATAGCAGAAATGACAAAGGAGCTTCACTGATATTTGTGTGAGTTCTCTTGAGAACTTCTTCTTAGTACTTCAGTGGTCAGCCCCACTGGACTGTGAATGTATGTGTGGGAAGGGAACTGTTTATGAGCATAAATGTTATTAAATGTTGAATTATTTTTTAAAATCACTCATAATTCTATATCAATCTCGATTATATTAATATCCTAATCACTATAAGGCGCAGTTAATATTTTGTCATATTTCCTTTCATTATTTTTTAATGCATTCTGTTCACTTTCTAATCCATCATCCTCAGTTGTCATCTTTCACCTAAAAGAGGAAAACTGATTTCCAGATCCTTGATAGGAGTCACATTGGCTTTCGAAGGCAGAAACCACATTAAATTTTCACTGTAAACTGGGTCCACACATGTCATGCCTTCATCTATTTATGATCCAGTGAAACTAGCCTTGTTAGTTGTGACAGTGAGTGGATGGCAGAAAGAATTAACCTTTTCAGAAGACTCTACTTGATATCGACTGACCTGTGTCTTTAGCACCTCAATGATTTGCTTTGAGCCTCTACCCCAGGTATAGAGCAGGAAAAGGTCCATGCTGTGGACCTCTGATTTAATGAGGAGACTCAAATGGGATGTGCCGTTCTGGGATTAGATTGCCTGGCTTTCCAGCTCACAAGTTGTGCCACGCTGGGCAACGGCCTACTGTCAGCCTTCACTCCTTTAAATGGAGACAGTAACAATACCTATTTCAAGTGATCACTGTGGTTACACAGGGTACCGTACCAAAGGTACTCAGACATTGCTTGGTACAAAGTAAGCGTTCATTAAATACTTAACCGTCATCTAAATATGTAAGAAATTGCACTGAAATTTGTCAAAACTGCATGCAAGTTATTGATATTTGTGTTGATATATGTGAGATTCTTGTTGACAGGTAAGCTAACATGGAAATGTGTCACCAATAAGAATCTTGTTGAAAAAGGAAGCTCTTTTATATTCTATAACTTTAACTTTGTACTAGGTGTGAGTAGAAATGAAAGTAGGTGAAGTCAGGTTTATTCATTCTCCAAATTGTCTCCTGTGAGCCAGACTTGTCCTAAGAACTGGGAAAACAGGAAGTTTTAGATAAGCAAGGTCCCCAGTGTCTTGAAAATCAGATTCTTTTTTAAAACAGCAGAAAGCAAACAAGAAAACGAACAATTTAAGTGCACATTATTCCAAGTTCTTTAAAAGAAATAAATATGGAGAGAGGTGTTCCAGAGGAATGCAGGAAAGGGTTACTTTAGACAGGACAGTCACCTCTGCAGAGGTGATTTTGAACAGAGACCTAAGGGTTGGGAAGCATAAAAACGCAGGTCAGGGGCGAACATTCTAGGCAGAAGAAAGAGAAGTACAAATGCACTGAGACACATAAGCTTTAGCAAGTTCTAGGAAGTGAAAAGAGTTAGGGAGGTGAAGGACATACCAAGATGACGTAGGAGAAACAGAGATAAGATGATGTAGGGCCTTAAGCCACAGTGAAGAGTTTGAATTTATCCTAAGTGTGAGTGGACGCTATTCAATGGTTTAAAGCACTTTAAAAACAAGGTTTAAAACAAAACAAACAAACAAACAAAAACGCAAGAGTTGTCCAAGAAGAAGAGTTAGGAGGCTACTACCACCGTTTATTGCATGGCTTGAACAAGGGCTGGCAAGGGAGAAGGAGAGAAATGGATGGATTGGACTGGTGTTTTGTAAATTGAGCTGATAGGTTTTCCTCATGTGTTGGATATACTGGATGATGGAAAAATAAATCTCAAGGATGAGTACTGGTTTTTGCTTTGGACAGCTTTACACACGGTGATGCCATTTACTAAAATGGTAACACTCGAGAGAGATTTGCATAATACAAGTCAAAACTACCATTATGAACATGTTTCACTTGTTGGGACGATTAGATATCCAAAGAGAGATATCTTAGGAACAGATTCAAATGCAAGTTTGGAGGCCAGGCACAGTGGCTCATGCCTGTAATCCCAGCACTTTGGGAGGCCAAGGCAGGCAGATCACCTGAGGTCAGGAGTTCGAGACCAGCCTGTCCAACGTGGTGAAACCCTGTCTCTACAAAAAATACAAAAATTATCTAGACATGGTGGTACATACCTGTAATCCCAGCTACTTGGGAGGCTGAGGCAGGAGAATCACTTGAACCCAGGAGGTGGAGGTTGCAGTAAGCCGAGATCACACCACTGCACTCCAGCCTGGGTGACACAGTGAGACTCTGTCTCCAAAAAAAAAAAAAAAAAAATGGAGTGGCCATGAATGGAAACACAAATTTGGAAGTCTAGTTCAGACAATAATGTTGTGGGGCAGGGATCTAAAAATGTCTATGACCATAGAGAAGGGGCCAGAAACCAAATAAAATATCTGAAGGATGAATAGAGAAGTGACCAAAGAAGTCGAAGCAGCAATGGCTGTTGGGATAAAGATAAACCAAGGAATCATGAAACCAATAGCGAATGGGTAGCTGTGGTAGTGGTGCCAAGAAGCTGAGGAACATGAAGTGAAAGAGGAGTCCACCCGGTAGATATGGCAAAGTGGAGGATGTTGTGGACTATGGCAAGAGCAACTCCCATAGAGTGGAAAGTGTTAGAAGTAATCTGATCATGCCTTCATGCAGGATTTTAAAATAAAAACAAAACAAAAATCTAGAAACTTAGTCCTTGGAACCATTTGGAAATACCTGTATTAGTCTGTTCTCACGCTGCTAATAAAGACATACCCAAGACTGTGTAATTTATAAAGGAAGGAGGTTTAATTGACTCACAGTTCAACATGACTGATGAGGCCTCAGGAAACTTACAATCATCACGGAAGGGGAAGCAAACATGTCCTTCTTCACATGGCAGCAGCAAAGGGAAATGCCAAGCAAAACGGGGAAAAGCCCCTTATAAAACCATCAGATCTTGTGAGAACTCACTCACTATCACGGTAACAGCATGAGGGTAACTGCCCCCATAATCCAATTACCTCCCACTGGGTCCCTCTCACGACACGTGAGGATTATGAGAACTACAACTTAAGATGAGATTTGGGTGGGGACACAGCCAAACCATATCATTACCTAAAATGGTAATGTCACTTAGTCACCTTGTTAAATAAAAATAGATGCTTTTTTTGACCTAGAACATTTTTAAATGCAATTTAAAAACTGAAAATCAAAGATAGTGGGCTTTTCTATCTACTGCCAGGGGCATATGACTCCTTCCACATGAATTCCTTTCTTTGTACTAAGATGCATATTCAGAAGCCAAATGCTTGTATTTAGACCAATCTCCCCAGGCAAGAGAACAGGGCCAAGTACAGAGACCCAAGTTAGTGTGTCCTTTGGTATCTGTCAGACTGAAGGGTTAAGTTGATTTGGAGTGTTTTGTATGTCGGTGTTGTTTTTCATTTTACAGTTGATACATATGTTGAAAAACTAGGAAATTACTTTAGAAAAATAATTTCATTGTGCCTATGAGCAATAATACAAAAAATAATGTCAGCCTCACCTTCACAGCAGTTTGTTATTTAAGGTCATTGTTTTTTAAAAATCATTGCTTATTTATTCAATGACACTCTTTCCTTAATGAAACTATTTTTAAACTCATTGTTCTTAATTCAATGAGCATGTTTTAAATTAATTGAAGTATTTCTCCAAGTTGCTTAGGAGCCAACTACTGCATTTAATGAATGAGATTCTAAAGACTCCCTGAAATAACATCCTCGTGATGAGAAAACAATGTTTGACAGCATGTAATTTTTTAGTCAGTAAATTGAAAACCAAATTCAAGTTGATGGTTTTATAGTATAAAATATTTCTTTGAAAATAGAAATTGACTCCAAAAATCGGAACTAATAAAGCTACATCACAGTAGAACTACATTTAAAATTTTATCGTTGAGTTTTTTCCAGAAGAGTACAGAATTCTAAACACAAGAAACCTATGAATTAATTTGTTAGGCTTTGCAGAGCTTTGTTAAACAAATCCTCACTGAAAAGACAGTGATTTGACATTTATTTTGAAAAGGTGGATTGGAAGAAAGAAATGAATCACCACATGAGCTTTAATTTTTGATGGGTTATCAAAGTAGGTATTTATTTCCATTCACAAGTAGAAATGAAAATCAAAATGCAACAATTCAGGAAAAAATAATAAGGGTTTTGCTTTGACCTTCAATGTGTTTTGAGTTCTCACTTGAGTTATTTTTCTGTAATTTTTGCATTTTTCAACTTTTGGCAGACTACCACTACCACAAAACAAGAGTTTTTCTAAATTAATTTAAATTGGTATACTATAAACTTTTACTTTGTAATTGCTTTATATTTTAAAAAATAATTTATTGAATTATTTCATATGCAAAAACTTTTTTCTAACAGTAAGGGAGCTAGCTGGCAAGTATTGCTAATATTAAGAAATTGAACTTGTCCCCTTGGTATAAACTAGTCACATTACTACATTTCAAAGACAGGAGATACCATTAAGCATTTAACAAAACCCACAGTATGAGTGAGTCTGTGTAATAATAAACTGGATCACAATATGGTGTTTCACTATAATCTGTTTGTCCATAGAATACTGGTAGAGATTGGCATCAACTCAAAATTAAGTAGCATTTTAAAACAGTAAAAATGCTAGTTTTTATAGGCGTATTCCAATTTTAATCACATAAATGTATAACTACATATATGTGCATGTATTCAATATATGTATATATGTACATATATGTATGTAATTACATAGGCATATATTAATTTGGTCTTTATCTCTGTTGTGAGATTTTTCTAGTTGACCATTCTTTCCTTCTTGAATCTTTCTTAGCTTCTGTAATACTCTGGCAGCATTTTAAAATTTTTTATTTGTTTTTTAAAATTTTTCCCTATTTCCCAATCTGTTTTATAAGTTGTCTTCCCTACTCCCATCTCCATCCTTTGCATGTTGATACTTTCCAGAATCCTGTTCTGATTTTCTTCTATTTCATGGATTCAACAGGACCCCACACACAAAAAAACTCTCAAGTCCAGCTCTCCAGTCCAGTTTCCTTGACTCGGCTCAATACACACATCCAGCTGCCACTGGGATGTCCCGCAGATGACTTTCTATGTCCCATTTAGAATTCATCTTTGTATCTTTATCCCCTATATCAACCAATGGTATGATCATGTACTTCATTTCTTTTATCCTCAAACCTGGGAATTTTCTGTATTCATGCCCCTGTGAAACTTTTTCTCCAATCAACCAATACAAACACATGCAAAGAATATCCAAGCTCTTTGGTCATACTTCCTTAATGTTTTTCAAATGCCTCTCCCACAAACACTTCCTACCAATTTTTCTTTTTGCTTCCACTCTGATCCCACTCTAATGTTCTTTTCCTGTGCTCTTTGATGTCTTATGTCTTTGCACATGTGGTCACACACCCTACCTAGAAATCCCTTCTAACCAACTCTTTACCTAATTCCTACTTCTTTCAAACTTGACCAAGAAATTTCTCCTTCTTCTCATCTTCCATAACTTTCCCATTTTCACATCTTCCACTTCCTTCCTAGCCTGGGGACAAGAGGTTAAGAGGAAAGCCACATAGAGGCTTGAAATTTGGGTGAGCACCCAAGAATTGATGGGGAGAGAAAGCCATGAAGAGGAACAGAAGCAGCCTGTCCTGGATGTGTTGGGATACAGGTGCAGGGCAGCCCAGAGGAGGCAATTAGAAAAGATGGCTGGTATGGTTGGGAGACTGGTTACTTTGAATCAATAAGTAACTGGTGGAACAAGTAAGTAAACAGATTCATGGTAATGAGATCCTGGGTTCTCATTGTTGGAGGACCTACTTACCAATATAAAAAATGGGAAGGCTAGAATGAACCCTTGAGTGTTTGTATTGGAAGCAGAGGTATAAACATGAACTAATTGGTTTTTAATAAGTATTCATACACAGATAGAGATAAATTGTGTGTGTGTGTGTGTGTGTGTGTGTGTGTATTTCTTACCTCCGTATGATGGGAGGGCACAGAAGCAATGATATCCCAGTGACAGTGAGCACAACAAGCACCCAGATCGTCGTTTGTAAATGTCACCCTCACTATAAGGAACCAGGGCTCCCTGGAGAAATATCTGGAGCATGAGAAGTATAGGATAAGTCTGGAACATACTATTTGATAAAGAAGTACTCAGAAAATGATGGAGACTTGCCAAAAAAATACCCAGAAGTTACCTTGAATGAATGCCTCTAGCCAAATCTGGGACAATTTCAGCATCACACTAACACTAATTATTGTAAGAGCAAAACCCATTGAGTAAAACAGTAATCCATGAGTCTATACTTGTATTAATAAATTAATTAATTAATATCAAAATAAGGGAGAAGGGGAAGTTCATCCTTATGATGGAATACTAGCTAATACGTGTAGAAAGAATGGTGGAACTGAAAAATCACCATTGGCCACCATTGTGGTGGTAGTTGACTGCAATGGAAGTTATCAATGGAGATGAAGACTAGGGTGGGTTGTGTTTAATGAGTAGCAAGACATGGGGGTAGAACATATTTCCACAAATACAAATCAATTGCCAAAGGGAAAATGGTGACCTTTATAATGGAGAAAACCAGCAGATAAGGTTAACGTCACAGCTGCTGAAGGAGTTGACACTGTGTGCTCTTGAAACAATGAAGTATGAAAATCAAGCATCGATCCGAGATTGTACTGCCATAAAAGCATGACCTGAATCCTGTCATGAGGACACACACAACAGACCCAGATTGAATGTATGTCACAATGTATGTCCTGTAGTCTTTGAAAGGCCAAAAACCTGAAAGAGAGAAAAAGATTGAGGAACAGTTTTGACTGAAGTAAATTGAAGGGAAATCACAGAAAAACATACTGAGTAGTCCTAGATGGGATTCTGGACCAGAAAGAAAAGCAGAGACATTGTTGAGTCAACTGGCAGCACTGAAAGGAGCATGTGAGTTGCACAGTGGTTTTAGGCCCATATGACTTTCCTGACTTGGATGGCTGCACAGTGATTAGGCAGGTGAGTGTCCTCATTTGGGGCAAACACTCACCGGAGTATTTAGGGGAGGAATAATACTGGAAACTTGCTCTCAAAGCATTCACACTGGTTATAATAGGTGACTGCGTGAGCGAGAGCGAGTGCGTGTGCGTGTGTGTGAGAGAGAGAGAGACAGACAGAGGGAGAGAGACAGAGAGAGAAACAGGAGGTTAACAGTTGAATCCGGGCAAGGGGGATAAATAAGGTGGTTTTATGCACCTTATACACAACCTTTCTCTCTATTCAAAATTACTTCAAGATAAGAGAAAAAATAGTATCTGTTTTAAAAATTCAACTAAGATACCAACTCATCTTGGGAAACTTCCCGCCCTCTCTGCCAACAGACTCCCTCACAACCTGATGCTCCCCTACCTGCTTGCCACAGTGTTTTGTGCTTTAATATGTATCTGTGACACTAATGTGTTAGGAGTGCCTTAGAACAGTGCAAAACACATAGTAAATGCTCAACAACTGTCAGCTATTATTATGATTCTATCAAGCTGTGATAAAAAACAGAGACGTGGTTGGTCTAGTGAAGTCCAACCACAGTGCAATCTGGAAACTTCTAGGATTTCATTACAGATTTTCAAGGGCCTAGGAGACTGAGGTGGCATGTGTTTTCTAAGACTGTAAGGGAAATAACTGGAAGGATTTGTAAGGCCCAACCATGCATGTAAAAGCAACATAAAGAAGAGCATTCTTGGCAGGGAAACTAAAGAACCAATGAGATACAGTACTGGGATCTAAGGCACTTGCTGGAGGACAGGATTCCGGGTCACTGAGTCAAGGGGAGCTTGCCTGCTGCATTTATTTTATCTACTGCTTTGTTAAATGATGTACTAACGAGGCTGTCGCATGGATAATGATTTTATGTCAAAAACATCTGTTCTTTCTTTTTCATGCAGATTGAGCCTTTTTTTGTGAGTGTGGCACTTTATGACCTCAGAGACGGCAGGAAGATTTCTGCTGATTTTCACGTGGATCTAAACCATGCTGCTGTCAGACAGATGCTCTTGGGGGCTTCTGTGGCTTTGGAAAATGGCAACATCGACACCATCACGCCAAGACAATCAGAAGAACCTCACATCAAGGGACTTCCGGAGGAATGGCTAAAATTTCCAAAGCAGGTGGCACTTTGTTTACTTGTGATGAGATGGAAAATGCGTGTACCATGATTCTTACCAATAGATCACATAAGATGAGCAATTTCCTGAATAAAAATTCCCTTAAAGCTGTCCTTTTTTGAAAAAGTGGAATTTTGTAAATGTCTACAATGTGGTTTCTTCCATGCTTATTAGCTGCTTTCTTTGTACACAGGCTGTATTTTCTGTAAGCAATCCACATTCTGAAATTGTTCTGGTGGCCAAAATCGAAAAAGTCTTGATGGGAAACATTGCAAGTGGTGCCGAACCTTATGTTAAGAACCCAGACTCCAACAAGGTAATGTATAATCTTATAAATAACTTCATTTGCTTTTGCTTTTTCTTTTTTAATGGAGTCTCTCTCTGTTGCCCAGGCTGGAGTACAATGGTGTGATCTCGGCTCACTGCAACCTCCACCTCCTGAGTTCAAGTGATTCTCCTGCCTCAGCCTCCCCAGTAGCTGGGATTACAGGCGCATGCCACCACGCCTGCCTAATTTTTTGTATTTTATAGTAGAAATGGGGTTTCACCATGTTGGTGAGGCTGGTCTCGAACTCCTGACTTCAAGTGATCAGCCTGCCTTGGGCTCTCAAAGTGTTGGGATTACAGGCCATGAGCCACTGCGCCCAGCCAACTTCATTTGCTTTTAAGAAAGAAAGCCACACTTTGAATTATCAAATTTGTGTATCTTGAAATACTCACTTATTGGTGAAATGAATATCCACCAGAAATTTTTTTAAGTATATCTTTTTGCTTTATGTTCTTTTGATCTGGTAATTTTTGATCTCTGAGAATCTAATGGTAGAAATAAATTCAAATGTGGAAATGTGGACAAAGCTTTCACTCCAAGGGTCAGAGTATTAGTAATAATGAAACCTTAGGAATAATCTTAGTAAAAGCAAGTGAATGAGACATCAGCAATGCTGATGATGAACAAAGTGAGATAAATAATTGTATATGAAATTATAATATCACTTAAGTGAAAAAAGGAACAGGAAAGAGAATACTGTGCTTTGAATGGTGGAACTACAGGTAATATGTTTCTACTTCCTTCTTTTCTATTAGATTTTCTTTAATAATCAAATATTACTGTTTAATAGAAAATAAATATTAAGGCCGGGCGCGGCAGCTCACGCCTGTAATCCCAACACTTTGGGAGGCCAAGGCGGATGGATTACGAGGTCAGGAGATAGAGACCATCCTGGCTAACACGGTGAAGCCCCGTCTCTACTAAAAATGCAAAAAACTAGCTGGATGTGGTGACAGGCGCCTGTAGTCCCAGCTACTCGGGAGGCTGAGGCAGGAGAATGGCGTGAACCCGGGAGGTGGAGGTTGCAGTGAGCCGAGATCGCGCCACTGCACTCCAACCTGGGTAAAATTTCGTTTCAAAAAAAAAAAAAAAAAGAAAAGAAGTATTAAAAGTCTATATTTTCCATGCCAAAGAAATATACTGAGGAAATAGCTTACAAGAATTGAATCTGAGCATGTATGACAATTTAGAAAGAAGTTTAACATATTTATGAGAGTCCCATAATTCAGTGTTTGGCAAACTACGGTGTGCAGGCCAAATCCAGCCTACCATCTGTTTTGATAAAGTTTTAATGAAACACAGTCACATTCATTTGTGGATTGTCTATGGCCACTTCCCTGCTACAGAAACAGAGTTGAAAATTTGTGACAGAGACTATATGGCCCATGAAACCCAATGTGTTTACTATATGATACTTTATAGAACCAGTCTCCTGCCCTCTGTCATTACAAATAAAAGGGATATAGAATAGACTGTAAATGTAAAGTTGCTAATACTTTCCGTTCAAGATTTTAAAATCTTTTAAGTAAAAAAAAAAAAAAAAAAGGAAAAAAGTTGATATTCCAAGACATGGATATTTTCTACATTTGAAATCTCCAAACTAAAAAGAAACAAAGAAAAATATTATACAATAGTTTGAACACAGAGGGACACCATTTGGCTCTTTATAAGGTAATATGGGCTAGTAAGACAGAGTTATGCTGAGTTTCAGTATAAAATAATATGAAAAAGTATTTAGTATTATTTTATATGTACAGTTTGTAAAGTGCTATTCTAAACAATATTTGTATTTATTTTTTCTTTAGTATGCACAAAAGATACTAAAATCCAACAGACAGTTCTGTGGCAAATTGGGAAAATACCGTATGCCTTTCGCCTGGGCAGTAAGGTAAGTCAACAGTTACAGCCAACAGACCAGAAATACATTTAATGGTGGCATTAAAGCTTCAGTTTTGAACATTTTTGTGTTGCCTATTATTTTTAATGTGTCTACACCTGGAAAAATGCTAATATAGTCATCTTCATAAACACCTTGAGCTTCCCTGAGAATACATTTCACAAGACAGTTTAGCAATACAGTTTATAATAGAGGTCCATGACACATGTGCCGTGCGTGCATGACCAGATATGCTATGGGTTCTTGGTAGATATCAAATCAATGTCATAAACTGTTTATTATGTGTATTTGATTTAACAAATCTGTAATTGATTTAACAAATCTTTGACATTATGTCAGTCTTGAGAGTCTGGTGTGCCTAAAATTCAGAGAGATGCACTATGATTTCTTATACAGCTGCATGTTTTCATCTATGCGTAGAGCTCAGGTCTATATACGGATGTCCAAATGAAACCATCAAACCAATCATTTAAACTCATTTTGATTTTGATACTGTTTAGCCTAGCCAAATGTATCAGTACCAGTTGCCTCTTTGAAAGAAAGGCTGAGTTCTGTGGACATAGATGGACACATCATTCACTTGGATGCATAACCTCTTCATGAAGAACCATAATTGCTTTTCAGAACTGTTTAATATCCTCAATTATTATTGTCCTCCTCAATCTCTTTACATCTTTATTAGTATAAGAATTTCTTAAGTGAGGAAGAGCCTGGCATAGACTCATAAGGCTAAAAGGTCAGCAATGTACACACTGAATGAACTAAGAAAGGTTAGAGCTACCGGCCGGGCATGGTAGCTTACACCTGTAATCCCAGCACTTTGGGAGGCCGAGACAGGCAGACCCCGAGGTCAGGAGTTCGAGACCAGCCTGGCCAAGATGGTGAAACCCCGTCTCTCTAAAAATACAAAAATTAGCCAGGTGTAGTGGCAAATAATACAGCCCATCAAATATTCATTTGAACTTTGGTAACATTATCTCAATGTATCTAACTTTAACATCCAGAAGGACGAGAGAACCTATTAATTATGCCATTTTTAAGTCTCACAGTTCCCAGTGATGTATATTCAGAGTAAACTCACCAATATCTGTCATAATTTTGAGGTTGTTATTTGAAGTTGGAGATGAGTAGGTGTAGGAAGGAGAAATGTGGAAGTTTGGGCAGCAGTAAACCAAGATAGATTCATGCAGTCTCCAGGAATTAGTTTGCCCTAAGGCAGTGCCATAGCAAGGGAGGGAGAGTCTAGGCCTGGGAGTCTGATAAACATTGCAGATCAGGCCACTACTTACTGTGACTTGGAACAAGTTTCTTCTCCAAGTCTCAAGGTTCCCAGCTATGAATTGAAGCTGACAATACCTGCCTTATGAACAGTATGTGCAATCTCAAGTGCAGAAGCATTTGGCATAAAATAGCTCATGGATAGTACTTTATCCTCCCTTTTCTATCTCTTTCTATAGGAACAACTAATGCCAGGACATTCTGCATGAAAAAAGATGGTATTTAGAGCTACAAAACCCTTCGTAATGAATTTGTTTTTATTTCTCATAAGCTTTAAGAGAAAGGCTAACTAATTATAATTCACTGATTAAACATTTTTGGTATTGTTAAGCATTCTCAGTTCCCTCCAGAAAACCTACTGGGGCAAGTAGAGGCAAGATGTCTGTTGTGAAATATTCCAGTATAACAAAAGTACAATAGTGCACACATTTTTCACTTTAAGGATCCAACATTGCTCTGAGACTTTAGAAGCAGGCGTTTTAGGGCCAGACAGAACTGAGCTCCAAATCCTAACTCTGGCCAGGCATGGTGGGCCATGCCTATAATCCCAACACTTTAGGAGGCCAAGGTCTCCTGGAGGTTCGCCAGGAGTTCTAGATCAGCCTGGGCAGCATAGTGAGACCCAATCTCTAAGAAACTTTAAAAAATTAACCAAGAGTGGTAGCGTACACCTGTAGTCCCAGCCACTCAGGAGGCTAAGATAGCAGTATCACATGAGCCCAGAAGCTGGAAGTTGCAGTGAACTATGGTAGCACCACTGCACTCCAGCCTGGGCAACAGAGTGAGACCCTGTTTCTAAAAAAGAAAAAAGAAAAAAAACCCACTCTATCCTTTATTAGCCAAGTGAGCCTGGGCAAGTTACCTATAACCTGACTTTACCTATTTTTTTTAATCTACAAAAGAGGAAAATAAGAATATCTAATGTACTGGTATAAGGATTAAGGAGGACAGATATGTACCCAATAAAAGACTGTGATTTTTAGAAGTCATTTTTTTCTAATATTATTATTACTATAGAGTCACTTACAGAGATCATAGTTACGTCACCAAGTCCCCTTTTCTGATAAATTTGAGGCAGTGAAGAACAATATAAAGGAGAGAAGTCAATGAATTACCCATTATTGAAAGAACCTGAGAAGTTAGGAGAAGTGACAATCCTGCTTTGAAGTTGTCTAGTAAAATATGCTGGGAGAAAGACAGATGAAGTCTCTAGGGAGGCTGACAGTATTACTGACTATTGAAATGATTCCTAGGATAGGAAAGCCAGTGAAACCACAAGCTTAGACCACATGAATGCCCAATTAGTGGTCTGGTTGTAGGTTAGGAAACAGCACCAACCTGTGTATATACACATGTGATTTACTTCCACCTAAATTTCTCACAACTGAGAAAAATAGTTAACAGGACAATTCTAAAGATATGTCAAACCACTTGGATTACGGAACCACAAAAAAAATCTTTGGATTACCAGCCAAAGATTTTAATTCCTCTTTCACAACATAGAAACTGCTTCAAATAAGTATGGACAGCATCAGAGGAAGGCCGGTTATTGCCCATGTCTTTACCAGCTTCCTGACAAACTTCAATACCTAATTGATACTGCTGATTTTGAGGCTACTGCTCCTTCCTGTTACGCTTTCTAGATTGCAGTTTGTTCCGAAGTATAGCTTTCAGTGTGCCCTAAGACGTGTTGGCCCTTACAATCAACTGTCATTAAAAAGTAGAACTGACAATTTAGATTATGACCATATTTTTACCCACATCTAATCATCCCACCCACTGCAGTACGCACAGATGCTCATCGCTGTGAACGTTTTTTCTGAAATTAATTTGGTGTTCTTATATTTGGCACCAGCTGCAGTGCCATTTTACAGTGAAAAGGTTATCCTTGGGGGACGAATAGAGAACACATACAGACGACTCCCCAGGGTATTTTATACTCATTGACTCGGGAGAAAACTGACCCTTCCGAATGTGTCAGGTTGTGAATGGATCTCTTTCCGTGCATATCATCCCCAGAATCCTATGTGCCAGCATCCTTGCAAGGACTCTTTTGTGATTTCTTTGACTACCTCATTTGATATTCTAAATGGACCAGCACTCAACACTGACTTTTTTTTAATTAAGCAAAATTAAAATAAACATTTCATTCTCATATCTCTACAATTATGGAAGGTGCACAGTGCAACTATCATTTAAGATTCCCATACTGACAACGTCTTCAACAAATGGTCGTCCAACTTCTGTTTGACTCCTTCCAGTGACAAAAACCCGAGTGCACCCCACAGTGCTTCCTTCTGTCTGTCTTTGTAGAGCTCTAGTTATTAAATAATTTATTTTTCAAAATCATCTTCAGCTATCTGAAAACCACTTTTATGTGTTTTCTTCCATAGCCACACACACACAAAAACATATGTCTACTTCATTCTGCACATCATGGTTATTCATACTGTTTGTGAATGAATCTATCAGGGACATCTAAGGTTCTTTTCCTTTGGGCAAGAAAACAAAAAAACTTACACGAGTGGTTTTGGAATGACTGGGCCATATTTCATGATTCCTACAATCATACCCCAAATATCATGGTGCTGACACCCTCACAATATACTGACCACTGATCAACTGTAGCAGTTGGAACTAGGTGTTCCAGCCATCACAAAACCATCTGTGTAAATGAATCAGTTCTTTTATCTCCTGCCATATACATATATATGTATATATACACACACATGCATATATATACATATACACACATATACATACATATATACATATACACATATACATATATACACATATATACACAATATATTTTTTTTTTTTTTTTTTTTTTTTTGAGACGGAGTCTCTCTCTGTCGCCCAGGCTGGAGTGCAGTGGCGCGATCTCGGCTCACTGCAAGCTCCGCCTCCCAGGTTCACGCCATTCTCCTGCCTCAGCCTCCCGAGTAGCTAGGACTACAGGCGCCCATCACCATGCCCGGCTAAATTTTTGTAGTTTTTTTTAGTAGAGACGGGGTTTCACCGTGTTTGCCAGGATGGCCTCGATCTCCTGACCTCATGATCCGCCCACCTCAGCCTCCCAAAGTGCTGGGATTACAGGCTTGAGCCACTGCGCCCGGCCTACTTCTTCTTTTGAGACGGAGTCTCACTGTGTCGCCAGGCTGAAGTGCAGTGGCACAATCGCGGCTCACTGCAACCTTCACCCCCCAGCTTCAAGGATTCTCCTGCCTCAGCCTCCTAACTAGTTGGGATTACAGGTGCACGTCACCACACCCAGCTAGTTTTTGTGTTTTTTAGTAGAGATGGGGTTTCACCATGTTAGCCAGGCTGGTCTCAATCTCCTGACCTCGTGATTCCCCCATCTTGGCCTCCTAAAGTGCTGGGATTACAGGCGGTCACCGTGCCCAGCCACCAGTTATATATTTCTTGAGCAGCCGCAGGTTGTATGGCACTGTGAGCAAAACTTCTCCCATGGTGCTGTACTCTTCATTCTTTTTATGAAAAGTGTCCAGTGTAAGTGAGCAATTTCCATGATAGAGTTGTGGATAAGAGCAAATTGAGTTCCACAATTAACATCTATCAATAAATGGAAGTCACTAATTAATTAAAAAGTTATTGCTCAAGCTCAGTTTAGCTTCCTCTCATATTGGGAATTGTGTCATGTTAGTTTCAACATGTGATGCACTGAAACAAACGCCCTTTATAATATTTAACTAAAAATAATGTTCATGTAATATTTTTATTCTTTCTCCCCAATGTTATTTGCCTTTTTACCTTCCCTCATTCACTACTTAACAGAGAAAAAATGAGGAGACAAGTTGAAGGAGTCTAAAAATATCATTCTGATAAAATCTTAGCCTATTTTCTTTTAGTGTTCTATTTAACACTAAAGTTGTATAATCTGATATCTGTTTAAATGGTCATCTCAGCCTGTGCATTGAATTCTTCGGTTAACTTAAAGAGTGATGAAACATTCTAGTTAAGGCCCTACATTAGAAGAAGTAAGAATTCAGTATTTCTCTAACACCGAAGTAAGAATTCAATATTTATTTCTCTAACATTGAAGAAAATATATGGGTCTAATTTTTTTTGGACCACACATTGTATGATGAGATATGAGGAACTTTATGTAAAACTGACATCTAAGCATGGTACGTATGTGAAGCAAGTATTGTCTGATGTTGCTATATTATTTAGACAAAAGCTATTTATGTGTTTCAACTAAGCCTAACTTTCCTTGGTTCCAATGAAATAGACCAAGGAAGGAAATAAGTGGCTAGGATTCATGGTGTTCTCTTTCTTTAAAACAAAAGTCTGACTCAGGTGCCTTCCATTTTATCTTTGTCTCTGTCCTAAAAGTTAGGACATGGGTACATTTAGCTCCATGAAAATGTGTCAAGAGTATGGCCTTCCACACTCACATATACAACCTTATCCCTGTTCCACCACTCGTAAATCCTAGTAATGCCACCCAAATTGAAGTGACTCTGTCCTGCCCAGGTTTAAGGTGTCTTGAAGAAATAATTTAAAAGAATAACTTGTGTTCCTATTCTTTTCCACTTCCCTAATACTCCAAGGTTTTGACACAAGTTATTAAATGTGAGACATCATAAAAAATACAGTTGTAATGTGGAATGGTATCACTTTGGATACAGAGTTAAAAATAAAAAATTAAAGATAACAAAAATAAAGTGTATAAATGAAACATTTGTATAAGAAGTTTTCTGTCTTTTTATTTTATAAGTTCTTAGAGCTTCTCTGGTTATAAATGAGAAGTTTAATTAATATAGTCACATTAAAAACACAACTTTATAAACAATATCCAAATACCAACCTGAATAAATATTTTCTTTCAGATCAGTATTTAAGGACAACCAGGGAAATGTGGACAGAGACTCAAGATTTTCACCATTGTTTAGACAAGAAAGTAGCAAGATTTCAACCGAGGACCTGATTAAACTAGTATCAGATTATAGAAGGTATGTTTTTTTAATACTCTTGAAATTAACAAAAATCAGCCATGTTGATTTGTTATTGCTTCATAAATACCTGAGGATCTGATTCCCGAATGCCCAAACCTCCAGAAAGCAGACATTTTTCAGGTGACTTCACATATGCCCAAATAGTGCCACAAAGGCAAAAACTGCTAGAATTGTATGGAAGGACTGTGAAATGTTAAACTGTATCAGTTATTTATTGCTGTGTAACAAACCACCTCAAAACTTAATGGTTTAAAATAACAACACTGCCACAGTAGTTATACTCCTGAGTCCACAATTTGAGCACATCTGAGTGAGGAGAGCTTATCTCTTCCACACATGGCATGGGCTGAGAGAGAGCAGCTGGGGTCAGAGGATCCACTTTCAAGATGGCTCGTTTGGTTTTCGGCCAATTGGTGCTGGCTGTTGGCTGGAAACTCAGCGGGGACTATGAGCTAGAGATCTCAGTTCTCTGTGGGGTCCTCTTCATGAAATTCTTTGACTTCCTTAGGCGTGGTGGCTGCGTTTTAAAAGTAAGTGTCTCAAGGGCAGGAAATGACCACTGTTGATTTCAGTTTGGGGCCCAGAAGCTGTTACAGTGCCATGTCTGCCAAAGTCACCTATCAAGCTGTCACAGAGCCCAGACACAGTACTTAGATTCAAAGGAAGGAAGCATAGACATCTCTCAGTAGGGGGAGTATTAAAGCATTTTAGGACAGTGTTTTACAGTTATTTTGCTGTAAATATAATCACTCATAACAGCTCTGTCATTCAAATACTTTTAGAAAAGACAGTGGAAATTACCGCCAAAACAGAAAACATATACATGCCACAACATTTTTTAAATGAATAACCATACATCCAACATCTGATGATGACGAGGTCGCTCATTACAAGCTACTTATCATGAACTTCTGACCCTCTAATATACACACAGTATTCTTGTACCTTTTGTTCCCAAATATTGACTCTCTGCCTCTCCCATCTAAGAATCAACCATCTCCAATCCTTTAATTCATTTATGCAAAATGAAAATAATATAATATTATGAAGCAAGAACAGTTAATATTTTCTGCAGCTTCTGGAGAGGACATACTCTATGTGACAAGAAGTTTTGCCAATGTTTTGTTGATGATGTTGTTCTGAAAATTATATAAATCTTAGAAAGCAAAATAAAAATGGGAAGTAACATCTTGAAGGAGTCTGGAACCTGTCTGACTTATTTTTGATGCTATAAGACCATTCCTGCCAGATGCAGTGGCTCACACCTGTAATTCCAACACTTTGGGAGGCTAAGACAGGAGGATGGCTTGAACCCAGAAGTTCCAGACCAGCCTTGGCAACACAGTAGCAACATCATCTCTAATAAAACGTTTTAAAATTATCTGGGTGCGGTATCATGTGCCTGTCGTCCTAAATACTCTGGAGGCTGAAGTGGGAAGATCCCTTGAGACTGGAAGGTTGAGGCTGCAGTGAGCCACGACTGCACTACTGCATTCCAGCCTGGGTGACAGAGTAAGACCCTGTCTCAAAAAAAAAAAAAGGACCACCACTTCTTACATGGAGAGAGCTTCCTCCCCTTTAAAGTAATCAAACATCCTGGCCAAAACCCATACCATAGCCTTCCTAAGGCCCAGCCTTTCCTCTTTACCTTTTTGCCAGTATACTGAAGCGTGAAAGGCTATAATGCTGAGCAGAAGAGAATAGGCAGAAGGTTCTGGGGTGATCTGTTATAAATAGAAAAAAACAAACTCTTACAAAACCCATGTTATCTGGGAATAGCAAGGAAAATTATTACCATGTAAATTAAGGGGGCACCCTAGAATACACAACGCAGTGCTGACATTAAATTATTTCATGTCAGCCTCACACTTTATGGCCTTTATTCTCAGTGGTGTGCTGACAAATGTTTCACAACCAACTCTTTAAGGGAACAACGGACTTGTGCTGATGGCCGGTGTCTATCTACTATTGCTGATTCCAACCTACCAATGGGGCTTCACTGAACATAGAGTTAGCAAGAGATGTGCACCCTAATACAGCGTTTCCACCATATAGTTAGAGATGTACAGATAATCTTACCATGTAGTGAAATAATCAGAAAGTGGTGAATTTTGAGTACTTACTACCTTTGTGTTTAATATAATTTCTTTCATAAGTTTATTTAACTTAATTTATATTAATGGCCGTCTTTAGCTGTCAAGCAAAATTCCTAAAAATTGAACATTCAGCTCTCACAAGCTGAGAAGAGCTGACTCTGACCCATCACTGTAATTATTCCACCTTTCAAAGTAGATTTCCTGAGACTTGCAACTGTTATCAGCAGCTTTCACACTACTCTAAAGGAAGACTGGCGAGAGGTTATTAATAGGAGAGAGAGTAGGAGGAGAATATGGGAGGATTGAGCCAGGAGTGCATGTGAGTGGGAGACAGGTGGGGAAGGGGTGTGACACTATAGGAAGTGAGAGAGAGCAGACAGAACATAGGGTAGTGGAAGGCTCCCCCTCCTCCGTTGTGTTGGTGGAAGATGTAAGAAAGGGCCACTGCAATTGTAGCGAGATCAGTGCAAAATTCTTAAATTTCTATGAAATGGCGATTACTTAAGCAGTTTAAATACTGTTAGCTTTTGTTAATTAAAAACTCCATAATTTACTCTCTTACTTTTTGATCATTTTCGTGTTATCTGGAAGTAGAAGGAAATACATTAAATCTTTTTCAGAAAATCTGTCACTTGACCCCTCCCTGATTTGTATTTTTTTTGCAATCAAATCCCATGTACTTTTAGTTTGGCAAAATGAAACCAGCTAAATCAACATCATGCACAAGATTATTTGGGAATCTGCTGTTTACCCTTAACAAACCACAATTATAGATGACTGCTTTTTGTTCTTGAGGAAATGGAATATACTCTGTGTGTGTGTTGTGTGTGTGGTGTGTGTAGTCTGTGTGTGTGTGTGTGTGTGTGTGTGTGTCTGTGCTGTGTGTGTCTGTGTGTGTGTCTGGTGTGTGTGTGTGTCAGTTGTCGTGTGTGTGCTGTCTTGTGGTGTGGTGTGCTGTGTGTGTGTGTGTGTTTGTGTGTGCTGCTGGTGTGTGTGTGCTGTGTCTGTGTGTGTGTGTGTGTGCTGTGTGTGTCGTGTGGGGTGTCAGTGTGGGTGTGTCTGTGTGTGTGTGTGTCTGTGTGTTGTGTGTGTGTGTCTGTGTTTGTGTCTGTGGTGTGTCTGTGTGTTGTGTGTGTGTGTGTCGTGTGTGTGTGTGTCTGTGTGTGTGTCTGTGTGATGTTGTGTGGTGTGTGTGTCTGTGTGTGTGTGTGTCTGTGTGTGTGTGTCTGTGTGTGTGTGTGTGTGTGGTTCTGTGTTGTGTGGTCTGTGGATGTGTGTGTCTGTCTGTGTGTGGTGTGTGTTGTCTGTGTGTGGGTCTGTGTGTGTGTCTGTGTGTGTGTGTTCTGTGTGTGTTCTTTGTGTGTGGTCTGTGTGTTGTGTGTGTCTGTGTGTGTGGTGTGTGTGTGTCTGTTGTGTGTGGTGTCGTGTGTCGTGTGTGTGGTGGGTCTGTTGTGTGGGTTGTGTGTGTTTGTGTGTCTGTGTGTGTGTGTGTGTGTCTGTGTGTGTGTGTCTGTGTGTTCGTGTGGTGTGTGTGTGTGTGTGTGTGTTCGGTGTGTGTGTGTGTGTGGTCTGTGTCGTGTGTGTGTCTGTGTCTGTGTGTGTGTGTGTGTGGTTGTCTTGTGTCTGTGTGTGTGTGTCTGTGTGTGTGTGTGTGTGTCTGTGTGTGTTGATTCTGTGTGCTGTGTGTGTGGTGGTGCTGGTGTGTGTGGTGTGTCTGGTGTGTGTTGTTGTCGTGTGGTGTGTGTGTTGTGTGTCTGTGTGTGTCTGGTGTGTTGTGTGTGTGTTGTGTGTGGTGTGTCTGTGGGTGTGTGTCTGTGGTGTGTGTGTGTGTCTGTGTGTGTGTGTCTGTGTGTGTGTGTGTGTGTGTATCTGTGTGTGTGTGTGTGTGTGTGTCTTTGTTGGTGTTTTGTCTGGGTAGTGTGTGTTGTGGTTGTCTGTGTGTGGTGTGTGTGTTTCCTTGTTCATGGACTCTTCCAGGGCCGACAGAATAAGCAAAATGCAGACCATTCCTGGAAGCCTGGATATTGCTGTTGACAACGTTCCCTTGGAGCATCCAAGTATGATGATGATGTCATGGTTTGGTTGCCGAGTTTTGAATATTGAATAGTTAGTGGGTTTTTTTGGTTGGTTGGTTGGTTGGCTAGTTGGTTGGTTACAAGGTTTTGGGGTTTTTTTCCCCCAAAAGTTTAAATATGTGGAATTCATGATGCTACAGAAATGTGGAGCTTCTTTTTGCTTCACTAAGACAGGTGATGAGTTTTGTAGAGCAAGAACTATAATCAGGGTAACCTAACATTTACCTGGTATGCACCATGCACCCAACAAGGTATTAAATTACGTCTTTTAATCCTCAAAACCCTGGAGGGTTTCAAAGAAGGAAAGTCAGATTTGGATAGATTAACAAACCAATAATCCATAACGGGAGAATATGCTTCCATTGAGTGAGTTCCTCTAACTCAAAATAGAGGCTAGTTCTGCCATACTGTGCTGCCAGAGGGTTACTCTGAACACTATGTGTAAGCACTCAAGTGGCCATGCAATGATTATAACTCAAATATTGTCAGACTCTGTTATTATACAGAGAATATAATTTTTTTTAGAATATGGTCAAAAGTATTGTCAGTAAAAAAAACTGAATTTTAGAAGGCACTTTTATTAACTTTATAAGAGTTTCAGAATTTAATTTTTAAGTGGTAAAATTGGTTTCTTTTGTTATTTCTGATTCTACCTTTTAGTGACTTTCTCAGCAATGCCAAAAAAAAAAAAAAAAAAAAAAAAAAAAAAAACAGAATAAAGGCCTCCTATAATGAACTCTAAACAGGGAAAGGACTATTGACATGGGATATTTGGATTACCATTGCGGTATTAAGTTTTCCATCCTTGTAACTTTATACAAATAATTTTAATATGAAATGTAATGAGCATTCTAACTTAAGCCATGGCTCGAAATCATTTTTATATTGATGGATGTGAAAAAGCAGAGGGTAAACTAAGCCATTTCCTCCACCTGATTTGGGGATCATTGTTTTTATTACCTATGGAAATGAAACATGACAAATGAGGCACTCAATATTCTCTTTGGAAGAAGGGTAGAATCTTAGAGAAATCTGAACACATAATAAAAATATCATAATTGGTTTTTGAAAAAAGAAAACCATAATCTGATTCTCAAGCATTCATAGCTAATCATTTTGCTTTTTAGAACACAGATTCCAGGTGGAGTAAAGGGAGGAAGAAGGCCTTGGTCTTTCAGTACCACAACTTCAGCCTTCAAACTGTTTGGTGACAGAAGTTTTGATTTATAAATTCCTAATCATTATTTCTTAAGCTATTCCTCCAAGAGTAGGTTTTAAAAGGTGATACAAACTGAAGAGAAAAATAAATAAACTGTATCTACTGATGAAGAGAGGGGCTTCAGGCCCGTGCTGTGAAATCCATTCTGTAGAGAGATATTGCTATTAATCTGTTACTATCAGTAATATATCTAATGGACAAGGCTTTGTTCAGTCATATATCAGAATATGTATTATTTTTATAGTGTTATAGCAAAGATTGGTGGATTCTTTCTTATAATATATGGTTATTATGTTCAGTGGTTCATTAGTTAAAATTTGTTTTTATGGGAAGCTTAATACAAAAAGAAAATAGTTATAAATCTGTCTAAAAGATTTACTGCTTTTTCTGAGACATCAGTTTTAATATTAAATATGTAGCTTGTTAATCTGCCATGCCCACCTCCTACAAATTTTTCCTGGTAGCGTAAGTTAATATCCATTGGCGTACAAGCCAGGAGTTCCTATCTTGAGTGGGTTCATTTTTAAATATGTTAAGTATTGTTCACTTTAAAAGAACCATATTAAATGACAAACTCTTATTTTCTGATTTTTTAAGATTGTGTAACATCGTCCTTTATCCCTGTCAAGCCTTTCAACATGATGGCTCAAACAGAACCCACAGTGGAGGTGGAAGAATTTGTTTACGACTCAACAAAGTATTGTCGGCCTTATAGAGTATATAAAAATCAAATTTATATTTACCCCAGACACCTCAAGTATGATAGTCAGAAATGCTTCAACAAGGTATGATATAAGTTTCTGAGATATCATCTTTTCTTTTCACCATATTTAGACCATATACAATAGTTCCTGAATGTGCAAATACAAATTACTATAGGGCAACACTTTGTCATAGAAAACCTTTTGGAGAAAATGTTTAGTAAGAGGCAGAGATGAGTTTTATCTTAGAAGTGTTTAAGGATGCAGTTTTGTAGCATATTAATAATCTTTTCTAAATCAGTCTTAAATAATTTTGTTCTAGACCATTTTTTTTTAGTTTCTTAAGATACTCTAAAAATAGCATGCCTGCCCCCCTTTCAATATGAGCTTTTACTTCCCTTTTAAGTACACTCTCCACATCCTTCTGTTATTTCAGAACATCACGGATAATGTCACAAGAAAATGTTGGATATTTTACATTTTTCGGATTTAATTAGAAGCTACTTATTTTAGGCACTTGGATATTTTTATGTTATTTGATAGGAAATTACAATTTCATTTTTTCTCTCCATAATTTCAGGCACGAAATATAACTGTGTGCATTGAATTCAAAAATTCTGATGAAGAAAGTGCCAAGCCCCTGAAGGTGAGCCAAGTCAGCAAAGGCACCCAGCATCAAGGGGGAAGGCAGGTGCAGGGATTCTTTCCACCATTGTGGGGCTTTTTATGTGAGTGTGGTTGAAAGAGCAGTAATTTAATACATTTGTTTTAGATCTGAAATGTACCTGATTTAACAGTCATCATTAACTAGATCTGTTAGAAATCCCAGTCTCATAGCTCTTTTAGCTTTTCATGACTTGGGAAAAAAGGACACATTTTTTAAATGAATAACCATACATCCAACATCTGATGATGACGAAGTCTTTCATTACGAGCTGCTTATCATGAACTTCTGGCCCTCTAATGTACACACAGTATTCTTGTACCTTTTGTTCTCAAATATTGACTCTCTGCTTCTCCCATCTAAAAATCAACAATCTCCAAGGTAAATGCCGAGACTCCCCTGTGGAAGACATTGCCTTTTTCAAAGATTAGCCTGCCTCTCGGTTCAGCGTGCTTGATTTAAAACAGAACTCCCAGCCGGCCCTCGTGTGGTCTGCGCAGAAGCACTGCTGCATACTGGCCCAACGTCTAACGCAGGCACCCGTGGGATGCCCACAGTTATGGAAGGTGCACGTGGCCAAGTGCCTGAGGAACTGGAAAAATGGCTCTGGGAAGTCAGTCCCGGTTGCTGATCACGTGATTTAGTATGCTCCATAAAACTGTGAGGTTTGCAGGCACTGTGCTGTTTTCACTCTACAAAGCTGCAACTGGATGGCATTTTTTAGAGTTCACATTTGATATATAATATGCAGTTTTTATTTTAGGGATTTCAAACAACATAAAGTAACCCATAAAAACTGAGGGGGAAATTATTTGTAGTGGGCCTGCTGCCGATCTTACCAGCTTCGGCAAATCAAAGAATGAGGTAGTAGAGGACAAAACTAATTTCTAACTAACCCCCACCATTCTCTGTGGTAGTCTCTTAAAGCACTCTGTCTGGTACAAACTGAGTCCTCTAATTTGTAGCATTATTCAGAAGAACAATAATCAATTTGAGTGACTGAATTAATCAGGCACAGTAAAGAGAGTCTTTAAAAAAAAAAAAAAAACTCTTGAGCCACTGTCAGCATCCACTGGCACCAAACTCCAAAATAGCGTTAGCATCAGGAGAGAAAAATTCAAGTGAAATATAATTGTCAAGCAAACAGAGGCAATGATCAGATGGCAAGCACATCTGGCCTGTAGAGCAATGTTTTTACATGGAAAATTGTAGAAAAGAAGAACAATCACAGGTGGGTCCCCGGCTTCACTGCATTCTAAGATACTACACAGAGATACAGCAAAGTCAAATGTCAGACGCCACAAGAGGGGTCTTGAGTTTTGGACAAAGGGGGCTTATAAGTTATAAGGAAGTGCCATATCACAGCCCCTGGCCTGATTCGGGGCTGGACAGAATAGTAACTTACTGTGGTGGAAACGGAAACCAGCCCTATCCCAGAAGCTGGCGTGTCAGGGGCTGGGGTCCAACCAACTCTTGTGGTTGCACAAGACCTTAACTCTAGATCAGAGCTGGTTCCATGGGGCCTGTATTACTCTGTTCTCACACTGCACTGGGTAATTTATAAAGAAAAGAGATTTAATTGACTCATAGTTCTGCATGGCTGGGGAAGTCTCAGAAAACTTACAGTCATGGTGGAAGGGGAACAGGCACGTCTTACATGGTGGCAGGCGAGAGAGAGAGAGAGCACCTGTGTGAGAGCAGGAAAAACTGCCATTTATAAAACCATCAGATTTCTTGAGAATTCATTGACTGTCATGAGAACAGCATGGGGGAAACTGGCCCCAGGATCCAATCACTTCCTTCCCTCAGCATGTGGGGATTATAATTCAAGATGAGATTTGGGTGGGGACACAAAGCTTAACCATGAGGGCCTGTTCAGGAAGCCATTCTACAGGAATCAGTCTTAAACAAGTTAGCCCTTATCCCATGTAAATTGAGAGTCGGATTGGTCCAGGTGATACCCATGGGCTAGGGGAGGTCCCCAAACACTCACCATTGTCTCGGGTCATTGTCTGAGTCATTGCTATTGTCCTGGGGTTGGTAACTGAAGAGTTATGGCCTTTTATTTCACTCAGGGATAATTTCAGACACTCATAACTGTTTAATTCATAACTTTTTAAACAGTGTATTTAGGACTCCAACCCCAGCTGGTGAACAGGCTCTTGACACTGTCACAAGAAGGATTTCAAGGATGACTCAGAAAATAGTGAAAGTACTTTTTGCGAAGCAAAAAGTACACACTCAGGAAAGAAGAGTGTGGGTGTACTCAAGAGAGACATTCGTCTGCAAGAAGGTTTAGGGCTTCTATCTTTAGTTTCTTTACATTCATGAAGATGTCTAAAGAAAGGTGACGATGTATCAGAAATGTGGTGCCACCTATATTTATAGCAAACATGGGTGTTTGCAAAACTGCCCAGGTGCTGGTGGAAGTGTAATTTAGTATGTTAATGGGCATATAATGAGGTCCTGGGAGAAACCTAGGTCAAATCCAGCACCATGCTGGGTACAGTTGGTCTTAGCCAGCTTGGCCCACATCTTATTTTTTAGGGTCTTATTGGCCACTGACTTATGGAGCTATTTCAACAGTATCCTTTTTGCTAGTCATGTGAAACCTCTGCCTGGAATTGTCTGTTCTCCTGTGGCCACCCTGTATTACTCCTGTCTCACAGGTATTTGGCCCTGGTGTATTATCTATATGATGAATGAAAGCCATCAAATTATCTTCAGCAGCTTTCACTGTATAATAAATGCAGGGTAGTAGGCCAAAGAAGTTAAAAGTTAATTAGATGCCAGCTTAGCCTGGCAAGTTATCACAAAGTTTGCCATTGTCCCAGGGTTGGTACTGAAGAGTTGTGGCCTTTTTTTCACCCAGGGATAATTTCAGACACTTATAATTGTTCAACTCATAACTTTTTAAACAGTGTATTTATGGAAAACCTGGAGGGACCATCTTCACCTCAGCCGCCTACACAGCAGTTCTGCACCACTCTCAGAATCCAGATTTCTCAGATGAGGTAAGAGCCAGCCCTCCACTGTCCCCCGCAGCTCCTAAGAAAGGTGGGTGAATGGTCAGATAACTGTGTAGTGAGAAACACTCTCCCTAGACCTCATCAGACTCAGGACATGCCTTGGCCGGTGTATACTTACCAAGATTTCTAAACTATATTAATTGACAGTTGTTCCAGGAGTACATTGCAAATTCATGTATTTCAGGACAGGAGTGACCTTTTAAAAAAATGGGATGCTGGCCAGGTGCAGTGGCTCACGCCTGTAATCCCAGCACTTTGGGAGGCCGAAGCAGGCAGATCACCATCCTGGTCAACATGGTGAAACCCTGTCTCTACGAAAAATACAAAAATTAGCTGGGTGTGGTGGCACGTGCCTGTAATCCCAGCTACTCTGGAGGCTGAGGCAGGAAACCCACTTGAACCAGGGAGTCGGAGGCTGTGGTGAGCCGAGATCACACCACTGCACTCCAGCCTAACAACAGAACAAGACTCCATCTCAGCTAAAAACATTAAAATTTAAATTTAAAAAAATATGCTTTTAGTGCTGGCATATATCTTTTCTTCTTTTCTTTTTCAGTGAGTTTTTTTTTTCTTTTATTTCACTAGCTAGTGAAGAGATTGTGTTAAATAGCTTTACCAATGAATGGCAGCATTTCATGTCATAAGGAAGAGAGCAGAGAACTAGAGCCTGAGCCAATTACATTGCTTATGACATGCCTGAACTTAAGTGAGCTTGGACCCTGTCATCTCTAAACATGACAGGGAACAAGCCTTGCCCTGGCAGGCTTTCAGGACTCTTGCTGTGTGCCAAGCCTCAAGCTAAATTCCATGCACACATCATCTCCCTTAATCCCCACAGTAATTCCAAGAAGTTGGTACTATTATTACCTCCCTATTTGATGGATGAGAAAACTATGGCTCAGAGAAGTCAAGTAACTTTACCAAGGGTACATAGTAAGTGAGAGAAATCAAACCAGGCCATGTGACTCCAGAGCCTGAAGCTTCACCCTTCTCCTCTAACACATAGAAAGTCATTGGGCTCATGGTCAATTACTATACACATGTTAGCTTACATTACAAACAACTTTAGACAAACAAGTTTCAGTGATAAAATTTAATTTCTAACCAAAAAGTGAAGGTCTGACTAGTGCAGCCTGCTGATGGGATGCCTGAGATTCACAATATCACACCTTTTATAGGCATTTTCTATGGCTGCTTTCACACATTACCAGCATTTAGCAGCTTAAAACAGCATGCAACTGTTATCTTACTGTTTTGTTATTCCGAAGTCTGAAATGGCTCACAGGGCTAAAATCAAGCTTGCAGCAGGGCTACGAGCCTTCAGGAGGTTCTAGGGAAGATTCCAGTTCCTCTCCTTTTCCAGCTTCCAGAGGCTGCCCACATTTCTTGGCTTTTGAGCCTTCCCGACAATCCCATCACTCTGACCTCAGCTTCTGTTCTCACTTCTCTTATGACTCTGTCTTCCTCTTATAAGGACCTTTGTGATGACACTGTGCTCATTTGGAAAATCCAGGATAATCTCCCCATCTCTTGGTCCTTAACTTAAACACATCTGTTAAGTCCTGCTTACCATGTAAGGTAGCATATCGGCAGAATTAGAACATTCAGGACATCTAGCGGGTGATGTCTTTCTGCCTCCCACACAGTGCACAGTAATCACTTAAAAACTAATTAAAGGAACACCAATGAAACACCTACCTGACATTATTTCACTCTCCCATGTACATTTAATGCTCCTTAATTTTTCCCCCACAAATTCAGGACAGAAAGTGAAATACAGTTAAGGGAAAACCATGATCACATTACAGAATATTTACTGTTATCGGTTGACCAAAGGGTCAATCGGTTGACAAAGCCCATCTGGAAGATGCTTTTTCTGTAGATATATGATTTTTTTAAAAAAATTAATATTCTTACTGTTCTTAACTGTTTTAATCTTTCTATTCTCATGTGTTTCCTGGAAGCCTCATGAAAGCCATGAGCTTTTTCACATGAGAATATGTACAATTCTGGGAACGACTCGGTTGCTGACATTGAGCTGCCTGCAGCTTACCGGAGTTCCAATGCAAAATGATCATCCCAAGATGTGGGTTCTTGTCCTGGAAGATCCTCTTACTGACCACACCACCTTTGCAGTAACTCAGAGCCCCCTAACATGTGCAGCCCTGGTTCCTAACACTGCACCATGCTACTTCACAAGGCTACTGGGGAAAATGAAATGATGACGTACGTGGCAGAGCTTTGAAAACTCAAAAGCACGATAAAATGTAGAGTTAGTTGAAAACATTTCTTTCCAGAAATAGAGAGAATGCCCTTCATTCAGTATATTTTATTTTCATTCAAAAGCATTATTTGTATAGCTACAGCCTGGCCACTTCCCAAAATGTCTCATTAGCTGTCACAGTAACACAGATATGTTTGTTAGTTTTTAAAAAGAGATCAATTCCATGCCAAAGCTGCATCATTTACTATACCATATTACTCAACAATGTGCATATGAGTTGCCTGGGGATCCTATGAAAGGGCAGATTCCAATTGAGTGTGTCTAGGTTAGTGTCTGAGACTCCAGCCTGGGCAATAAAGTAAGACATCTGTCTCTACAACAAGAACAACAACAAAAATCAAAAAGTTAGCCAGAGGTCATAGCCAGCTGCGGTGGCTCACGCTTGTAATCCCAGCACTTTGGGAGCCCGAGGCGGGTGGATCACAAGGTCAAGAGATTGAGACCATCCTGGCCAATATAGTGAAACCCCATCTCTTCCAAAAATACAAAAATTAGCTGGGTGTGGTGGCGTGCGCCTATAGTACCAGCTACTCGCGAGGCTGAGGCAGGAGAATCTCTTGAACCCAGGAGGTGGAGGTTGCAGTAAGCTGAGATCATGCCTCTGCACTCTAGCCTGGTGACAGAGCAAGACTCCATCTCAAAAAAAAAAAAAAAAAGCCAGAGGCCAAAGCTGCAATGAGCTGTGTTCGTACCACTGCACTCTAGTCTGGGCAACAAATGCGAGACCCTGTCTCCAAAATGAAAAAAAAACTTCTGTATTTCTAATGAACTTCCAAGTGATGCTTATGCAACTGGTCCCCAACCACACTTTGGGAGGCACGGACTTACTGTTTATTCAATTTGTGTCCCTTAATGACAGTTCCTCGATGTGTGTCTTATCTATATTCTGCAGTTACATCTGTGTGTGTGTTTCTGCATATGTATGTGCATGTATTTAATCCATACCCTAGTAGCATGAATTATCTAATGAGAAACACTAGGTATTCCAAATTATCATCATCCATCACAATAAAGAAGTAAAAATATCAACATGTGAATAAATCACTGCTAGCAGAAACAATATTTATTGAGCATTAAATCAGTACATCCAGCACTGTTAAACACGGACCTAGATTTCAGTTAAAGAATTTTTACCCATGGTGTGGTTGCTCATGCCTGTAATCCCAGCACTTTGGGAGGCCAAGAAGGGTGGATCATTTGAAGTCGGGAGTTTGAGACCAGCCTGGCCAACATAGTGAAACCCCATCTCTACTAAAAATACAAAAATTAGCTTGGCATGGTAGCACGTGCCTATAATCCCAGCTACTGGGGAGACTAAGGCAGGAGAATTGCTTGAACCCAGGAGGCAGAGGTTGCAGTGAGCCTAGATCACGCCATTGCACTCCAGCCTGGGTGACAGAGTAAGACACAGTCTCAAAAAAAAATAAAATTAAATAGAATTTTAAAAAAAAATTTTTTTAAAGCTATACTTTGTCTTGCTCTGATATTGGGCAAATGATTTTAATCTCAGTCCAACTATGGTTTCTTTCCTTGCAGGTGAAAATTGAGCTACCAACACAACTCCATGAGAAACACCATATTTTGTTTTCTTTTTATCACGTCACCTGTGACATCAATGCAAAAGCTAATGCCAAAAAGAAGGAGGCTCTGGAAACATCAGGTACTGCCAGGAAGAAATCTGAGGCAGAGTCACATGTCTTCTGTTCGAATTGGTTTGGAAAGCATCTTCAAAGCTCTGATTTATGCAATTATTTTTCATGAAGTTTAATATTAGTAAATAATAAATAGCGTTATTGTGACTTCTTACCGTGGAGGTTTGTACTCAGAATTTTTGTTTGTTATTCTTTTGCACAGTTGGATATGCTTGGCTTCCTCTGATGAAACATGATCAGATAGCTTCTCAAGAATACAACATCCCAATAGCAACAAGTCTGCCTCCTAATTATTTAAGCTTTCAAGATTCTGCAAGCGGAAAGGTACTGAATAATGTATAATTTAAGATTTTAAAAAAGCACACCAGCTTAATGGCATAAGATTATCTTCTTTCTCTGCTATTTAAATTAAGATCATAGTGTATACGTCCCTTGTAGCTATGAATCAAGCGTACCTATGCCACATCTCTTGTTTAGCTTATGGCCACTGGAAATGATCTGTTAAAATTGATCCCGATATCATATTGGTCTCATCTACCAATAGTGCTAAGTGTATTTGCATCTTTTATTTTCTCCTCTATGGTGACATAAGATTAATGGATCAGAACAGCATATTAACATAAACTAAACAATCTATTTATTTTGTTTCTCTCAAATTGTCACAGTGACCGTAAACAAACTTTATTTTGCAGCATAGTGGGAGTGACATCAAATGGGTTGATGGTGGCAAACCACTTTTCAAAGTATCGACATTTGTTTTATCAACAGTAAATACTCAGGTGAGCATGTTGACCTGAAATAGTAGCATTTTCTCTAACTCACAGCATCATGAGGTAAGTCCCATATTTACAGGATGAGACTAATCATTTCCTGAAGTGTCAGAAAGGCAGGTGTTTGAATACTACAAAGGAAGAATGTTAAGGGCATAATCTGATGCCTCCCTCAAGATAGATAGAATGTCCTAATCCCTTAAACCCATATACCATAAAACTTCAGACCAAAATACCAGAAGTGTATTTAATAGGATCACACTGCCCTTGGAATATGGCTTGCTTCTACTGACAACACTCATGTGTTAAAAATGTTAAATGTTAAAAACAAAGGCCAGGTGCAGTGGCTCATGCCTGTAATCCCAGCACTTTGGGAGGCCGAGGCGGGCAGATTACCTGAGTTCAGGAGTTCAAGACCAGCCTGACCAACATGGAGAAACCCCGCCTCTACTAAAAATACAAAATTAGTTGGGCATGGTGATGCATGCCTGTAATCCCAGCTACTCCGGAGGCTGAAGCAGGAGAATCTCTTGAACTCGGGAGGTGGAGGTTGTGTTGAGCTGAGATCGTGCCATTGCACTCCAGCCTGGGCAACAAGAGCGAGCCTCCATCTCAAAAATAATAAATAAATAAATAAATAAATAAACAACAAACAAACAAACAAATACTTCAGATCTTTACCTGAAAACCAAGTCCAATCCCCAATGCCTTCCCAGGGCTCATCTCATGGGAAGGCCATGAGGTTGGCAGAACTGCATTTGAGAACCACCCCACCTAATTTCTGGCTCCATGACCCTGGGCAAGTCACTTTACCTCCGATATCCTTATTTCCTCAACAAGGAATGATATCAACAGAGTCTCTGCTACCTAAGGTTGTAGCAAATGTGATCCAAAGGAGAAATATTTCAAAATGTGATCAAAATGAGAAATACATCATGAACTGCAAAAGTTAATACATGTATAATTGTTACCATTGTTAAATGACCACAAACTCATTCCTTCCACGGCAAAGCAGCTTATTTTACCACAATGTGAGTTTTCCGGCAACAGATATAAACTATACATTATTACAAGTACATAAAATATGTATTTCTCCTTTCTTAGGTTTAATGTGTATCTGCTTTTCATTTTTTGCTTCATGCTGCTTTATCTACAAGCCACACTTGATCCATAAGAAAAATGAAATAATCCAGGCATCATATATACATTGGACCAAAATTTCTCTCGGCAACCTCTGAGGCTTCAAGTCCCATTGACTTCTTATCCCTAGCCCTGAACCCACAACTATTTAAACCCATCTTTTCTCTGATGCCATCAACCCTGGTCAAGTTCCACAAAACGCTCAACGTCCACCAAACCCTATATTTTCGTATATCTCAGCAGCTCCTCAGTTTCTCTGTCTCATGCTTCCAGCTGCTTTCTCCAAAGAGCTGGTCTCTAACTCACCACAACACACCCTCTCTCTGCCTTGACTTTCGTCACCCACATGCTGGCAGCATTTACCTTAGTTTTCAAATACCCAAGGCCCTGCAGCCAAACAATATCCACCTGGTTCCAGGAAGACCCAGTGATCCCTTTGACATTCAGCCCCTCTTCAGTGGGGAAGAGAAGCTCTCCCACTCACTCTCCCTGACTATTACGAACCATATCATGGGGGGTGGACACCCTACGTGATATGGGGAATAATTGTACTCCCCTTTCCCGCCACCCCCCACCGCCCCGCCAGCTATTACGAATCATATTGCAGGGGGTGGACACCCCCTTCCCCTTGTTGGTCTGGTTGGTTCCTACCCATCCTTCAGATCTCAGCTCAATTGTCACTTCCTCTAAGAAGCCTTCTCTGTTCCCTGACCCAACAGACAAAGCTAGGCCATCTTATCACTCATCCAGATGGCACCTGCTTTGTGTTTGAAGTGCTCATCAAATGGGATTACATAGGTGTGTGTGGAAGTAGTGGTGTCGTGCTGGCCTCCCCGCCTTAATGGAAGGTACACAGAGGAAGGGGTTGGGCCTTCCTTGCCCTCCGCTCTGTCCTCCCTCGGTGCCTGCTAAGAGCCTGGCATGCAGTCAGCTTTCCATAAATAATGAGCAAATAGACGAATCAATGAAGTGATACTTAAAAGGAAAACAGTTGTTTCTAGTCAAAAAAGAGCTACATTTCGAAAACAGAAAATAGCATGCGCGCACACGCACACACGTACACACATAGTGACCTGAGGGAAATGAGGGAAACCCAAGCTACAGATGCCTTTCTGGAATCATAGAAACCAGAGAAACATCCAGAGTATGTCCTCACACAAGTTCTTTATCTCACTGCCTGACTGTGTACCTCCCACCCTCAGGGCAGAACATGAGAGAATTTTCCAGGTACCACCTTCTTCAGGAAATAAATTTCAAGTGTTATAGTCAGTTTTATCCTAAGATATGAGTTGTGGACTTCTAATCTGGGGCTAATTCAGGCATTCTAAGCCTGAAAATATGCCCCGTGGATATTAAAGAGTACACATTGTCATGTGTGTCAAGCATGGCATGGAAGAAATTGGTGGAAGTCTATGGAAGAAGCGGGAGTGGGAAGATAAATGAGGAAAATTTTTCTCAACACAAAAAGCACAACCAAGAGAAGTAATTCTCCAGCCATTGTCATGTGGTTGAACAGGACAACAAAACCTCTTAGAATGAAATAGAAGAGTGGGCTTTGTAGTTTATGCAGAGCCTTCACTAGGCCAGCAATGTCCACATCAAAGCTTTGTTCCTCCGACTCCTTAATAAAGCATTTGCACTTCAAGGCATCAATCCTACAGAAGTGCTTACCTCACATCACAGTGGTTTATGTTTGTAACACAGTTTACGTGTCATCAGAAATAAACTTTTTTTTTTTTTTTTTTTGCTGTTGTAGGATCCACATGTGAATGCATTTTTCCAAGAGTGCCAAAAAAGAGAGAAAGATATGTCTCAGTCACCTACCTCAAATTTCGTCCGCTCTTGTAAGGTAACATGACATGCAAGCAGTTTCAGTGATCTCCAGGGTAAAAATATGCAAAGGAGACATTTATATTTTCCACTGATTGGTAAACTGGGAGATGATTATTACTCAAGATTTTTTAATACCTTATCAATTCAGAGAGTAAATGATTTTATTTCATAATTTCTGAATCGTTTCTGTTTCTTGACTTAAAAGACAGGCAAAAATCAGTTTTTTCCAAAACAAAAATAATTGAAAATCAGAATCAATTTATTTTAACTTAGTTATTAAATCAAGAGTCCTTGCAACATTGCCATCATGCCTATATTCCATACTAATTGCAATAAAGAATAAAGCCAGATAAAGGTGGGCTACAGTGCTCATATTCAAGTTCTGAAAAAAATACCAGCAGAATATACTTTATTTTTTTCTAATGTATTCATTTCTTAATTAACAAAGAAAAATTATATGCCTTTATTGTATACAGTATGATGTTTGGAAATATGTATACATTATGTAACAGCTTCATTGAGTTAATTACTGTATTTGTTATATCACATTCTTATAATTTTTATGGTTATAACACTTAATATCCACTCTTTTAGAGATTTTCAAGAGTATAGCCCGTTTTTATTAACTACAGTCACCATGTTGTGCAATATTCCTCCTATATATCTAACAGAAATTTTGTATCCTTTGATCAGCATCTCCCAAGCACTTCCTCCCTAGCCCCTGGTAACCACCATTCCACTGTCTACTTCCATGAATTCAACTTTTTTAGATCCCACGTATAAATGAGATCGTGTGGTATTTGTCTTTCTGGGCCTGGCTCATTTCACTTAGCATAATATACTCCAGGTTCCTCCATGTTGTTGCAAATGACCAAACTTCCTTCCTTTTTAAGGCTGTATAGTATTCCATTATGTTTATGTACCACGTTTTCTTTACCCATTTCATCTGTCGATGGACACTTGAATTGATTCTATATCTCAGCTGCTGTGAATCGTGCTGCAATAAAGATGGGAACCTAGACATCTTCAGCATACTGATCTCACTTCCTTTGGATATACATCCAGTAGTGGGATTGCTAGATTATATGGCAGTGCTATTTTTAATTTTTTGAGGAACCTTCATATTGTTTTCCATAGTGGCTCTTCTGATTTACATTCCTACCAGCAGTATGCAAGTGTTCCTTCTCCTCCACATCCTCTCCAATAATTATTATCTTTCACCTTTTTTGATAACAGCCATTTTAACAGTTATGAGGTGATATCACACTGTGGTTTTAATTTGCATTTCTCCAATGATCAATGATGTTGAACATTTTTTATACATCTGTTGGCCATTTGTACATCTCCTTTCGAGAAATGGCTATTTGGGTTCCTCACCCACTTTTTCATTGGGTTATTTGTTTTCTTACTATTGAGTTGTTTGAGTTCCTTATATATTTTGGATATTAACCCTTTCTAAGATGTATGGTTTGCAAATATTTTCCTCCATTTAGTTTCCTTGGCTGTGCTGAAACCTTTTAGTTTGATATAGTGCCATTTGTCTGTTTTCACTTTGCTGCCTGAGCTTTGAGGGTCGTATCCAAAAAATCATTGCCCAGTCTAATGTCATGAAGTTTTTCTCCTTATGTTTTCTTCTCATAGCTTTATCGTTTCAGGTCTTGAATCTAGGACATGCTTCAAATTTAATTGATATCCTTTTTATTCTGCCAATTTACTACAGAACTTATTGAATGTGGAAAAGATTCACGCAATCATGAGTTTTCTGCCTATAATTTTGAATCAGCTCTTCAAAGTTCTGGTACAGAATGAGGAAGATGAAATAACTACAACTGTCACCAGGTATCCGTAACACAACCTTAAGAGAAGAGACTTTATAATCTGTAGTTACACAAACTCTTAATTATAACTAAACAGTCATCTACTGTTGAGTGTTTACATTTCATTTGAACGCATCTCTAATTTAAGCATTTTCCACTCTTGACTCCTTATCTTCTAATACCTTATTATTAGTAGTAAAGTGTTAGACCTCTTTTTCTTTGATTTTTAAATTAAAATTTTTATTTTGAGATTCATATGCAATTGTAAAACATAATTCAGTTTCCCATGTGCTGTTTACCTAGTTTTCCCCACTGGCAACATCTTCCATACAGGTGTAGAATCATACAGTATAAATTTTTGAAATTGGCTTTTTCACGAAACATAATTCTCTGGAAATTCATCCAGATCATTGCATCTATCAGTAGTTCACTCCTTTTCATCACAGAGTAGTATTCCATGATGTGGATGCACCACGTATGTTTAATTATTCACCTGTTGAAGGACATCTGGAGTGTCTCCAGTTTAGGGCTGTTATGAATAAAAGTGCTATGAACATTCATGTACAGGTTTTGTGTAAACATAAGTCTTCGTTTCTCTGAAGTAAATGCCCAGAGTGTAACTGCTGGGAGACAAGGTGGTTGCATGTTTGATATTTAAGAAAGTGTCTGTTCTCCAGAGTGGCTGTATCATTTTGCATTCCCACAAGAACCTTTTTTTAAAATACTAAATTTTTTAACTGTTCTCACTTTAAATTTGGCTATACTGACTTCTTCCAACATCTCTAATGTGGCCAATGCCTTCACAGATCACAGTTTCTTCTTTATAGAGATAGTGTTTTGAATTAATTATTAAATTTATATTTGTGCTGTTCATTTTTTATAAAAACTTAGTCATAGCATTCTGGAAAAAAAAAATGTTACTTTTGGCATTGAAATGTTTCCAGTATCTTTCTAACTCACAGGCCTGTTACTGACCTCTTTCTGAATGAGGGTTTTTAGCCTAGTTTTTAAAGCAGAGCCTGAAATTCTGGACAATTTAAATATCTCTAATGGCTCCACAACCATCCAGTTCTGGACCCACATTAAAAGTCCCCAACTGTGTCTTCAACTCATGCTCTTTTCAGCATGTGAATGTGTGTCTGTGTTGGCAAGACTCCTAAATATTGCAGCAGATAGATCTGTTGAAAATTCTGAGATATTCCTGAGCACCATAGCCATGGAGTTATAGTGTTAATGTGAAAAAAGAAAAAAAAAAAAAGCCGAAAAAAGAAAAAAAGCCATGGAGCTATAGTAGTGTTCATGTGAAAAAAGATCCACCTGTACCGTCACTGCTACTGGAAACCCCAACCCAGCTACGAGAAAAACAAAGCAAAACAAACCAACTGCATCTTAACCTAATTACTTCTTCCAAAAGCATATATACTGCCCATCGATCGGAAGGCAAGCCCTTTTCAAATGAAATATGATTATTAATTTGAAGTTAAAAGTCTAAAAATTTAATTAGGCACTAAAAGTAATCCCTTTTGCAAAAAAGATAATGTCAAAAATGCACAGACTATAATTAGCACATTCAACTTGGACAAAAAGTCTCCATTGTGATATTACAACACTACTTATATCTTTGTGTTTCAAAGTTTCAAAGTTGGAAATGGCTCATTGATGGAAATGGTCATCGATGCTATAGATATTAAATGCCCAGTATTGGATATGGGGGTGAGAAGGGCAAGGAAGGAGTCAGAGATTGGTTCATTCATTCACCCGGTAACTATTAAATACCCAATTTACGAAGCACTGTAATGACAAACTAAAGCGGGATTTTTCTGCCCTCTCCAGAAAGGCCACTGATCAGCTTTGCTTTTCCAGGGTTCTGACCGACATTGTGGCCAAGTGCCATGACGAACAGCTGGATCATTCTGTCCAGTCATATATTAAGGTATGAAATGCCTCTTGGAAATTGCTCATATCCCTTGTGCTGTGTGGCTTGTCTCATTTCCTGTGTGCAGTAAGTGGGAAGTTTTCTCCCTTTAACTGAGTGGCGCCTATCACAGTAATATCAGGAATTCCCCTTAGCTACTTAGAATTCCATCTCTTTGCATTAATGGGCAAGGTGAATTTTTAAACGTATAAGTAATGTGTACCTGTGCAAATAAATAATTAAATGGGGAGAGAGAGGAAAGAAAAAGATAGAGGAGAAGACTCAAGTGCTGTGCTTTTGAAGTCAACATTACAAGTAAATGAGATTCCTGTGTTAATTTAAGGAAGACTTTCCTATTGGTTTGTTGAATGCTCTGTGTTTCCTCTGCAATGCTTTCTTAGCTCTTTCTATTGTTTTCTCAGGCATTATTTCATTTTCCCAGTTACTGTATATTTGTACCTGCTTCTGGTATGTTAAGTCCTTTATCTTCTGGCATGAACCACTTGCCCATTCCATCAGTGTGCACTGCTTCTTCCAGTGTCCTATGTCAAGTGTTCACTCAGAGATGCTTCTATTCTCATTTCCAGTTGGCCTGTGGATTAATGCCAGTGAACTTGTGATGATGTTTATGTTTTCGTAGTTCCCACCTAAATGTCATCCTCTTTAATGAAAAGAAAGAACCCATCCAGAAATACAGAAGAGTATCTTAAATTACTTTATAATACATAGAGGATCTAAATATCTAATCTTGTTCCTATGCATAGATTAAATCTTTTTGAGACATAGCTTTTTCATCAAAAAACTATATTCTCTTAATATGTATGCACAGACAGATACTAACATATTCAAGATGTCTAGAAACTTGTTTTTTAAAAAAAATTGGCTTGGTGTGGTGGCTCACGCCTGTAATCCCAGCATACTGGGAGGCCGAGGTGGGCAGATCACGAGGTCAGGAGACTGAGACCATCCTGGCTAACACAGTGAAACCCCATCTCTACTAAAAATACAAAAAAAATTAGCCAGGCGTGATCGTGGGTGCCTGTAGTCCCATTACTCGGGAGGCTGAGGCAGGAGAATGGCGTGAACCCAGGAGGCAGAGCTTGCAGTGAGCCAAGATCGCGCCACTGCGCTCCAGCCAGGGCAACAGAGGGAGACTCCATCTCAAAAAAAAAAAAATCCTCGCTCCCATAAAAGGAAGTAACCAGAAATTGCATTCTGGAGAGAACCCCTCTAAGATACCATCTGGAAGGAAATATTTTTCGTTAACCATTTTTATATCCATATGTTTTCTATCTGTCAGAAATGTTGGTTGTCTTCCCAAATACCAAAGTATGAGTGTGTGCCCTTTTTAAACATAGGCTACATGCTGAAAATAGTTATTTCACAATAATTTCTTACGGTATAATTTTACCCAATAAGATCCACATCTCAGTTGTAAAAAGCCAGTTCTACCTACACATGCCTTTTTAGTTTGCTCCCTAAGATAGGGTCATAGCTTAGTTTTATAGAGTATCGATGAATTTACCATTCAACAGAATCACCTCGAGAGGTTTCACCCTCTCAATGCTTACCCCAATGTTTCATTTCAATCCTTAAAGGGACTGAGAGAGAAAGAGAAAAAAAGTTCTTGACCCATCTTATACACAGGCATCTCCATTTCAACACATATTATTTTCCTCATGTCAGTGAAATCATTGAAAATTACTTTAAGAATTCTCCTGTGTTGTGACTATTTTTGTGATTACCAAGGCTAGCTCTTTGTGAGTACCTCAAATCTCAGACTCTCTACCGATGATGCTCCTGGAGAGATGCATTAGAAATGCATCCTGGTGTGGCCCTTATTTTTAACCAGGATATCTGAAATACCCAATAGGACCATCTCACTTTATAATACAGGAGATTATCTACTTAGGTTGCTTTAAGTGATTTAAATCCAAAAATACACCTATGTGGAATTTTAGGCTGATAACAATTTTATAATAAATTTTAACATATCTAAAATACCTCCTAATAAATATCATCAACTCACATTTTACTCTGGAAAGAACACTAAGCTGGCAAGTAAGAGACTAGATTCTAGTCAATTCTGACTGGAGCAGTCAGCCTCTCTGAACCTCAGTTTTCTCCTCTGTGATGCGCGATGAAATGACCAAAGGAACATTCAGCTCTATCATTCTGTGACTGGACTCAGTGCATGCTTGAATGTCCTCGAAAGATGTGACATTCAATGCAATTTGTATTTATTCAGAAGTTATCTAAACACCATTTCAAGTTCAGTGGTGCTAAATGCTGCTAACTCACTTCATCTACAATATTCAAAATGCACACATACACCGTGCCTTTTTCAAAGATGCGTGGCTAAAGCCAGTCTAATTAAATGCCATGGTTAACAGTGATTTGTAGCACTGATGGGTTATAGTCAACATTTTAAAATAATATTTCAGTGCCAGTTTAAATGCCCTTCAGGCTAAATAACTGTGCATGGCATGAGCTCATTGATGACATTGCTCTCATCTGAGGTATAATCCATGAGAGGGAAAAATTGTATTACTCTTGATCTTATCTAGTTTCATGCATCCATTAACTTCATCTTTCTTCTTTGAGATGAGCTTGGAGAAGTCCAATCCCACCAAGACAAGTTAGGTTGCCAGTGTGCTACAAAGTTTAAAGAAACAGTTACAGATCCCAAAGCTCATGTGCCTCTATGTTAAGCCATTCATTGTCTTTCCTGCCTTCACTCTCAATTATAGTGAAATCTGAATTGTGAAAATTATGAAGAAATGTCCTTCCATGAGGCAAGCCCAACTCATAAGTGAAATATTATAATTCAGTAATAAGCATTTTATATTTGAACTTTATGGATGTGCATAAATTGATACTGATATTCTTAAGAGATGAAGAAATACTGAAAACTAGCCATTACATGCACTCAGTGGTGCATGCCAAAACCAATCTTCTGAGGAAAAAAAATAAGTATGCACCATTTGTTATCTTACTGATGGCCAATGTTCATGAACGCCTTGATAGATGTGTCTAAGCATGGGATGATAGACCCTGGGCTTGTAGGGAGCTCACCTACTGGCCTCTGGAAGGCACCGGCTTCCCCACTTGGCTACTTGAGTGGGTGCTCTACCCTTTCAGGATGAAGAATTGCTACCATGCCACCTGTTACCAATGGAGGAAGGAGAAGGGGAATGTGTCCTAAGTAGGTGGGTCAAAGCCCTCCATGTTTCCTTGAACGTGTTAAATGGCTCTCCGGCTCTTTCTCTTGATTTCTACAAAGAGTTTCGAGGAGAGCTTAGGTGAGCAAGGCCCGACTTCTGCAAAGCCCTAAATAGGAACAGGTGTGTCCTGCTCTTATCATTGGGCCTGCATTTATTTCATGGCAAAATCTGGCATGAGCAGATAATTTTGAGATATGAGTTATTCACATGGCATAGTTTTTGAAGCTTCATTTTTCAAAGTATTTAACTTTATTCACTTTTTGGATTTTCTTCAGTTCGTGTTCAAGACCAGGACATGCAAGGAGAGGACTGTACATGAGGAACTGGCTAAAAACGTGACTGGTCTTTTGAAATCAAATGACTCAACAACAGTAAAGCATGTCCTAAAGGTAAGAATTTAAAGATGGTCCTTTAATGTGAGTACTAGGCATGGATCATGCTTATCCCTGGAAAATGATAGGAGTCATTGATGTAGACTGTTTCTCTTGCAGTTTCCAGCATTAAGATTCATATTGAAACTTAGCATATAAAGATACTAAGCAAAAGAGATCTATATCAAGACAACATACAAAAAAGTAGAATGGGCTGGGTGTGGTGACTCACCCCTGTAATTCCAGCACTTTGGGAGGACCGGAGATGGGCAGATCAACTTGAGGTCAGGAGTTCAAGACCAGCCTGGCCAACCATGGTGAAACCCCATCTCTACTAAAACACAAAAACAAATTAGCCAGGGAGTGGTGGTGCGCGTCTGTAATCCCAGCTACTTAGGAGGTGGAGGCAGGGGAATCGCTTGAACCCGGGAGGCAGAGGTTGCAGTGAGCTGAGATCACATGCCATTGCAACTGCAACCTGGGCAACAAGACCAGATTAGATAGGCTAGGTAGGAGGTAGGTAGGCTAGATGATAATAGATAGGTAATAGATAGATTAGGATAGACAGACAGACAGACAGACAAAGATATTGTATGTTAGAAAAGAAGATGGCGCCGGGCGGCGGTGGCTCAAGCCTGTTAATCCCAGCACTTTGGCGAGCCGAGACGGGCCGGATCACGAGGTCAGGAGATCGAGACCATCCTGGCGAACCCAGCGTGAAACCCGTCTCTACTAAAATGCAAGAAAAATTAGCTGGGCGAGTGGCGGCGCCTGTAGTCCCAGCTACTCGGGGAGGCTGAGGCAGGAGAATGGCATGAACCCGGGGGCGGAGCTTGCAGTGAGCCGAGATCGCCGCCACTGCACTCCAGCCTCTGGGCGCACAGAGCAAGACTCCGTCTCAAAAAAAAAAAAAAAAAAAAAAGAAAGAAAAGAAGATGGCTTGGAAGAAATGTATAGAACTGGTAAGAATTGGGCATTGTGAGTACTGAAGGTGTAGGGGAGAGTTGAAGTTTTAAATAGAGTGATCAGGATGTATCTGATGGAGAAGGTAATTCTTGAGTAAAAAAAAAAAAAAAAAAAATGTGAAGGCAAAGAGGGTGCTGGCCATGGAGATGCTCAGAGGGAAAGACCTGCATGAAGTCATCAGGCAGCAGCACGGCTGGTGTGTCTGCAGGAGACAGGGAGGACACTGTGGCTGGAGCCAAGTGAGCAGAAAGAAAAAAAAAAAAAGATGGAAGATGAAGTCATGGAAGCCACTGGAGGCTTGGCAGTTAGCACAGGCCTGGCTTTCCCACTCAGAGCAGAACGGGGATTTGTGTCATTGGAAGGTTTTGCACAGAGGAGTAATGTTTTAAACCAAGCTGACCTTGGTTTAAAAGAATCCCTCTGACTGCTGTGTTGAGAATCGACTACAGTGGGGTGAAAATGGAGACCGCAACCACTCGAGGGGCTATCAGAGAGGCAGGATCCTCTGTGGAGAGTCACTGCTCAGTTAAAATACGGAGTGAAGAGAATGCTCGGAGAAGAACTGCATCTTCAGGAGATTGTGCTAATGATGGACCATGTGCTCTGGAAGGCGGGGCAGGCGGGTTTCAGGAGACGGGAGGCAGTGGAGTGTGCAGATACATAAGGGAACGTGTGGAGAGGGCAGCAGAGGAGTCAAGGTTTCATCTGTCATCAGACGTAAACAGGCAAAAGCTCAATTTCATTAGTGCTGGTGGATTCAAGGAAAATAGTGGAGGCAGGCCAGAGTGCTAAGGGGTGGAGAGGGGCAGGAGTCTGTTGAATTAAGAGACAAATGTTGGAACACTTGACATGATGGCTAAAAATATTTTGGACAAGACTAGGGAGAGAGGATTGCAGCAGTGTGCCTGGGATTCATTCATATTCCTAACAACATGTTTCACTTCTAATAGCCATTAGAATGCTGTTGGAGTGCTAGGATAGTATTGGTAGCCATTTCCACTTCTTACTAAGAAGTGATCACTCCATTAAGCCATAGCTGCCTTTGTAGAACATCAATCCCTTCTCTTTTTGATCTGAGCCAGTCTTTCGGAATTAGGACTATGTTGTCAAAAGTTTATAGCAGCCTTGTTTGTATGAGCTTAAAACAGGATATAATCCAAATGCCCATTGACAGTAGAGCAGATAAGTACGTGGTGATTATATATGTCATGTGGTGACCATAGGTGATGCCCCCAGCTACATGCTTCAACATAAACGAACCACAGAACAGAGTTTGTTGAATGAAAAAGGCAATCTCAGAAGAATACATAGAGGACAGTTCCATTTATATGAAGTTCAGTGGCCAGATGAACTAAATATCCCTTCATTGTATAAGTATTCATAGCAAAATTGTGAAGTAAAGTAAAGGGAATGATTAGCATAAAATTTAAAACTGTTACTGTGGTGGAAGGGGTGGGAAGCAGAGAGGATGCAAGGGGTGCGTTCTTGAAACTGTACATAAACAATATGACTTTTTGTAGCTAAGTGTCACCCTTAGGCCCAAGAAAGAAGGGTGCCCATCCTGGGGTGTGCTTTGCTTTTCTCATACTGCACCCATCCTCATAGGCCAAGGTTTAAGAGGAGCTAAGAGAATAAACAGAAGAAGCCCACCAGGAGCCCCTACCTCCCCTTCTAGACCTGTAAGGAACCCCAAGACCCTCTTGCTGAAGGTCCTATAGGCGGATTCCCAGGCCTGCTTCAATCTCTGTCCCAAGCCCTCCAGGACCCCCAGAGGACAGGTCTTGATGCCTGAGTGCAACACTAGACCCCATTAAGGAGCTATTTGTGGCAGGGAGGAGGGTCGCATTGTGGATAGCACTCAGATGTGCAGGCTGGACAGTTTCCAAAAGAGCTCAGGTGAACAAGGTCCTACCTCTGCAAAGCCCTAAGTAGGAACAAGTGTGTACTGCTCTTATCATTGGGCCTGCATTTATTTCATGACAAAATCTGGTATGAGCAGATAATTTTGAGATATTAGTTATTTAGGTGACATAACTTTTGAAGCTTTGTTTTTTAAAATACTTTACACATATGCACCAGGCCCCTCAAGGGGGAGGACAGCGCCTTGGGCGAGAAGAAAAGGGTTAGGCCAGGCCCTGTGCCCCCTAGGACCTCACACACTGGTGCGGCATTCCAAGGTGTTATGAAGTTTTGTTTGTCGAGGTAGGAGGATCAAATATATTTTATTTAACACCTTTTCAGCTTGACTTCCAACTTCTAGATATTTAGACATATGACCTTCCATTTTCACCCTTGCCTCTAACCTTTGAAATTTTAGGGGTGAGCCTGGTACAATAAAAAGTTTGTTTAGGTCGGGCTTGGTGGCTCACGACTGTAATCCCAGGACTTTGGGAGGCTGAGGCGGGAGGATCACCTAAGACCAGGAGTTCAAGACGAGCCTGGGCAACATGGTAAAACCCTGTCTCTACAAAAAACACAAAAAGTTAGCTGGGCATGGTGCACACATCTGTAGTCCCAGGTATCCAGGAGACTGAGGTGGGAGAATCACCTGAGCCGGAGAGTTCAAGGCTGCAGTGAGCCGTGATAGCACCACTGCACTCCAGGCTGGCAACAGAGTGAGATGGTCTCAAAAAAAAAAAAAGTTTGTTTAGTTTTGTTTCACTAAGTGAAACAACTAGAACATCCCTTGAATAAATATTTCGTAAAATAACAGCTTAGTCAGTCATGCCACGTAAACTTGTAACTTGTTTTAAATGTTTTTTGAGAGGATTGAGAAACTGAAATGTCTGACATTTACTTTTACCACTAGAACTTTTTATCCCATTTTATAGTGGGATAAAAATCATCCCACTATAATAGAGAATATTTTACTGCTCTAATTCATTTAGTTTCAAAGAACACATTTTAACATAACAATGTTATAGTATATTACATATTACAAAGAAAAAAATTATCATTATTTTACCATAGGGATAATAAATGTCTCGTTGCCTTTTTTTTCCTAATAGCATTCCTGGTTCTTCTTTGCAATTATCCTAAAATCGATGGCACAGCACTTGATTGAAACAAATAAAATCCAGGTAAGAACATCAGTAATATAATATTATAATATGTTTACAATATTATCCAACAATTGCACTAATGATTATGCTGTCATTAGTTCCATTTTTACTTGCTTTATAAACCTTAGCAATTTACAATAATTACTTTATAAGTAGGAGAAATGATTGTGTACATCTGCACAGGCCCTTCAGAAGCAGATACCAAGACAATATTGGAAATGCAAAAGATGTATTGGAGGGAAGTAACTATAAAGGATAAAAGGAACAGAAAAAAGAAATGGGAAAGTCTGATGCCTGTAAATGAAAAGCGGGAAGGAAGGAGGATTGGCTAGGAAGAGTCTCACAGTGATAAGGTTTTAGCTGGGCTAATGGGAAGTCTGAGAGCAAAGAGTTGTCATTAGAGGAACCCTGCACTGGGGAGGCCATCTGACTCTAGGACCTCTGCAAGCTAAGTCATTGACTGGGAGCAGCCTGGGGAGAGGGTAGCCTTGGCATGAATGCTGGAGCAGATCCCAAGATACAGCAGCTCTTTATATTCCTCTACTAGATTCTGTCTTGAAGAAACATTTGAGCAATGCACATTCCTGGCTGCCACAGTCCAAGTTTGCATGACATATTGTACATGTTCATGAATCTGCTTCCCCACAGTTCCCATGGGCCTCTCCTCCTGAAAGGAAGGAAGCTTAGAAGAGGGACCCTGATGGAATTAACTAAAGCCCCTGCCATGGCTTTTCAGGAGCCTACGTATTACTCATCATCTCCCGTCACAACCCTCCATTCTAGATCCCTCTCACCCTAGCTAGCAGCTCCAAACGTCTTGGTGACTCACCTGGTGATGTAACCCAAACCCTCATTCTAGAGTGGTCTTGGCCTCAGGTCATCATACTGTACTCACACCAGAGTTGGTACATGTGGCCATTCACAGTTACAATGGAGTGAGGAAGACCAAGAAGCAGCCAAGTAGATCACCTGAGTTCCACACACATTTCTCTCAGCCCCCATTGTGGGTAAGGTCAAGGGAAGACCTTTGGCATTGCCCTTGCCCCACATGGAGAGTAAATCAGAACAATGCTGCATGAGGTGGGGGTGGTGGTGTACAGTGATGTTGTTTTGATTTACTCTTTTGGTGGGGGAGAAGCAGCGTCAGAAGCTTCCACCTGGCCTCTCCCTCTAGGCTACCTCCACAGACGAAGCACCCCATGGAAGGTTACTCCAAATGCCAATTTTACTAATACAAATTATACATTTGGGACCAGTTACGTGACTATTGGGGGAGATCTTTGAACCCAATGGATCTACTGTTAACAGAACTTTAGTCAGGACTCCACTTTTAATCCCTATAAGTGCCCACTCTATCAGGGTGATGCTTTTCATTTCTGGATATCAGTGTCAACTCAGATCCTGTGTCCAACAGTCCTTGAACTGTATTCCCTTCTTCTCAGTGTATAGTAGCCTGAGTAAATGGCTACAGGGCCCTTTGGAGAAGAACTGATAGACTCATTACACTACGTACCTACTGCATTGTTGCAGCAGGGGCTTTCCTTTAGGGACTCCATCACCTCTTCAGTCAATGTGTACCAGATCTGAATTGTGACTCAGGTCCAGGAACAGAGAAAGGAACCATGACTATTCATTAGAATGAACATCCTCATCTTCCAGTTGCCCATTCTTGCCTTCTTTGTTAATATGATGTACCACCATTGCTGGTTGCTGTCTGTTTTGTCCCTAGGAGTTCCAGGTATCATTAACCAGCTCTACAACTCCCTGAGAGTTGGTCCCTCTTGGCTTCCCCACCAGTCTTGCCATTTGTCATGATACTCACAGCCTCCTGGCTCCTAAGATTAAGCGTAGCACATGGCCTCTGTTGTTTTGGTGATCCCTGATCCCCATGGCTGCTCATGAGCCAACACTGTGACTGCTGCTCCTGCCAACAGATGGGAAACGCCCCTGATTTTCTTAACGATATTGGTCTCCAGCACCTTCTTGATGGCCGTGGTGCATGCTGTCTTCTGGGCCTGCCTGGGGAACTTGATACGCTGGTGGATCTTCTGGTCTCAATTAATATCCATTCCCACATATCCATCTCTCTCCACCTCTTTATTTTTTCCTCTATCCTCTGCCAGGACAACCAGACATTTCCACTTCGCTTAAAGTAGGCCATCTCTGGATTCTCAGAGCAACCCTAGCAGTGAGTTGCTCATCCCGTGAGTCCTTATTTAATCCCGTGTTCTGAAAAAGCACCTCCATGTCAATGCATTCTAAGTTACCTGCCCTTACTTTCTGGCCCACATCCTCAATGTCCAATTGCAGAGGTTCTGCCCTACCTCCTGGTGGTACATGCTAGCTAATTTTTATAGCCCCTTTGGGTGTATTCTCTTTCTTGCTTTTTTTAGGACCAGCAAGCCCCCAGCTGGGTTAAGCTAGGATTTAACCTCCAGGTATTGTCCTGATCACCAGAAGGAGAGGCGGGACAACTCCTCAAGGGTTTGCCTGATTTCTAGCAGGGAGAAGCCTCTGCAATATCATCTTGCATGAGAGGAGTGCTGACACTTAATGGGGAGGAATTAAACTTCTGTCAGCACTAAGGCTTCAGGGAAGTATGCAGATCCACTTCCTCAGAGTCATCCATCCAGAGGTCCTCATCCACGCTCTAGGCCCCAGGTCTTTCTAACCACGGCCTTGATCTTAGCATGACAGAAATGCCTTGCTGGACCTTTAATTGTCTGTAGAGTTCTGTAACTCTTAACTCGTAAATCCTGTGTTTGCTTTTCTGCTGTATCTGCTTTCCACTTCTGGAGATGAGAACCTCCTACCTGGGAGGGAGAGAAAATCTAACACAAAGATAAAAATGGTTCATATCTCGCTGTCATTAAGCTCTACTGGGGTCAGGAAACCTCACTGTTGAAATTCCTGCTCTGTCACTAACTTGTTAGCTGATGAAAATGACGCTTCACATCTCAGTGCCTGTTTTCTCATCTGTAAGAAGAGTGGATTGGACTAAAATTCTCTTCTAGTTCCTACCAATATGCATCTGCTTGTATAGACAGGTCACAAAACACACCTGTGAGCAGCCTAAGAATAAATGAACTGATAATAGCCAGCATGATTGTGTCCAGCAGTTTGTCTTCCCCGATAGAGGTATGCTTTTCATGACCCCCTTCAGTGGTAACCGTCACACCCTAGTCTTCTTTCAGGAGCGCTGCACCTTTCACTCTCTAACCATCTCTCATCATCACAGTGGGAAAAGACCTGATACCATCTTTTTTCTTTTTTTTTTCCGAGACCGAGTTTTACTCTGTCGCTCACACTGGAGTGCAGTGGCACGATCTTGGCTCACTGCAAGCTCCACCTCCTGGGTTGAAGCGATGCTCCTGCCTCAGCCTCCCAAGTAGCTGGGATTACAGGCGCATATCACTACGGCCAGCTAATTTTTGCATTTTTAGTAGAGACGGGGTTTCACCATGTTGGCCAGACTGGTCTCCAACTCCTGACCTCAGGTGATCCACCTACCTCAGCCTCCCAAAGTGCTGGAATTACAGGCATGAGCCACCATGCCTAGCCCATTTTTTTTTCCCTTGAGACAGGGTCTCACTCCTGTTGCCCAGGCTGGAGTGCAGTGGCACAATCATAGCTCACTACAGCCTCAACTTCCCCAACTTAGGTGATTCTCCCACCTCAGCATCCCTAGTAGCTGGGACTACAAGCACGGCCACCAAGCCCAGCTAATTTTAGATAGATAGATAGATAGATAGATAGATAGATAGATAGATAGATAGATAGACAGACAATCATATATATTTAGTAAAATGGGGTTTCTTCATGTTGCCCAGGCTGGTCTGGAACTTGGGCTTTAGTGATCCACCCACCTCAGCCTCCCAAAGTACTGGGATTACAGGCGTGAGCGATTGTGCCCAGCCCTGATATTATCTTTTGACACCAAAGCATTCATAGTAAACTTTCCCCAAGCTATTTGTGGCGCCTGTAATCCTAGCTACTTGGGAGGCTGAGGTGGGAGAATCACTTGAACCCAGGAGGCGGAGGTTATAGTAAGCTGAGATCACACCATTGCACTCCAGTCTGGGTGACACAGAAAGATCCTGTCTCAAAAAAAAAAAAAAAAAGGCAGAGTGTGGGTTGCAAGAACTCAGCTGTCTCAAACATTCTCTTCATATGCAGGAGTCCAAACAGGAGGGACGGATTTCTGGACCTGAAATGGTCTTTTGGGATCCATAGAGCTTTATTCAGTGGATGTAATGTCATCTCACAGCCAAGCCCTTCTTTATCTTGACTTGTGAGGCTCCACTGGTGCCTCTTAACTGTGTCTTATACTAGGACCAGGGAGTTAAAACTAGCTGGGACTCACCATGTATCAGAGGACATTTCAAACCAGTATCTGTACTCATTCAGTTATTCATTTATTAATTTCTTAGAGTTGTTTATTGGGAGAATTCCTAGTTGTAAAAAAATCAAAATAATTTATTTTAAAATGAAATAGAGAACTACATGTCCAAAATATCTAGAATAATGTTCATTAAACCATTAATAGTAGCTATTCCCTGAGAGGGAAGGAGGGAAAGAAAGATGTGAGAGGTCATAGAAAAGGTTCACGTTTTACTTTGTACATTGCTACATTGTTTCGATAGTTTGCAATTAATATTTATGACTGACTTTTTTATAAGGTGAAAATTTAATTGACCAAAATTGAAGGAAACATTAAATAAAAATGATGGAAATCATGACCTTGAAATTAAAAGGCTTCTATTTTATTACTGTTTTCAAGTTTTCAAAAGGATTCTTTTAATTTGATGACCTATAAAATAAAGTAAATCTTTCAATTGATATTTCCTCGGCTTAATATTTCACATGCCACATTATAAAGAAATAATCCATTCTTTCCTTAGCTTCCCCGGCCTCAGAGATTTCCTGAATCTTATCAAAATGAATTGGACAATCTTGTCATGGTCCTATCCGACCATGTGATTTGGAAATACAAGGATGCACTTGAAGAAACGAGAAGGGCAAACCACAGCGTTGCCAGATTTCTCAAGGTACAGTTATATGAGATCACAGTTCTATTCAAGGCCCTGTGTTGGTGGATGCAAGATAGTCTAAACGTTCATCAGTTCACATCTTCATGTATGATGAAAAGTCAAAACTAGCACTGTTAGATGAAAACTTTCATTTATACATCTTTCCTGCTTGAAATACTTTTTAATTTTTTTTTTTTCCAATTTGAAGTCTTATTGAATAAAGACTAAGGTTAGAGGGCCGGGAGCGATGGCCCACGCTTGTAATCCCGGCACTTTGGGAGGCCGAGGCGGGTGGATCATGAGGTCAAGAGATAGAGACCATCCTGGCCAACATGGTGAAACCCCGTGTCTACTAAAAATACAAAACTTAGCTGGGCGTGGTGGCGCGTGCCTGTAGTCCCAGCTACTCGGGAGGCTGAGGCAGGAGAATCACTTGAATCTGGGAGGCGGAAGTTTCAGTGAGCTGAGATCACAACACTGAACTCTAGTCTGGTGACAGAGTGAGACTCCGTCTCACAGAAAAAAAAAAAAAAAAAAAGAAAGAAAAGGGCTAAGATTAGAGCAAAGTATCCATTTGAGTGTCAAAAACAAATGATTTAGAAGTCAAATCATAGTACTTCTAAATATATTTGAAGAGAAAAAATGAATTTTTTAAAAGGGAAGCTGCATTACAGTAATATTCTCTCGGGCATTTCTGCCCTTGAAAGTGATGTTATAATGGCTTTAGGTCTGACAGTGATACCAAATAGCCACTTTGGGAAAACTTTCAGGAATTTAGCATTTTTGTTTATTATCTCCAGACTCTTTTTTTTTCTTTCTTTCTTTTTGAGACAGGATCTCACTCTGTCACCCAAACTGGAGCACAGTGGCGTGATCACAGCTCCCTGCAGCCTCAATCTCCCTGGGCTCAGGCGATCCTCCCACCTCAGCCTCCCGAGTAGCTAGCACCACAGACACACACCACCAAACCTAGCTAATTGTTGTATTTTTTGTGGAGACGGGGTTTTGCCAAGTAGCACAGGCTGGTTTCAAACTCCTGAGCTCAAGCGACAGGCCTCCCAAAGTGCTGGGATGACAGGTGTGAGCCACCAAGCTTGACCCAGGCTGTTTTTTACATTATGAAAAGATCACACTGATCCCATGAAAGAAAAATTATCAAGTAAAGCACTGAGCAACTACTTACTAAACTGGATATGTATGGAAATTAGTTATATTTCATTGGGTTACAACCATTTATATTGAGCTGAGAGGAAAGAAATGCAAAGTCAAAGAAAAAACTAAGATACATAATTACAGTATACCATTTAACAGATGATGCATGCAGTTAGAAAGACAATAGCTTTCTGTGCCTCCTTCTTTTGTCTAACTCTTGACTACTGTAACCTTTATGAAGTCATCTGACTTGTTTCTTAATGGTAGTCACCAGAACTTATGCGTGGGTGTGAGAGGGTATAAATAAATGCTAATAATATACAGTTAAAAGCCTATAGAAGTAGAAAATGAGCCCAGCTTATTTTCAGTGGAGAAAATAAGAGTCAGTGGAGAGCTTTAATCCAGCCTAATTTCTTTTTTAATGTGTTAAAAACTATTTCAAATTATACACTATATGTGTTCTTACCCTGAATTTATTTTTTTCTTTAAAGTTTTGTCTCTGATTTTAACTTTTTCCTTGCTTCCAGAAAGAGACAAGAATGATAAGTGTTAAAGGGTTGAAAAGTTTACAGGGGGGAAAAATTACTGTAGTTTTCTACCACGTTTTAAGACCTACGGGAATAAAGTTTATTGCTATGCTAGTTGTTTACTGGGAAACTTAGAAAGAATTCTATATAGTTCAGTTTGCAAATAAAATATATTGCAAGAAACATCTGAAATATTCTTCCCTAAACTATAAAAAAATGACAGAGAAGCAAGTCTCTAAAAAAGGGAAGAGACCCCATAGTTGCCCTCCTTATTACTAATTTGAAGTTTTAATGGCATTTATTTGACACATAAAGTTAAAACAAAATTGGAACACTTATTAGATGAATCATTTGAACTAGGAGAGAAAAAAAGAAAGGAAAAGAAAGTGATTTTTGAAAATGTAAAACTGAACGTAGTCATTTGGTGCAAGTCCAATACGTTTGAATTTTCAGCTGCTCAACACAGCCCACTCCCAGTGCTGATGTCATAAATCTCTTATATTTCCAGCAAACAGTAGTTGTTTGCTCAATTGGGGCTTCAAATGACTGCTACCTCTTTTTGTTATTGAAGTCTACATTAGCAGTCAACTACTGTGAATTAGTCAACATTGGAATTTAACAATTAAAATATTATTGACACTCCACGGGTTGCTCAAAATTGGTCTCCACGAATCAAGAAGAACCTCTGGGAACCAGTGTGTGGGCATGTAAAAATATTCTACGTTAAAAGGTAGCCTCCCTTAGCCCACATTATGGGAAAGTAATATTTTTTCAGCAATTATGCCAAAAACCTGGTACATTTCTCAACTATTCTCTCAGTGAAGTAGATAGGATTCAAATGAATGCAGCTTTTGTCATTTTTCTTTTTGCCACCCACCTGGGTCACAGCTCTACTTATCTGAACATACCTATTTAGACACTCTCTTTATGAAGCACAATACCAAGATGGGAGCAAAGACGGATTCATTCTGGTTTTTATTTTCCTGATTGGATAGCCATATCTTTTAGCCCTTTCACCTGACTAACCACTGCTTTGTTTCAATGAGCTTTTGAAAACCATTTGGAAATCACCTAATATTAGAGAGAGACTTGGTTTGTTAGCAAAACATGTTTAAAGAAACATCTGTGGTATTTCTCTCTAAATATCAGATAAGGATGGATAAGCAAGTCTCTAAAAAGGGAAAACCCTTCACATCTCCTCTACTTGGCTTAAATAGTCTGTGCTTTTGGAACAAATGAATGTTTTCCATAGAGCTCCTCTGTGCAAAATTTGCTGCTGGTGGCACATGAGCTAAAGGTCTAATACGGGGGCAAAGGAAAAGCATCCAAGGTGAAAAAGAAAATGGGGTGGTGGGGGGCAGTGGTTTTGTAAATTATATAAGGAAAGGACAAGACATTCATGTGGTTTGTTTTGAAATGTGAAGGTTCATAACTCATCTCCCAACCAATTGTGAAGTAAAATTCTCATTGCTCTCACAGTTGGTGAAATAAAATAAATAAATTTTTTATTATCATATATTTTAACAGATAATTTAGAATATTTGGTCCTTAGTTTATTCAACCAAACTGTGAAAAAAGTTTGGTAGGGTATAAGTTATCCTCTAAATTAAGAGTCTGCACACTTTTTATGTAAAGAGCCAAATACTAAGTATTTTCAGCTTTGTAGGCCATACAGTCTCTGCCACAACTACCCAACTCTGCAACTGCAGCACAAAAACAGTAATTCGCCATACATAATATGTAAAGGACTGAGTGTGACTGTGTTCCAGTAAAACTTTTATTTAAAAAAAGAATGGCAGTGGGCCAGATTTGGCCCATGGGGCATAGTTTACCAAAACCTGCTACAATTTATTTTCTATTAATATAAAAGATGAATATAAATTATCTTAAAACGAAATGAGAGAGGCCCCTCCAGGCCTCAGCCATAAGCAAGAGAGCCACTGCCCCTGGGGGTCAAGAAGATGCTAAAACAGATCAGATTCAGGGGGCCCAGGGCAAGAGGGACACACTACACTTGGTGAAGCCAGACCTGAGGGAGGGCTTTTTGCAGGAAGACAGCTGACTCTGGAGACCCTTCACCCTAGGAATGACCCCCTTTCACCCTCACTGCCCCTTGGAAAGAGGATGCCAAGCTGACCACATAGAAGGTCTTTCTTCACAGTCAAGAAACCTCAAGTTGATTCTTCTACTCCCCAGCACCACTTTCTCCCCACAATCCCCATTTATGAGTGCTGGAGACAGGTCTCCTTCCAAGTTCACAGGTCTTATCTGCAGAGTAGCTGCCATAGTCTCTGGGATGTAGCAGTCACCATCCCTACTCTGGACTAGTTCAAAGACGGGACTCACCAGTCCCTCCTTCATGCAGTCAAACAGCCCTGCATCTCTGCCAAAGACTTCCCCAGGGCTCCTTTCTCCTTCTCTTTCTTGGGAAGTTTCTAGAGCATAGAGATGTGCTGGGTGGTCTCCCTCTCCTCTGCAAGATGAGGCAGGGCCCCTGCTATTCCAAGGGTGGCCAGGTTGGGACTTCCTCCTGCAAATGGAGAGCCTGGGAGACTGGACACGGGTGCCAGGAGCCAGTTCAGTGCAGAAGGCACCAAAGCCCCTTTCCTTCCCCTCTCCCCATTTGGCTCTGTCTTTTTAGGCTATGATTATACTGTGGTGTCTACCTCTCTCCCAGTATTCTATTGATACATGTGAGGACTCGGAAGCCATTAACTTTTTACTGAATGAAGAATTATTGAAAGAACTAAAATTTATATTTAAAATGAAAATATAGATGAGGCCATGTACTAACACAGTCATGAATAGGTACATTTAAAAATTCAAAAGAAAGTAAAGAAAAATTGAAAGGAAAAGCAAAACAACAATATAAATGACCTAACAATTCGAAGAACAACTTTGGAGAAAATAGCTCTTGTTTACACACAGGTGTATTTCAAGAGGAGACTTTTCACTTGGTCCACTCTCCATAGCAAGATTTTATGTGTAGTCCTGTCTGAGAAAAGAGAGTTGTGAGTAAAATTGAGGAGAGATTCCAAGAAATGCAAAACCATTTTAATGGACCATCCTGGACTCTTTGGACAAGAAAGAAGCACTCCACACCAGCTGTGGAATTTTCCCAAGCACCATGTTGACTCACACCCACGTGGGTGAATAGAATGAGACTCACACACCAAGTGATGAGCTGCAGATCCACTACAGGAGGCACCTGCTCTAGTGCCTCCCCAGATCCTACATTGGGAACTATGGTCCCTTCCTCCTGCTCCACACTTTGCCTGTGCAGTCTTTGGCCACAGTAGCTTGGTTACTGGTTACATGACCATCCGTCTTTTAGAGAGATAGCAAGTGTTCCTCCGAGCCTACTTACTGTTTAAGACTCTCCTTGATACAGTAAAGAGAATTTGACCACAGAATAAGAAAGGTAGTGAGCAGCTCACTGATAGAAATCTTAGGATCTCCTTCCTTCAGCCTTCAAATGCAAGCTTCCTCAGCTGATAAGGAGAGGAGCTACTCTGTTGAAAGGGCCCAGTGAGATTTAAAAGGCTTTCCTGACCCATCTCTACCACTCCTCATTATGACCCAGTGTGTACAGGAGAAGATCTACAACCCCAGGAGTGTGAAATAGAATTACTGAAAGAAAATAATAAGATGTAACTAAGTGGTTAAAAAAGTAGACAACCGAAAGCTAAAGCTTTCTGTATAAAAAAGAAGGGGCTATAATATTTCATTGCAAAGCTCCAGTGACATTTTATAACATCAATAAATCTAGATTTGTAGCTTTCTGATTGATATTTTTGTTTTGTTCAGTTATACTTTCATTTTGTTTTTCTTTCAACTTTTCTGTTTTCTTCTGAATTTTTAAATGTACCTATTCTCTGTTAGTATATTGCCTCATTTCATTTTCATTTTTAATATAAATTTTAGTTATTTTAGTTGCCATATGTGGATGACTCCTTAAACATATTTAGGAGATTTCTAAAATACCTAATTATACAACACATTTAGTTCAGTGTTATTTTACCTCAATATATTTAATCATATTTTCTAAAATCTTCAATAGATTCTTCAAGTAAAAGTTTTTGAATTTAGAATTTATCTATTTTAGCGTTGCTTTACGTTTATGGACCGAGGATATGTGTTTAAGATGGTCAACAATTACATCAGCATGTTCTCCTCCGGTGACCTCAAGGTAAGAACCATGTACAGGAGTGATCGTTTTCTAAACTATGGCATTGTAAATAAATAAAGTAGTCTCTGTGGATACCTGCTTAAGTCATTAACCTATCCATTCTCTGTATCAGAAAGTGATTTCTACGCCAAGGAGAGGTAGCCTTTTAATGGTTCATCTGCTGAGTATGCCTACCAAGTCCTCCCTTAATGCGGACAAAGGAGAGTGGAATGAAAGTGTTTACATTTCATTTCTATTTCCTGTGGGTGGTGAAGAGAATGGCTCTTTGTAGCTACAATTCCTACAGTCCAGTTTGCCCTAGACTGGCTTGGTTTCAGCACTGAAAGTCCTACTTCTCTGGAAACCTTTAAGTCCTAGGCAAAATGGGACAGTTGAATGCCCTACCCAAATAGGGGTATATGTTGGGGAGATGTAAAGAGAACTCTAGAGCAGTGGTTCCTAGACCAGAGAGGTAGCATCACTTGGGAACTGAACTGCTGGTAATGGAGCCCAGAAGTCTGTTTTAACAGGACCTCTAGGTGATTCTTATGCACTCTCAGGTTTGAGAACCACTGAGCTATGGTTATGACATATGCTGGAGAGAACTTAGACTGGAAATGGGCCAGATGATGAAAGTTGGATCAATTACTGTTCTTTGGGTTGCAAGCAACAGAAACTGACTCCAATTTGAGCAAAAGGGAATTGACTGGGAAGGTATTGGGAGTAAATAGCATTGATGAAGCAGCTGCAGAAGCAGGCTTTGAAAAGAGCAGGGGCCAAGCCTTTTCAAGCACAAGGAATACAGTCATGCGTCACTTAATGACAGAGACACGTACTGAGAAAAGCATTGTTAGGCAATTTCATCACTGTGTGATTATCACTGAGTGTACTTACACAAACCCAGCTGGTATATATCCTACTCCATTATATAGCTCTGTTCTCATTGTATGGGACCACCATTGTATATATGGTCTGTCTTTCACCAAAATGTTATGTGGGGCCTGACAATAATTGCAAATGAAGAACCATTTGGCCAGGGTGCTGCTGCATCTGCTTAAATGAATCAACTGAAGCCATTTTCTCCCCCCAACACTCTGCTTCAGATTCACCTTCCATAGAGGAAGTGTGGGAGCAGCCTGCTTTGGGTCACATGCTTGCCTCTTTAGGAGGGAAGACAGGGCATATGAATTAATAATTCTCTGTTATCCTTTACCCACTGTGAAGGAGGCCAGTCCTCAAGGGGAAAGTATCTAGGTATTTGAAAAGAACAATAGATTTAGACCAGCCAAAAATAAATAATGAGATTCTTACAGCCTTTCATGTCATGCTTAGGTGCTTAAATATTATTTTTGGGAGATGGGGTGCAGTGGAGATTTACTTTTGACTGGAGTTACATGATTTTATGTCATTTGGTTTTGAAAATCCAATTCTCCCTCTAAATATTTTTTTGAAAGTATATTCTTCATTTGTGCTCCTCTCAGGCATGAAATTTGCAGAATATCCATTTAATTGCATCAGACCTAAATTATATATTTTCAAAGACCAAACAGAATGTTCTCAGTGTAAAATAGTTAAAATATAATAATGCTCCTGTTCACTTTGATGTACAAAAGTTTAAGTCAAATACTATCCTTTTTGAAATGGCAGCATTTTAATTTATTAACTAAAGTCGCCACAAGATATAATTCTAAAATATCTGAGAAATTGGGATATATTTTATTTTGTGAGCTGAGATTAGTGAATATAATGATGATCATCGAACTTAGTCTTAAAACATGGTTACTTAGCATGCATAAGAGTGAAAATAGAGCAGTTAGGAACATGCTAATTTTTCCTACTGATGTGGCTTTTCTTGACTTCTGTGTTACAGTAGACTTTGACCGTGCCTGGACTCCATTTATCTCTGTCTAACTCAAACATTATTGGAAAGACAAACTTATTTCCAAGGGCAGGGAGGAAAGAGGAATTAAATAATGTATTATGAGAACATGTAGCATACAGAGTTTCACTCTAATTTTATGTGATACACACCATTGTCTTCCTTAGCTCTGGATGGTAGGAGCTCATTGTAGAGGTCTGTTTCATTATCTGAGTGTAGTCTTTGAGAGAATTCTGTGCATGTGTTACAGCAGAAATTTTTTTCAGAATAAATATGTCATGGTACATGTTAAAAGAAGCTACAAAATACGACTCAGTAGGATCTTATCTCATAGAAGCTACACGTAAGTTACAAATGGGATTATCTCCTGAGGAGGCTGTGACCAGTTTCCAAAAGTAGGGAGCTTAACTACAGTTCAGAGGGGACAAAATCCTTTCAACCTAATTACCTAGTGGTCCCACAAGTGTACGGTAAACACTTTTTCTTTTTAGGGATAAGATTCAAGTGCAGATTTTGTTTGTTTGATTTTATTCAGTTTCTTGGTCTGTAAGTCATAGTCATTTAGTTTGCCTCTCTTTCAGACCTTGTGTCAGTATAAATTTGATTTTCTTCAAGAAGTATGTCAACATGAACACTTTATTCCTTTGTGTCTGCCCATAAGATCAGCAAACATTCCAGGTAATAAGATTCCCAGAATTTTCATCAGTTCCTGCAAAGTGAATGCTTTTGTTTGTTCGTTTTACCTTTTGTTTATTATTATTTTCCTGTTTCCTCAGTCATAATTTTGTTTGAAGCTGTCACATGGGTATCAGACCCAGGTAATCAGAATTAAATTAAAATGCAAAAGAAGTTGTTGGCATGTGGTGATGAATGCAGCTTCATATTCCTCAATTTTTGTGTGTTTCCCTTTTTATTAAAGAGAAGGCCAACAAAATTATAAATCTGATGATTGTAAATCAAATAATTTGAACCTAGAGGCACCTTGCTGGCTCCAAAAGACAGCTTTCCTTTGATTTTGAGACATAAAATTATAGGGAGGAAAAGTATTATATATATAATTTACAAATATTATATATAAAAATACATATGTGTTATGGCAGAGACTATTACCCATGTAGACATCAAAAACTAACCAAACATCAAGATGCAAATAAAATAATAAAATTATTTAGGAGCATGAAATACTTTATTACCAAGCAAAGAGTAAACTATTTATGAGGTACAGTTTTTTTCTGGGGGTGGGGGTTGTTTTGTTTTTGAGACAGAGTCTCACTCTGTCACCCAGGCTGGGAGTGCAGTGGCGTGATCTTGGCTCACTGCAACCTCTGTCTCCCAGGTTTGAGCGATTCTCCCACCTCAGCCTCCTGAGTAGCTCAGACTACAGGGGTGTGCCACCTCACCTGGCTAATTTTGGTATGTTTAGTAGACAGGAGGTTTCACCATGTTGGCCAGGCTGGTCTCCAACTCCTGACCTCAGGTGATCCGCCTACCTCAGTCTCTCAAAGTGCTGGGATTACAGGTGTGAGCCACCATGCCCAGCCGAGGCATATTTGCTTTGATATTCACAAACGCAAGCACTAAGATTTGTAGAGAGCCTCCTTATACTTCCTTAACCTATTAGCTTACACTAGTATTCTGGAGGGAAAATTACATTATCAAGCCTATAAAAGTTTTGCCATTTTAATCTTAAATATAATCTATATAATATTATTCCAATTTTTTCTAATTTATGAAGCATATTTCATAGAAAATAGGGTAGAAATGGTATATTAGATAATAATGCTTTAAGGTTTTTACTTTGTTCTGAATTTATTTTTGTTTTTTTTTTTTTTTTGGAGACGGAGTCTCGCTCTGTCACCCAGGCTGGAGTGCAGTGGCCGGATCTCAGCTCACTGCAAGCTCCGCCTCCCGGGTTCCCGCCATTCTCCTGCCTCAGCCTCCCGAGTAGCTGGGACTACAGGCGCCCGCCCCCTCGCCCGGCTAGTTTTTTTGTATTTTTTAGTAGAGACGGGGTTTCACCGTGATAGCCAGGATGGTCTCCATCTCCAGACCTCGTGATCCGCCCGTCTCGGCCTCCCAAAGTGCTGGGATTACAGGCTTGAGCCACCGCGCCCGGCCAATTTTTGTTTTATAAATTAGTGACAAGTTATTATTGGTTAGCCAGGCTGATTGAGATAGTCAAGATGACCAAATCTTTATTTGGTTATTTTTATTTCAATTGCTTATTGTGTTAGTCCATTGTCACACTGCTATAAAGAACTACCTAAGACTGGGTAATTTATGAAGAAAAGAGGTTGAATTGACTCACAGTGCCATATGGCTGGGGAGCCCTCAGGAAACTTACAATCAAGGCAGAAGGTGAAGGGGAAGTAAGGACCTTCTTCATATGGCGGCAGGAGAGAGAAAGGGAGAGAGCAGGAAGTGCCACACTTTAAAACCATCGGCTCTCAAGAGAACTCACTTACTGTCATGAGAACAGCATGGGGGAAACTGTCTCCATGATCCAATCACCTCCCACCAGGTACCTCCCATAACACGTGTGGATTACAATTCAAGATGAAATTTGAGTGGGGGCAGAGTCAAACTGTATTACTTACTACTAGTCAGTAGCTCAGAGAAAATCCTGATAGTCTCTTTGTAGATCTGATACTATAAATAATGAACATAAAAATATGTTTCATAGCAGGCAAAGTTCTGATAGAAAAATAGATGCTCAAGTAGAAGGCTAACAATTAGAATAATTCTGCTCATGACTCTTTTTTAAGAAAACAAATAGGCTGGGTGTGATGGCTCATGCCTGTAATCCCAGCACTTTGGGAGGTCGAGGCAGGCAGATCACCAGAGGTCAGGAGTTTGAGATCAGCCTGGCCAACATGGCAAAACCCCGTCTCTACTAAAAATACAAAAATCAGCCAGGCGCAGTGGTGGGCACCTGTAATCCCAGCTACTTGGGAGACTGAGGCAGGAGAATCGCTTGAATCCAGGAGGCGGAGGTTGCAGCCAGCCAAGATCGTGCTACTGCACTCCAGCCTGAGCGACAGAGCCAGACTCTGTCTCAAAAAAAAAAAAAAAAAGGAAACAAATAACCTAAGACATTCTCCTTGAAAATTGGCAATACTGAAGACTCACATTTTTAAATAAGATAGTTTAATTGTTCAGTATAAACTACACATAATGAATCTATATGTATCTGAGTATGTATATGTATATATCTGAACTTTTTATTTATATTAAATTCAGATCCTTTGACACCTTCAGAATCAACTCAAGAGTTACATGCATCAGGTAAGTGATTATTACCTTATCTAAGCATCAGTAACCACCTAGTAATCCAGTAATATTGATAACTATAAATACTATAAATTTCCAGCTTCTGGGTGCTCATAAGTATTCATATATTTAATATCATGTAATAAAAATATTCAAAAAGTTGACTGAATTGTTTTCTTGTCACAGATAGCTTAATGATTGCCTAATTTCAATTCTTTCATATTTTATTCTCCAGAGGTTGGAAATATTTTTTAATTTCCCAAAGCATTTGAAATTTCCTTAATTTGTATCATAAATGAAATTCCCAGATATATATAACAACATGCTTGTTCAATGTAACTGACTTTATTTGATACGTGTCTTTTCCTAAACCACAACCTGGTCTGATCAATCTTGTTAAGACAGAGTATATTAGTATAAGTTTATTTTATCTGAAATAGGTTAGTAACTTAAAATGGTCTAGGCAAACCTTTTCTGTAGTCATAGATGGGAGTTTAAAAGTTGTGTTCTATTCCTAGATCTTCAGTATTACAATGTCACTGAGAAATTTATTTAACCTGAAGCCCTGTGAATTTCCATATTCAGTAGCTTCTTTATGGACTAAAAAAGTCAGTATGTTTAATTTGCTATTGGTCATCTATGAGCTGGAATATTCTAATAGTTAATTATATTAATCATACCTCCCTTATGGGTTGTCTTGCAGATCAAATAGGATAATGCACATAAAGTGCTTAGCCTAGTGCTAGCAGACAGCAGGTTGTATACATGGGTGCTAGTACTACTGTTTTCCCCCAGCCTTACTGAGGTAAAATTGACAAAAATTGGGCGCGGTGGCTCACGCCTGTAATCTCAACACTTTGGGAGGCCGAGGCAAGCAAATCACTTGAGGCCAGGAGTTCAACATCATCCTGGCTAACATGGCGAAACCCCATCTCTACTAAAAATAGAAAAATCAGCTGGGCGTGGTGGTATACGCCTGTATTCTGAGCTTCTCGGAAGGTTCAGGCACAATAATCATTTGAACCCTGGTAGCAGAGGTTGCAGTGAGCCAAGATCGTGCCACTGCACTCCAGCCTGGGCAACACAGCAAGACTCTGTCTCAAAAAATCATAATAATTTTATATATTTAAGGTGGAAAACATGATGTTTTGATATATGTGTGCATTGTGAAATGATTACTACAATCAAGCAAACACCTCATATAGTTTTATGTCTGTACGATTAAAATAATTAAGGTCTACTCACTTAATAGATTTCAAATATACAATATTGTATTATGAATGATTCTTACCAGGCTACATATTTGACCTCCACAATTTATTCATCTTATAACTGAAAGTTTGTATCCTTTGACTAAAATCCACCTCCCATTTCTCCCATTCACCAGTCCATGGCAACCATCTTTTTACTCCGTGCTTCTATGAGTTTAACTTCAATAGTTTCGTAGAAACTTATGGGAGTACAAGTATAATTTTGTTACATACATAGATTGCATAGTGGTGAAGTCAAGGCTTTTAGGATATCCATCATCCAAATAATGTACTTTGTACCTATTAAGTAGTCTCTTATTGTCCACCAGAGCTTGACTTCTTTAGATTCCACATATTAACTGAGATCATGCAGTATTTGTCCTTCTGTGTTTGGCTTATTTTACTTAGCATAATGACTTTTAGGTTCACCTGCATTGTCATAAATGGTGGGATTTTCCTTTTTTTTTTTTTTTTTTTTTTTTTTGAGGCTGACTACTACTCCATCACATGTATATACCATTTTTAATCCATTCATCTATGGATGGTCACCTAGGTTGTTTCCATAGCTTGGCTATTGTGAACAATGCTGCAACGTATCTCTTCAACATAATGATCTGAATTCTTTTGGATATATACCCAGAAGTTGGATTGCTAGATCATATGGTAGCTCTAGTTTTACTTTTTTGAGGACCTTCTATACTGTTTTCTATAATGAACGTATTCCACCAACCGTGTACAAGGGTTCCCTTTTCTTTACACCCTCACCAACACTTGTTCTCATTTGACTTTCTGATAATAGCCATCCTAAAAGGTATGAGGTAATAGTGCGTTGTGGTTTTGATTGGCATTTCCCTGATGATCAGTGATATTGATATTGAGCACTTTTTCTGTATCTTTTGGCCATTTGTATGTCTTCTTTCAAAAAATGTCTATTCAGATCCTTTGCCCATTTTTAAAACTTGGTGGGGTTTTTGTTTGTTTGTTGCTATTATGTCGTATGAGTTCCTTGTAGAGTTTGGATATCAGCCCTCATCAGATATGTGGTTTGCAAGCATTTTCTCCCAATCTGTAGTTTGCTTTTTCATTTTGTTGATTGCTTCCTTTGCTGTCCAGAAACTTTTTAATTTTATATAATCCTACTTGCTTATTTTTGCTTTTATTGACTGTGTTTTTGGGGTGATATTCATAAAATCATTGTGAATGCCAGTGTCAAAGAGCTTTCTCCCTATGTTTTCTTGTAGGTGCAAGTACTACTATTAATGGTTACATTTTCAAAACTCTTTGGACAATTTGAATAAATCCACTATTACTGGAAATTTTAACATTCTTTTCTCTATAATCCAGGCTCAAAATTTGGCAGTGCCTTTCTCTCCCCTTGCTCCCTCACATACTTAAGTCAACTTTTCCTAGTGATTTACCACTCAGTTTCTGCTACCCCAGCACAGATATCACGTTGTCACTTGTCCCCTCCCTCCCCCATTGCTACAATGTCCTGTACTGTATCCCTCACCCCACATCTCCCCACAGTCTAATTTATTTACACCCTGCCACACCATATTAATAAGTCAGTAAAGCATGAGCTTTATCAGGGCACTGATCTCAAAGCTGTCCATGTGTTAACATTTCTTACAGAATTAAATACAAATGGAGAGGGACCTAGATGGCAGCTAAGGAAATTGTACTGTTCTCCATCATCTAGCCCCAGCCTCTCAAGCCTAATTCTCTCACCATTCCTCTTTTAGCCATTGTGCTTATTGATTCCCACATACCCGTGCTCCCCTCCATACCTGCTCCCTTCCGTATCTGTGCTTTCAGAATTCTGTGCCATTGAAAATCCAATGGCTTCTCCCAGCCTCCTGTTCCTTCCACTGCCTCCGTCTGTTCCCATAAAGATCTGCACCTCCAAATTTTAAGTATCCTTAAAGGCTCATCTTGATGGATTCCTACTCATATCCTGATTCCTTCAAGCAGAAAATGTGTTTTCCCCTCTCAGCTCTTGTAATCCTGTAAATATGCTGTATTATGGGATTCAAAAGTTGATGTCATGTGTTAGTTTGTACCCGTATTTGTGTTTGTATACACAGAATAGTCCCCTTACTGAATGCTCCTTGAGGATACAACACACCTCATTTCTGTAGCAAGACTGTATTCCTGAATCCCTCCTAATGGTGGAAGAAGTTGATGGTAGTTGTTTGGTATATCTGTCTCAATTATAAAGTGATCATTTGATTTTCAATAACAAGAGTTATTTTCCTTCCTCACAAAGATATGCCTGAATATTCAGTCACAAATGAATTTTGTCGCAAACACTTCTTAATCGGAATTCTGCTCCGAGAAGTTGGCTTTGCCCTGCAGGAAGACCAAGATGTCAGACACTTAGCTTTAGCTGTCCTAAAAAATCTAATGGCTAAGCATTCGTTTGATGATCGATACAGAGAGCCAGTAAGTGATCTTCCTTTCTCCCTTCCCTAAACACCATTTAATGGCTCACTGCATTAAATGCATATGAAACCGACAAGCGTATTGATTTTTATGTGAATCATTTCTTTTGGCTACCTTTTCACCTAGAGAAAGCAGGCCCAGATAGCAAGTTTATACATGCCCCTGTACGGCATGCTTCTGGACAATATGCCAAGGATTTATCTGAAGGACCTGTATCCTTTTACTGTCAACACATCTAATCAGGTACGTTTGCACAGTAAGTCGCATTTCGATGTTAATAAGGAATTTGTCTTTTTTAAGTTATTTTTTGCCCTGGGTAACCATTTCTTCTCATCTGTGAACATACTAGGCATTGAACAACACTTTCTGCTACGTACTCACATCGATGGGTCATTTGTTCCAGATATGTCCCTTTAGCCTTCCGCCTGATCCACCCTTCAACATTAGGCTTTCATTTCCCTCTGTTCTCTATATCAGTTTCCAATTCTTTCCAGCTTTTACAGTTTCCTCTGTTGCAATCATGGCCCCTTCCTCAGTGCACACCTTCTCCTACCACTGTCTACATTACTTACATCCCCACCTGGTGTCAGAATAAATAGCCAAGTGCCTTATTTGTAGTCACAACCCAGGAGTGACTACAATCCTTCCTCCATGGAGGCACCACAGTGACTACACACAATCCACTAGAGATCTGTTGCCTGTGTTCTAATCTCAGATGAAATAACCCACTGCTGAATCCAGTATCTAATGAAGGTATTACTATCTAGGAGTTAGTAGCTATGCCTATGGATTTTTTTTTTTTTACCTTGTTCAAATCCCAGCAGTATCAGTGACTATCTGGGTGGCTGGAGATAAGTTAGCCAACCTCCTTAAGACTCCATTTCCTTCATTATAATATGGAATAAAATACCTAAATCACAGTGTCTTTATGAGGATTAAATTGTATACTAGAAAACATTTATTATAGAGCCTGGCAAACAATAAATATTTAAAATGTAGTTGTAGGCCAGGTATAGTGACTCACATCTCTAATCCCAGCAACTTTGGGAGGCCAAGATGGGAGGATCACTTAAGGCCAGGAGTTCAAGACCAGCCTGGGAAACACAGCAAGACCCCACCTCTACAAATAAGAAATTTTAAAAATTAGCTGGGTGTGGTAGCACATACCTGTAGTCCCAGCTACTCAGGAGGTTAAGGGCAGGAGGATCCCTTGAGTCCGGAGGTTGAGGCTGCAGTGAGCTATAATCATGCCATTGCACTCTAGCCTGAGTAACAGTAAGTTCCTGCCTCTTAAATAATGAAACAGAATAATTAAAACAAAATAAAATGTAGTTGACAATAATAGTAATGTACATAAGATAACTCATGGTAATAATGATATCCATAATGTGATCCATGAATATATCCATAACCAATCCAGCCATGTGGTCTACATATCTGTATCTAAAAGACTGTTTCTACAACATTGTAAAAAAGTCACATAAATCAAATTATAACTACAAGTATGGTTTTGGCTGTATTTGTTTTCACTGCCTACTTTAGCAGAAAACCTTTGAGGGGATATAAAAGAACAAATTAAATATCACTTAATTGGAAGTGTAATGAAGATGGCATATGTGGGTTAACAATGTTGAAATACCGTGATTCCCATTAATCTTTACTATACTTTCAATACAGGGGTCTAGAGATGATCTAAGCACCAACGGCGGATTTCAAAGCCAGACAGCTATGAAACATGCAAACTCTGTGGATACATCATTTTCTAAAGATGTTTTAAATTCCATAGCAGGTACTTGAGATCTTCTGAGATCACTTATTTTTAACACTCATCCATGTTTACATTATATATCATTGTGCTTTTTACTCAGTCCATAATTTATTATGCATAATCTATGTGGCAAAGTATACTACATTTATACAACCAGAGTCTTTTTAACATATTTCTTTGAATTCCATCCAGTGACTTCCTCTTCTACTTAGTGCTCATTATTACTTGGCTTGAGGAGCAGCCTACTTAGATGTTATCAAATTACTTTATTCTGGAAACCATCTTTAAGTTTTCACTGCAGACAGCCTTTTAAAATATAATGGATTTTCAACTTCAAGGATTATTTTTAAGAACTGTTTTGGAAATGTCATTTCAATTTCTCATAAACAATCAAAAGTTGAAAGCTCCTTCCCAAAAGTATCTTTATGAACTTTTACTAAAGCATTTTTAAAACAAGAGCTATCTTGAATGCCAGTCCCAGGTGCTGTTATGTTGGTCTTTCACAACACTGCTGCCACCTCAGTAATCAACATCTTTTTGGTTCATCATGTGAAGCTTTTGTGTGTGTGTGTGCCCATACATCTCATTCCCATATGTGTGCTGTGGCTTGTGTTTACAGCATTTTCATCAATAGCTATTTCTACAGTAAACCATGCTGACTCCAGAGCATCTTTAGCAAGTCTTGACTCCAATCCAAGTACCAATGAGAAGAGCAGTGAGAAGACGGACAACTGTGAAAAGGTACGGCTTCCCTCTCAAACCTACTGATCATTACAAGGCAGACGTCACTCACTCTCACTCAATCCTGATTGGTTCTTGAATTCCCAGATCCCAAGACCCTTGTCTTTGATTGGCTCAACTCTTCGATTTGACAAGTTAGATCAAGCAGAAACCAGGAGTCTCCTGATGTGTTTTCTTCACATTATGAAAACGATTTCGTACGGTAAATAGAACTCTTTAAAATTCATTTTTTTGAAAAAAGGAAAAAGGAAACCTGCAGATTCTCATGCTACGTGGTGCTTCCTTTTAGAGACTCTGATTGCCTACTGGCAGAGAGCTCCCAGTCCAGAGGTGTCCGACTTCTTCAGCATCTTGGAGTAAGTTTTAGAGTTGATGACATAACACTTTTTTCTGGAAATTTCTAAATAGTCCACTATACCAAGTTTCATTCAAGAACCCATATAGTAAGTTATCAATAATAACACATGAACTATTTAAAGAAAATTTAATATTTTTCTTTCAATATACTTAGATGAACAGTTTATATAATGAAAGAATATGAATAATTAGAACGTGGTTTTTTGTTTTTTTTCGTTTCTAGCGTTTGTCTTCAAAATTTCAGATACCTAGGAAAACGCAACATAATAAGGTAATAATTTTAAATTCCAATAGGTGAATCTGGTCTTTTAAAAAGCATATGACATGTATTAACATATCAGGTTAGAGTTATAAATATACGTTAGAAATCTTAAAATGCAAATAAGGATTGTTAGGTTGACTTCACATTAGACACAGAAGTTTGAAGATTGCCTCATACACATTGTAGATCTAGGAATAGTTCATGTTATCTAGGGAGAAAAGCACAAAAGCACAAATTTTTGAAAGAAAACCACATTTCATGTATCTTCAGAACGAATTTATCATTATATGGATATAACTTGGAAGATACCTATTTCAGAAGACATTTTCAGTAAACTAAAAGAAAAAAGTAATCTGGAATAACTTTGCACTGTCATCATTTTCTTATGAGATAACAATGTTTGAAGCACCTTCACTAAATCCCAATTTCTGATTTCCAAAGGAAAACAGGGTTTTATTTTTGACTAATTCACAGCATGTGAAATATTTCATTGTGCAGTAATCATTTTGTCAGTTGCCATTCATTTTTATATGTAAATTACAAACACTGAGCTATGATTAAAACTTCCATTTTCATTGCAGAAAAATTGCTGCTGCATTTAAATTTGTGCAGTCCACCCAGAACAATGGAACTCTCAAAGGATCCAATCCTTCCTGCCAGACATCAGGTCTCTTGTCACAATGGTAATGTCACATTTGCTTAGTATTTAAAATTATATATAGCTCTGTGTGTGTGTCTGTATATGCACATGTCAGAGGACACACGCACACACACACACACACACACACATTTCTATTTATATATTCAAACCAAGTGCAGATTTCAAATAACTATGTGTCTATCTAAAGAAACTTCCTAGATACTTTACTGTCTGCCCTACTGGCTGGTAAAGACCAAAGATATATGTGTGCACTTAGAGCACAATCCCTTGCATAGACTGAACATTAATGAGTATTTTCATTTAACGAAACCTGAGACCTAGGCCCAATAAATGCCTCTTTTAATGCTAGCTAATCTTCCAGTGACAAACCAAAATGTGGGATCATGTCTCCCTAGGCTTTTCAGTAATTATAATATTTTTGCAATGTTCTTGAAGCTGAAATTGTTTCTTAAAGGGTCAAAGGCAATGAGGAAGCATGGATAGTCCCATAACCTCACTTTAGATTTCCTAGTCATTAGACTGATTTGACTAGCAGATAGGACCTGGAGATCATCCCTCACCAGCCTAACCAATGGGAAACATTTGCCCTGAAATTCTACCTAGAGCTCCTCTGGGTCTCGTAAATGAGAAGTCTTTGCTAAAATTATCCCCGCTTTGATTTATTCTTCCCAGAGGTATCATCATAATATATATTATGAATATTTTAGAAAGGATTTTAGAAAGAAATATGAAAGTAATACATAGCAAATAAATCATAAAATAAATTTTGCCTCCCTCCATGGGAATCCTTTGAAATTGCCCCCTTGTGAAAAGTAAATGAAAAAAAAAAACGTAATGGACATTTTTTGCAAATAATAACAGAATGGAAGAAAATAAAGAATTAGTTTCCATGTTTAATAATAGTGAGCCACCTGAGGTCACTCAAGTTTTGTAGATGGGTGGTGGGTTAGATTTCAGGCTGCTCCTGAAACATCTGGATGGGTCCTGGCCATTTCTGTCCCTCACATCCTAGAAACCAGGGCTTTTCCTCCACAAGTTCAGTCTGTACTACACTCAAAACCTAGAAATAAGCCAATCCAAATGCCTAAGGCCTACAGCCAAGGAATCACTCACTCTTTTTAGCTGCAGGAATGACCCAGGCTCCCCTGGCTATTGAAAGCCAAAGTCACATCTCCTGGGCCTCCACCCATCCAGGTTTTCGGATTTAGCCAGAACCAAAACAGCCTTTAAGAGTGGGAGAAAGAGTCATTTTTAGGTTAAGGCCTAAAGAAGGAATTAGGAAATACTTCAGGGTATTTCCAAATGCTGCTTGCTTTACGTAAGTGTTTTTATATATAAATAGTTTTTATGACAGCACATATCCCAAGAATTATCAACCTATTTCCTTGGCCAAATGATAAAGTCAGGAGTAGGAAATATTCCCACTGCCACAGTAACACTGGCTTATTTTTCCCAGCTGGAAATGCCATGGGGTGTTGAATGAGTCATTGCAGGCCATTGTCATTGCCCTGGAAGCACAGAGGCACAGAAGTCCTTCAACTACCTAACTCCCACAACCATCACATGTCAGCCCCCTGTGGACATGACACCAGTGAAATGACAAATCAACAGGAATGTCCAAATACAAATACCTCGGAAAGCAAGGGTTGTTTTAGAACCCGATTTTACACTTTATCTCTTTATTTTTTATTATTATTTTTTTTTTTTTTTGAGACGGAGTCTCGCTGTGTCTCCCAGGCTGGAGTGCAGTGGCGTGATCTCGGCTCACTGCAAGCTCCGCTTCCCGGGTTCATGCCATTCTCCCGCCTCGGCCTCCCAAGTAGCTGGAACTACAGGCGCCCGTCACCACGCCTGGCTAGTTTTTTGTATTTTTAGTAGAGACGGGGTTTCACCATGTTAGCCAGGATAGTCTCGATCTCCTGACCTCGTGATCCACCCGCCTCGGCCTCCCAAAGTGCTGGGATTACAGGCTTGAGCCACCGCGCTCGGCCCTCTTTAAAAATAAGTTGATGCATCTGAGCTATACAATATTGTACCTTTTAATGTCCACCACTGTACCTTCCTGATCAGCCAGTAGCCAACTTAACATTCATAGAATCCCATTATTTCATAAACAATAATGAATATGCTTGAATAGATTTCACTCAAGGATCTGTTATTCTATAGATTATCCTTCTGAACACTATTTTGGCTTAAATGAAATTTCTCCAAAAGTACTTTAAAAAGTCCCTCTCATCATGTCACCTGTAATTAATATTTGTAATAAAAAGTTGCTTTCCAAACTAGTTTTTAATGTTTGACTCAATTTAGAACATTTGAATGAACAAGTATTATTTGGCTGTAACATCCCTAAAATAACTCTAATCACTTTTCTTATTTCATTTTCAGGATGCACTCCACTTCCAGTCATGAAGGCCATAAGCAGCACAGATCACAAACTTTACCTATAATTCGAGGCAAAAATGCACTTTCTAACCCCAAACTCTTACAGATGTTAGACAATACCATGACCAGTAAGTAAACCGAAATAACAGGAACAAGATGGTTACCAGTTTTTCTCTAGGTATGTGTAGGACATGAAATGCACTAAAACCACTGCTTTTAAGGTTTGCTGTAGCTCTGGAAATATTTCTTTTTTTTTTTTTTTTTTTTTGAGGCGGAGTCTCACTCTGTCGCCCAGGCTGGAGTGCAGTGGCCAGATCTCAGCTCACTGCAAGCTCCGCCTCCCGGGTTCACGCCATTCTCCTGCCTCAGCCTCCCGAGTAGCTGGAACTACAGGCGCCCGCCACCTCGCCCGGCTAGTTTTTTGTATTTTTTTAGTAGAGATGGGGTTTCACCGTGTTAGCCAGGATGGTCTTGATCTCCTGACCTCGTGATCCACCTGTCTCGGCCTCCCAAAGTGCTGGGATTACAGGCTTGAGCCACCAGGGAGTGGTTAAAAAAAATGTAGTGCCCGATGGTGAAGAAAGGGGAAAGGCAGAACCCTCAATTATCATATGTTTAGCATAGCTCCCTTGGAAACAAGTGACTTTCAGCATTGTGCAGGTTATGGAGGCTGCTGTCAAACAGATGATTACTGCTTCCTCTGTGGGGAGGGGATAAAGTTGCCAATGTCCCAGAAGCAGCAAGGGTGACATCTTGAACCTAGAGATGGACACACTCCAGCTTGTGAATGAGGGTAAAATGGAGGCCAGAGTTTTGTAAGTATGTAATTTGAGGACTAAACTCTGACCTTTTCTCTTCTCTTGCCCAAATTCTTAAGAGGCCTGGAAAGTCACAACAGTCTCATCAGAGGGGTTTTAGTTAACCCTATATAACACGGCTTACTTTCCAACCTGACTCTGGCATAACATCACATGAGAGATAAAGAAAGAAATCAAAATATTTTACCCCCAAATATGTCTCTCTTTTTTTTTTTTTTTTTTTTTTTTTGCCATGTCTTGAAACAGCCTTGCAGAATTGTCTCTTATGGGGAAAAATCTGCATTCTGTAAAGAATTCCCTTTCCCTCTTCAGGTCCTTTTCTTGATCCAGGAGAGAATCAACTGAGAGTCTGGCACCTTTTTCGGTCTGATAAGAAACATTTACAATCTCTTCTCTCTGAAGTCTGCCATCTGGAGGCTTCATCTACATAATAAGAACGTTGGTCTCCACAATCCCTTTTCTTAGTCCAGACATTTCCTTTCTATTGATTCCTGGTTTCTAGATAAACTCTTTCACCAATCACCAATCAGAAAATCTTTGAATCCACCCATAAGCACCCCTCTCCCCAACTTTCAGTTGTCCTGTCTTTCCAGACCAAACCAATGTACATCTTACATGTATTGATTGATGTCTTATGTGCCCCTAAAACATATAAAACCTAGCTGTAGCCCAAACACCTTGGGCACATGTTCTCAGGGTTTCCTGAGGGCTGTGTCACAGGCCATGGTCACTCATATTTGGCTCACAATAAATCTCTTCAAGTATTTTACAGAATTTGACTCTTTTCATTGACAGATTGTTAGCAATTATGGGCACGTGGCCCACAGTTACTTGTTTGGAGGTATTTGCCTCAATCTATAAATACACTTTGTGACTTTCTGAGGGGACATGAAGACTGTCCACTGAGACTGTATATTTGGTCTACTAGCCCAGAAGCCTAGAACTTGAGACAGCCTGATTATGAAAGAAATATGACCCTGTCTTTGGCCAAATTAATGGAAAATAACTCAGAAACAATGGAAACCCCACAACTGATATATGCAACGGGCACACACACTAAAGACTCTAGTACTTTTAATTCAGCCAATGAAGAAACTGAACAAACAAAAGCACTTTAATAATTAATCAAAATGCCAGTAAACTTTGAATATATTGTAATGAAAGGAAATACTTTATAGGGTACAAAGTATTGTCTTAGACTTTTATGCATGTTTTGTTTTTTATTTTATAGGCAACTCCAACGAAATAGACATTGTGCATCACGTAGACACAGAGGCCAATATTGCTACGGAGGTGTGCCTCACTATTCTAGACCTGTTATCGCTCTTCACTCAGACTCACCAGGTGAATATGACAACATTTTCTGCAAAAATGATGAAATGTGAGGTGGAAAAACCATGTGAAGTCAAAAACATGTTTTTTTAAAATTATTTATGAAATCAATTAACCTTATATAAATCAACCCAAGTGTGAGTGGAAAACATGTTAAAGATGAGATTTTGATTTTATCACAGGTTGACTAATGTTTGCTTGATATGTACATGTATGCATTTCACTATTGTCAAATAGTCTTTCTTCCTCATTTATCTTGCTTCACTCTCAGGCAAGCTGGGCTGAGTGGGAATGTGACTCTGTACTTTTTCAGTAGAAGAGAAAGCGATAAATGGTCCTGTGTATTAAATTTACAGCTAGATCTAAAGAAAGCTAATAATGTTGAACATCTTTTTGTGTGCTCATTTCACATTCAGATAACTTTGATGAAATGATTATCACTACTTAGAATGGCTAAAATTAAAAAGACTGACCATCTAAAGTTTTGGCAAGGATATGGAGAAACTAGAACTCCCATTTATTGACAGTGGGAATGCAAAATGGTAAAAACACATTGGAGAACAGTATGGCAGTCTCTGAAAAGCTAATCATACATCTATCATATGACCACCCATTCCAATACTATAATAGGTATTTACCCAGGAGAAGTGAAAGCATATCTCCACACAAAACTTTGTACACAAATATGCATGGCAGCTTTATTTTAATAGCAAAAAAAAAAAAAAGAAAAAAACTAGAAACAACTCAAGTATACATCAACAGGTGGATAGATTTAAAAAGCTGTGGTATATCCATACAATAGAATACTACTCAGCAGTTAAAAGAAATAAACTACTTATCCATGCTATAACATGGGTGAAACCCAAGAAACCAGAAACAGTATATACTATATTACTCAGTGTATATTATTCCATTTATACGAAATCTTAGAAAATGCAAACTATAGAAACAAAAAGCAGATCAGTGGTTGCCTAGGGATGTGGAAGAAGGATGGGAGGAAGGAATTACAAAAAAAAGTATTTAAAAACTTTTGAGAGTGATAGATATGTTCATTATCTTGATTGTGATGATGGTTTCATGGGTATAGGCAAGTGTTAAACTTATTAAATTATACATGTCACATGAGTTCAATTTACTGTATGTCAATTATATTTCAATAAAGCTACTAAAAACATTTGCAGCTCCTACCAAATGAGCTTAAATACCTAGGCTAGCACATTAAAGATTGAGCCAGGGGCAGCTGTGGTGGCTCATATCTGTAATTCCAGCACTTTGGGAGGCCAAGGAGGGAGGATCACTTGAGCCCAGCAGTTCAAGACCAAACTGGGCAATACAGTGAAACTTCATCTTTACAAAAAAATTTAAAAATTAGTCAACTATGGGGACACATACCTGTAGTCCCAGCTATTTGGAAGGCTGAGGTGGGAGGATCACTGGAGCCCAGGAAGTGGAGGTGCAGTGAGCTATGATGGTGCCACGACACTCCAGCTTAGGTGACAGAGTGAAACCTTGTCTCAAAAAAAAAAAAAAAAGATTGAGCCAGGAAAATTTGGATTCTTTGAATAAAGTCTACACAGAACGGCATAATTATGCCAAGAAAGCCCTACTGCAGGTGAAATGTCAGCATGGTGGTAGAGAAACTAATGACTATATTGATTCTTTATTGGGCTATGAAAATGTCACTCAAATCTCACAAATTTTAAGGACTTTACTAGTGCCTTCAAGAACCTGTGACCTCATCTCCCATTTCTCCCCTAACCCCACCTCACTTGCCATTGCACCAGCTACTCTGCTTTTCTTTCTCAACCTTGAACTCATAAGCTCCTTTCCCAATCAAGGCCCTTGGACTAGCTGTTTCTCCCCCATGGGACAATCCTCCCAGATCTCTCCAGGGCAGGCCCCTTGAGCTCACATGCCAATTTTCCATTAGAGAGGTCTTTGCAGACTACCCTATGGAAGTAATTCTACCCTCAAAGCAACTAGTTTCAATCACATCATCCTAGTCTATTTCAATTTGTCATGTTTTTTCAATCACTGCTATGTAAGTTTCACAGTAAACATCAACTGTGTCTCCTTGTTCAATCCTTTACTTCTAGAATAGTGCCTCACCACAATAGGTTCACAACAAACATTTTTGATAGAATGCAAATTTTCTTTCACTTATCCTGAATAACATCCGCATTGAATTTCCAGAGACAACTCCAACAATGTGACTGTCAAAATTCATTGATGAAAAGGGTCTTTGATACCTACATGCTCTTTTTCCAAGTCAATCAGTCAGCCACAGCACTGAAGCATGTGTTTGCCTCCTTGAGACTGTTTGTATGCAAGGTAAGGATCCTCCAGGTTTCAGTGAAGTTTAGGTAGGATGACAGTAAACCCATAGAACAGTAAACCCATAGGCATCCCTGCGTCTCTCAGTAGAGAGGGAAGAAGGATTGTTTTCTTCAATTTGGGTTTTATTAGACATTGATTCCTGGTCTCAAAATGAGTGCACAGCCTTGACAATATGTCTGCTCAAATACCAGAAGATATTAGCATCTGGTGACAATTAGCATCTGGTCACCAATTCTTTGAGTTATCTGTGTTTGCAGCACCAAGTTAGGTAAAATGCACCCCTTGAACTGTCATATCCATCCATATCAAGTTAAAGATTCCACATTAAAGTGGATACAGCCACTGCCTTTGAGGACACTTGTAAATAACACCTGTGATTTTAACAATGTCAGATGAATTGAGGTCATTTCAAAGCTCTCATTCCGTTATTTTGGACCGTCATCAGTTACTGATACAAAGGATACTTATACAATGTAGAGAATAATTATGTCTAGGAAAAAAAGACAAATGCTAACATAGACCTTAACAAATTCTATCCTCCTCACTTGCAAATGGAAAAAAAAAAAAAAGACCAGATTGAAAAAAAAACAAAAAAAAAAGGAGAGGGATTTTGTTTGTTTTAGGGAATTTTAAAGTATGAGCATGAACAGAGCAAAATGAAGGCATGTTGCTCCTTCACCCATTCTTTCATTTCTGCAGTTTCCTTCAGCGTTCTTTCAAGGGCCTGCTGACCTCTGTGGATCATTCTGTTATGAAGTCCTAAAATGCTGTAACCACAGGTCACGGTCAACTCAGACAGAAGCCTCAGCCCTTCTGTACTTTTTCATGAGGAAGAATTTTGAATTTAACAAGCAGAAGTCAATTGTCCGGTCCCACTTACAAGTAAGTGCTGCCAATTTTCATTAACACTGTTGTTAAAACCACTGATCTGTTTCAGCAATGCTTAAAGCCTACTGTCCTCAGGGCAAGCCATTACTAACTCCTCCACCAAAGTCCTCCTTAAAGACACCCATAGCATTCAGTTCTGTTTAATAGGAGGGGCGCCGCTGGGCAGAAATCAGCAGAGCCCCATCTCCACTTGTACTTTCCTTTCTTCTGCCAGGAAATAGAATCACATGGAATAAACAACTAAGGAAACCATGGCTAGCTCCAGCAGGTCAAACCCCACCAAATTCCAAACATAATTTTTTTTTCTTCTAGGCATCCCGAGATTCCAAGATTCCTGCAGCCTCTCTTAGATATTTAAGATTATAGGAAACACACTAGATTTAATAATACGTTCTGGAGCTTTAATACATAAACACATCTTTTATTGGACCTACAGGGAGAAAGTAATTGTACATTTACCCAGCCCAGTGGATTTCTTTAAGAAGACTATTTCTGGTCTTGTTTTTGAGAGTTCATTTTTTTTCTCTTCCAGCTCATCAAAGCTGTGAGCCAGTTAATAGCTGACGCTGGGATCGGAGGCTCTCGGTTTCAACATTCGCTTGCAATTACCAATAATTTCGCCAATGGAGACAAGCAAATGAAAGTAAGAAATGCTTTGTGGGCTTTTACTACAGAATTTGTTAAAATCTGAAGTGGATTCTTTTTGTGAGATACCAAAATCATAGAAATAGATCGGATATGGTGGTTCACGCCTGTAATCCCAACACTTTGAGAAGCCAAGGCAGGAGGATCGCTTAAGGCCAGGAGTTTGAGTTTGAGGCTACAGTGAGCTATGATGGCACCACTGCACTCCAGCCTCGGTAACAGAGCAAGACCTTGTCTCTAAATAATAATAATAATTGTTTATTTTGTTTATTGAGACTTTGAGCTTTGAGCCCTCCTCAAAATAAACGATCAAGTTTATTGTTTGAATCGCTAAGCAGCTCTTACACTTTAAGCATGTGATCTGTTAAGTGGCATTCCCAATATGCGTGGTTGAATGGCCTAGAACAAGAGGATTTACCGTAAATATCCAGAAATACAATGACTCCCTCCTAACTCTATTTGGGGGAAAATTCATCTTATCTTTTGTTTAGTGCTTTCTGAAGACTTCTCCTTTAGTCATTATACTGAAAAGTCCAAGTCTAGAGCCAGACTTCAGTCATGGCTGGACCCAGGGATTAAAATAATTTTCAGACCCATCCCTCCACTGCTTCGATCTTGCCTCTCTCACTGTCTGTCAGTTCAGCTTTCCTCTTTGTTTACTTATTTCCAGACAGGTTATCGCCCTGGGCATGTTCTCAGAAATTCTAAGGACCCTGGTGGTATCTTATGAGTAGAAAATCACCTTGTTTGATAGTTCCAATTAAAGTCCCACAACTGAATCTCTTTGATCCAAGCTTAAATCATATGCTTATCCCTAAACCAATCACTGTAGCCTGGAGGATCAAAAAATAGAATTGGCCAGGCCAGTGTTATGTGCCACCCATGGTCCCTAGGAGTAAAGTCAGACCTGTGCAAATCACATGAACTAGAGTCAGGAAGGGGAATATATCTCAAAGACAATCAGGATGTTTTACCAGAAGGTGTGCTTGAAGACAAAAGAATAGAGCCTCCTGAAATTTTTATCTTCAAATGTGTATATCCACAGTCATAAAACATAGAATGCACATATATAGAATGCACACATTTATAACTATAGAATGTTCCAAACTGTGATGCCTAGCCATAATTAATAGCATGACTTGAAGTCAGTTAACCTACAGGTTCTAAACAGATAATGACCCAGGCTCTCTCTTTTCCAAAGAACAGCAATTTCCCAGCAGAGGTGAAAGACCTGACTAAGCGTATAAGGACTGTTTTGATGGCCACAGCTCAGATGAAGGAGCATGAGAAGGATCCTGAGATGCTGGTGGATCTCCAGTACAGCCTGGCAAACTCCTATGCAAGCACTCCCGAACTACGGAGGACCTGGCTGGAAAGTATGGCCAAGATTCATGCCAGAAACGGAGATTTATCTGAGGTGATTAGCCAAGGCTCGGTCGTTTACCATCAGTATTGTCCTCTTTATCAGGAAAATTGGATCTTCATTTATAGCATGGACTAGAAAAAGAAGCTATGTTTTTCCACTAATCTAGAAATGACTCAGTTATATATCATATACAATAAATTTGCATATCACATTCAAGGATACCTGACTCTAAGTAAATGACATCAAATAAAGGCCAGAGTCAGTGGGGGCAACTGCAGGTGTATAAATTGTAACGCAACGCTGAATGCTAAAAACCTGAGGCTAAGGAGGAGTGTGGTAGGGGTGTCTGGCAATTGAGTCATTAAATTAATGTTCTGTGTTTTAAAACTTCTTCTCTGCAACTGGAGTGGAATGGGGAAGCTTGCCACCATAGTGAGTAAACTCAGGCAGGGGGAATCAGTCCTCATTTACAGCTAGTCTGAACTGGCCATAGAAAAATTAATGATCCTTAGCACCACGTGAGGAGAGTCCACTGTGCGAAGATTGTAAGTCAACACTTAACTTTTTATGTCAGTTTCAATACCGGGTGGATCATATGCAGCAATTCATAGCACCCAAGGGCTTCTGAGTACCAAATGGGAAGTTCTACTCCATTCCAGAACTATGTCCCTTTGGGGAAGAGATTAATTTGTCTAGGATAGTCCTAAACTCTGAAGCTCTTCTAAACACATGTGGTAATCAGGGACTCTGGAATGGAAACCACAAGCCTGGCTTGGCAGCAATTTAGTGAGGACAGGAATGAGAAGCCCTTGGGCTGCTCTGAAAATGATGAAACTCCTCCATAAAACCTCAAAAGGAAAAAGCTGAAGTCATTTGGAATCTTTAGCAAGTTGAGTTTTAATATGGATTCAGCAATGTTCAGGGCTTCATAAGAGACATTAGAGTAAAATATAACATCACTCACATAACCTGGTTTGTGGGGAGCACAGGTGTTAGTTACATCAGGTCACACTACTTAATCAAGCACTCACTTGTGAAGTGACCGTTTTAAAGGCAACACAAATTCAGAGGGGCTATTCCTGGAGGTAAAAAAAAAGTTATTTAGAAGGCAGATTATTTTTATTTCCAATTTGTATCTAAATACTAGAATTATAGTTTTAATTGTAAAAGGAGAACTATGATTTATTTTTAATATAAGCTTAGACATTAAAGGAGGAAGATAATTCTATGGGAAAATTCTTTGGGCCAGCTCCTTCAGCCATCTCCAGACTAATCAAGAACAAACAAAAACCCAAATATTCATTTTATTCTTGATGGTGAATTTTTTGGAAATACAATTGATTCTTGCTTTCAATTCGGTGTTTACAAAGGATCCTTCTACATAACATATTCTGATATGGAATACTGACTCGCCTTGGAAGATTAGCCCTAATTATATTAAACTGCATCCCCTGAGCCTCTTTATTTTCTTTCTCATTACAGGCTGCCATGTGTTACATCCATATTGCTGCTCTCATTGCAGAATATCTGAAAAGAAAGGGTAAGATGACGACGTGAGGGAGACAAAAAGCCCAGATTTCAACACATTGAAGCCTAATAGAAATAATGTATTAATTTTACATTTTATTAATCTGTTATGTTTAATTAAGTAATAATTGCTTTCACAGATACTTCTAATTATGCTGTACTTCACCATTTTCAGTCTGTTATGCCACTGACGTATTTATTCTATGTACAGCAAAGGCTAACTGAATGGTCAACTTCTTAGTTCAAAACGAGAATGCATCATTGGCTAACAATTTGTAGTCTCAAAAGCTTGTATTAACATAAACATGTAGCAACGTCCTAACCTCATCTTGCACTACCATAGGTTACTGGAAAGTGGAAAAGATTTGCACAGCATCCCTGCTCTCGGAGGATACCCACCCCTGTGATAGCAACTCATTACTAACAACTCCCAGTGGAGGAAGTGAGTGACCTAACTGCTCGTTTATCCCAATGCAGAGGAAATCAACTTGCTGCTTAAATTCTACTTCAGTGAAACCTTCTTTATTCTTTTTTTTTTTTTTTTTTTTTTTTTTGAGATGGAGTCTCGCTCTGTCGCCCAGGCTGGAGTGCAGTGGCTGGATCTCAGCTCACTGCAAAGCTCCGCCTCCCAGGTTTAGGTCATTCTCCTGCCTCAGCCTCCCGAGTAGCGGGACTACAGGCGCCCGCCACCTCACCCGGCTAGTTTTTTGTATGTTTTAGACAGGGTTTCACCGTGTTAGCCAGGATGGTCTCAATCTCCTGACCTCGTGATCCGCCCGTCTCGGCCTCCCAAAGTGCTAGGATTTAAATACATTCTTAGAAGCAAAAACTATCTCAGATCTACACAACTTACTCTGCAAAACACTTAAACTCCTGCCATCCAGAAATCCCATCCAAAATTTATGAAATTTAAATAACTGAAAAGTTGTCAGCAAATAGAACTGTATGTTCTCCAACATTCAAGTTTATGAGTTACGGCCATATTTAGCTACCAATCTGCATGCCAGTCTGCCATAGGGATTTTACTCTGAATTGCAAGAGGAATCTATTTTAATTTTTAAATATAATAAAACTGTTGATTCCAAATAAAAGATAGGGCCAGGCGTGTTGGCTCACACCTGTAATCCCAGCACTTGGGAGGCCAAAGTCTCTACTAAAGTAGTGGTCTCTACTAAAAATACAAAATGTAGCCGGGTATGGTGGCGGGCACCTGTAATCCCAGCTACTTGGGAGACTGAAGCAGGAGAATCTCTTGAACCCAGGAGGCGGAGGTTGCAGTGAGCCAAGATCACACCACTGTACACCAGCCTGGGCAACAGAGTGAGACTCCATCTCCAAAAAAAATAAAAAGAAAAATGAAGACATATACATATATATATACTATATATGTAGGACTTTATAATCAGCATGTTCCATTTCATTTTTAAAAAGTATAAATGACAATTTATAACATATGGTTTATGGTACAGATTTCCTTTAGAAATATCCCATCAATGTCTGATTTCTTGAAATTATAATGACTAAAGAGTTACTCTTTGCACAAAAAAGTGGGTGATATAGTTTATACATTTAATCTACATTCTCTTGCAAAAATTTGTTCAAATCTGAATTTTATGAACTGTAGTCTATTTGATAACACTGGTTTAACTTTCCAAATGCAGTGGAAAACTCAGTGTACAAACAACAGAAATACATTTTTAGATGTTGAAAATCAGAATACTTAAAACGAAATGTAAATGGACTTTACTTGCTATATTTCAGAAACATAATTCATCCCTTATTCATTTAAATATTTGTAGGTTTTCTAAAAGGTCTCAGTGGAGTTTGCATATAAGACATTTGAACTGGCCAGGCACCATGGCTCACGCCTGTAATCCCAGCACTTTGGGAGACTAAGGAGGGTGGATCACAAGGCCAGGAGTTTAAGACCAGCCTGGCCAAGATGGTGAAACCCTATCTCTACTAAAAATACAAAAAAAAAAAAAAAAATAGCCGGGCATGGTGGCAGGTGCCTATAATCCCAGCTACTCAGGAGGCTGAGGCAAAGAATTGCTTGAACCCAGGAAGTGGAGGTTGCAGTGAGCTGAGATCACACCACTGCACTCCAGCCTGGGCAACAGAGCAAGACTCCATCTCAAAAAAAAAAAAAAAAGACATTTGAACCAAATGACCAAAGCAAACTGAGAGACAGTGAGGTCACTTGTTTGAGGACCTTGGAGAAGACACCAGATGTGGCACCCTGTGGCACCCATGGCTCATGTCCACCCTAAAATTCAGGAATCTTCTTACTTAGTGTCACATGTCCTATTTAGCCTGATTTTTATATGCAAGTCATCAAAAACATCATTGCCTTATTTAACATGCCCTTCCTCTTCCTCTATTGCTTATCATAACCAGATGCCATAACGTTCCATAAAGACTTTCAAATTCTAAGAACAAAATTGAAGAAAACCGATAAAAGCAGGTGTTAGTTTCAGAACTTGTGGAAACTTATATGCCAAAAAGTTGTGTGAATCTTTCATATTCAAAATGCTTTAAATGCCCAATATTAGACCTAAGGTGATATTAGAATATAATGTGTTCAACAAGAAAAGGATATATTTGTTTAGGAAACGTTAAAATTAGGAAGGTGATCATCTATGACATATTAACATATATCTGATGATACATTAACTGATGATATAGGCTATGATATATTAGCATATTCTAACTAGCACATATCATCAGCATATATGTGAATGTCATTGGCATGTATTTGAAGCCCTTAATATACTTTTCTATTTTGATATTTTTGAGTCAAAGGAGTGAACTATCCCTTCCCTACAATATGCACAATGGTATGAATATAGGTGAATATAGGTGACCCCAGAAAGTACAGCTGCTTCAGTTGTACTAATAAGTGATCATCATCCTGCAAGAAGTATGTTGTGACTTCTCCTCCTTCAATTAACTGATATAGTTTAATATATGTTTAATATTATTATAAAAAGTAGAAAAATAAAATTTATATAAAAGCAAGTATTAGATTGCAATAATTATTATATTTATAATTTCTAGCATGTTTGGGGGGTGATCATTTAGTTACATAACCAATGAGCTGATTATTAAAAGCAAAAATATTATTAAAAAATATTAATAATAGCTATAATTTAAAAAGCACCACACTAAGCCCTGTACCAGCAATGTGTCAATTAGTTGCCAGTAACAAATCTGTGAGTTAGGTGCTATTATCACCTCCTGTTTATATAGGTGAGAAAAACAAGAGAGGCTAAATAATCTGCCTCAAATGTCATGGTTAGCTTGTGTTGGAGCCAAAGTTCAGAGGCTGGTCTGTCACTCCAGCTAGTGCTTTTCTAGTCACTCACATTCCCCACAATTCAGATGTATCTCTCCTCTGGGAATGTTACCCGTTGTCAGCTGTTTTCACATGTATCTGTAGAGGGAGGCCTTTTTAAATCTTGGTGGCTAAGATACTAAGAAAATTTGAAAAGGTTTCTACATAATGTAAAAGAGTGACATATAGCAAGTATTGGCCAGGCACAGTGGCTCACGCCTGTAATCCCAACACTTTGGGAGGCTGAGGCGGGCAGATCACCTGAGGTCAGTAGTTTAAGACCAGCCTAGCCAACACAGTGAAACCCCGTCTCTACTAAAAATACAAAAATTAGCTGGGCATGGTGGCGGGTGCCTGTAATCCCAGCTACTACTCGGGAGGCTGAGGCAGGAGAATCGCTTGAACCCGGGAGGCAGAGGTTGCAGTGAGCCAAGATGGCACCATTGCACTCCAGCCTGGGCAACAAGAGTGAAACTCCATCTCAAAAAAAAAAAGCAAGTATTGGGCATTGTCTTGTCTTGTTGGGGGGGCCATTGGGGAGAGATAGGGTCTCACTCTGTCACCCCGGCTGGAGTACAATCGCATGGTGATAGCTCACTCCAGCCCCAAACTCCTAGGCTCAAGCAATCCTCCTGTCTCAGCCTCCTAAGTAGCTGGGATTACAGGCACCCACACATCCAACTATAAGCATTGTCTTCATAATGTGCTGCGTGTACCCGGTATTTTCTCAAATATTAATGTTTTGAGTCCTTTCAACATCCTTTGAGATAGATATTAATGTCCCCAGTTTAACAAAAGAAGGACACAGTCTCAGAGATTAATTAAAGCAGAAGATTGGAAGTGTAACATCTACCCACAAACCTTATGTTCTGTCCATAATCCCATGCTATCTCTTTATTAAAAATACTACCTGAAAATGATACAAAAATTATAAAAAGGGGAATACTGTTTGTCTGGCAGAGAGTATTTATCAACAGTCATAATCTAACCATCTTGTTGATTATGCGAGCTTTGTAATACTACCAATTGGTAACATCATGAAGAAAGGCATTATCTAATCTAAGCAAAATTTGTCTCAAATAATAACGTTTTATTCTGCTTGGTCCTCCCAAGGCATGTTCTCTATGGGATGGCCAGCTTTTTTGAGCATTACGCCAAATATTAAGGAAGAAGGAGCAATGAAAGAGGATTCCGGAATGCAAGATACACCCTACAATGAGGTTAGACCAAAATTATCTCATGTACAGTAACTAAGTAAAGAGATGCATTGGCTTGTGACATTAAGCTAAATAAGGGGAAGCAAGCTTATAGCTGTTCTATAACTTAATTAGACAAAATGAAATGTAGGCTAAAATCAAGCCAAGATTAGTAGATACCAGATTTCAGTAAAAATTTAAACTATATCTTACTTCTGTAAGATGGGCTCAAATGTATATTATCAGCTCTTCTATAAGATAATATCTCTGGCCTTTTGGTAAAGGTGATAAGGGATGCTAAATTTTGCGAACCGATCATAGCTTTCTTTCTAAAAGCATTAGCAAGTTTATTTACAAATGCAGGTGGACGTAAAAGTTCACTAGTTTAGAAAAACTTCTGTTATGGAACATAAGCAGAGTTATTTTTCATTAACACAAAAAGAAACTTTCTACTGGGAATTACTTAGCAATAGTTCTGGTGAAGAAAACAGAATTCCTCTCATTAAGTAAAATATTTTATAAGCTAATTTTTAAGTCAGTATTACATAAATGGAAAAAACTATACAGAAAGTAAATTTTCAGATGAATGTTAATACAATTTTACACATGGTTCTACATCAATTTAGCATATATTGCAAATAAATGAAGTAAATGTAATTACATATTTATGTTAACTATTTTAAATAATGTTTAAGAACCTTTTCTTAAAGGAAATTGTTGAAAACATTCCAACAATATCATACATTTGCTTGAAAGCTTATATAACTTTATTCAGTTGAAAATTTATTAAGCCACTAGTATATGAAAGGAATTGAGGTAAGGGCTGAGAAAAAAAATAAGGTATAATTTCTGCTCTCAAAGAATTTAGAATATTGAGAAAGACAGTTCCTACAGAGTGGGGAATGGCCAGGCAAAAACAGATGCCCAGTGACCAAATCTAGGTATCATATACACTTGCAATTAGAAGGGGAACTTTTTTTTTTTACATGACAATTGTTGAAATGGTGATGAATAGAATGTAAATAAAAGCTCTTCATTTTTTTTGTGCTGAGTCTTGATAGGACTTGAAGGTGTGAAATAAGAAGGTTCTTATAGGTGCGGCTGTAACACAGACAAAAGTATGGAGGTCAGAGAGTGTTCTAATAATGGAGTGGTATATGGTATGGCCAAATGCAAAGTCAATGACAGAGCACTGAAAGAAGGGGTCACTGAAAGGGAGGCTGGTGCCTGATTGTGGAGCTTCTTGAAGGCATGCTAGAGTTTGGACAGCAGCTTACATACTGGAGTTCCAACAAAAGTTTAAGGCACTGGAGGTCTCGTGATCAGATTTGTGTTTTACAAAGAAAGATTACTGGAGAGCAGCAATTGGAGAGGGAAAACAGATTCGCTCAAAACTGTTGCAGGGGTCAGGGAGTACGTAAGTCAGTAGCAGTGGGAATGGAAAGGAGGAGACAGATCTGAAGGCATTTCACAGATTTAAATTAGCACTTTTGAGGCACTAATTAGGTAACGGTAATGCGGGATAGGCAAGAATCCAAGATGACACCATGATCCCCTGCTGGGTTTTAAATGCCAGTAACAGAGGAAAAAGTTTGACAATGCAACAGCTTTGAAACCAAGTTTCAGGCATGAGCCACAATCCTAATCATGTAAAATCTCATTTTGATTGGGGGAATTGCAGAATATCCTGGTGGAGCAGCTATACATGTGTGTGGAGTTTCTCTGGAAGTCTGAGCGATACGAACTCATTGCTGATGTCAACAAGCCCATCATTGCTGTCTTTGAGAAACAACGAGACTTCAAAGTATGTATTCCAACCCTGTAGAAGGAGTTATTTAAAATATCCTATGTTGAATTGGAAAATTACTTACAGTTTTCAAAATTAAAAACTCTCTATTTGTATGTCAGCGTGATCTTCATGAAACTCTTTCACTTATGGTTTCAGAAATTGTCAGATCTCTACTATGACATTCATCGGTCATACCTGAAAGTGGCAGAGGTGGTGAATTCAGAGAAGCGGCTGTTTGGTCGCTACTATCGTGTGGCATTTTATGGGCAGGTAAGTTCACCAGAAATAACATGGCCCATAAATTCTGCTGAGCAGTTGAATGTTGTCTTTCATTCTTCACGAGACATCTGTGTGTGCCAGTGAATGGAGAGGTATGGGTGTGTCTGACTATACTTGAGTGTTTCTCCGGATGTGATGGTCTATATGTTTGTCCATAGGAATGTACTAAGTTGGAAAACAAGTGAGCTAAGAAATCCATGGGTTGAGTTAACAGTGATTTCTGACTTCTCAAAGAAAGAGGGCACTTATTTTTCAACATTCTCTTCTTTCCAGCTCACCCTAAAATATCTAATTATGAGTTTATGTCATATATTAAAGTGAAATTAAATTGAACATGCTTTAAGAAATAACATTCCTAATATTCTAGGAAAGAAAAGAATTCCTAGGGGCTCCACCATATCAAACCTTTGATTTTACAATCACACAATTTCTTTTCTCCTATTTTCAAACTGCCACTGTTTCTAGACAGAATACCAGATGGTTATTTTGCTTCCTATATTGCAAGTCAGTATAATTTCAACGTTATTTTTCCCAGTTTACTGCATAACCAATGAAGAAGATGGAAAATATTACTTAGCCACTGTATTGGCCTGAAAGTGAACATACTATATGTTAATTGTGAATGTCTCTGAGCAACATTTTCAATGGGATAAACCCAGGCACCATTCATTTCTTTTCGGGAAGGCTTATAACGCTATTATATTTCAGCAGACGTAGTTTAGACTGTTGCTTGTGTGGATAGACATCCCATGCTTTTATTTTCAGAGTGGCAGTGGCTCTCAGACCTCACACTTCCTCTCCCCGCAACCTATCGTCTCACTTAGTAGCCCAGGCTGGAGTGCAGTGCAGTGGCATGATCTCGGCTCACTGCAACCTCCGCCTCCTGGATCCCGGCTCAAGCAATTCTCCTGCCTCAGCCTCCTGAGCAGCTGGGATTACAGGCAGGTGCCACCATGCCCAGCTAATTTTTGTATTTTTTAGTAGAGACAGGATTTCATTATGTTGGCCAGGCTGGTCTTGAACTCCTGACCTCTTGTGATCCACCCACCTCAGCCTCCCAAAATGTTGGGATTACAGGCGTGAGCCACCGTGCCCGGCCTCAGCTTCTTGTTCTTAAGACTGCAGCGGAAGGAGTCAACTCCAGCATGTTCATTCTAGGTCACTCCCCATTGAAGTTGTTTGAAAAGTACATATTTTCCTCTGCTCACCAAAAGCAGCTTAAAAACTAACCTCTGGGCTGAGTGCCGTGGCTCACGCCTGTAATCCCAGTACTTTGGGAGGCCAAGGCGGGCGGATCATGAGGTCAGGAGATCGAGACCATCCTGGCTAACAAGCTGAAACCTTGTCTCTACTAAAAATACAAAAAATTAGCCGGGTGTGGTGGCGGGCGCCTGTAGTCCCAGTTACTCGGGAGACTGAGGCAGGAGAATCGCATGAACCCGGGAGGTACAGCTTGCGGTGAGCCAAGATCGCGCCACTGCACTCTAGCCTAGGTGACAAGAGTGAGACTCCATCTCAAAAAAAAAAAAAGAAAAGAAAGAAAAAAAAGAACCTCTGAATTAATAAAGCTAGATACTTTCTACCTGGAAAGGAGAAGTATCACCAAGTAGCCACTTATTATAAATAAATTAATCCAACCAGGATTTTTCTCAGGACACAGCAACATCAGGATAGTGGAGACAGAGAAACTAATGGTCTGAAAAATGGGGATCTGCATAAACAATCTATAGAATATAAAAAGCAAATTTAGACATTTTGGGGGTCCATGGAAAAGAATCTGAACTATCTGAAGTGAGAACATAGATGGGGAGAGAGCGAGGTGTGGGAACCTTCAGAAGAGGAAGAGAGAAAAGAGAAAATGACACTTTGGAGCCATTTGGGAAGCTACGAAGAAAATATACAATTTGTGACATTGGTGAGACAGCAAGAAAAGTGGCAGAAAATGGTATAAGTAGGGAAGGGGATGTGGGAGCAGAAGAACTGAAAGGGAAAAACAGAGTTTCAAGGGAGATGGCCACAGGCTAACTGGGCAGCACAGAAGTAGCACAAAAGATGTGCTTCTGGGTCACCAAGACATGACTCTGTAACGCCTCAGGCATTCCTTCCAATGAAAAAGTAAAAAAAATCATTGATAACCTGATCATGAAAACAGGATTGCCTACCAGATGGTTGCTGCAACCACTATCTGAGACACGGGCTCTAAAGCAGGTAGAAGTGAATCACGCTGCTTTTCAACTAGTTTTTAATGCAGATGTTTACTCTTTTCTTCTTTTGGTCTTGATTGTTCCAGGCCGTGGTAAGTTCTCACTCACTCTCGCTCTCCATTTGCATGCTCTAACACCCCTCACACTTCCCTCTGTATGGCTTTACTGAAACTTAACCTTTTTGTGCAAATCAACATTTGGTACGAAGGGTGAGATAATCCTGCTTTCATTCATTTTTGGAATCTTCCTGCATCTCTTTAACTAAGTTACGTTTATGCCAGTTATCTGAATTACAAAAAATGTATCCTTTGTTTTTCATACATGCTATCTTTCTGCCTAAAGGTAGATGTAGTCTGAAAGCCTTACATACACACACACACACAGAGATAAGTATGGGTACCGCGTATCTTAAATATACGTAGCACAGACTTGGTATTGTAGATTGTCTACTTATTTCAGGCCACTATGAGCTGCAGCTTATTAAGAACAGAATGGTCAGAATTTTGGAAGCTGGAGTAATGGTTATTGGTGGACACCTCCCAAGATACTGAAAAAACTGTGTTTTTTCCAAAGGAGTGTCTTAGAGAGATGGGGGTCTATGGTGGTGAGCTCTGAGCATTCTCAGAGGTGATGGGAGTAATTCCCAACATAAAAGATGAACTGGGGAATAAATCTTTACCCAATACGTCTGGGTAAGTCTCCAGAGATGCAGAAAGGAGCAAGGTAAGAAATTTGGAGAACAAGCCATGTCCAAAATAACCTGCCAGTACCCAGAGCTCTGTGACAAAGGATTTTCTTCATATTATTTTGAGCCATATGAAATTGCCTATATTCAATCACTTTTTTATGTGCAAAAATGGCAACTTTATATGATTCAACATAATTATTGTCAGTTAAGCTGGAAAGAGAGAACATTTAATATTCACATATTGTTCATATTCAGCCCTACTTGTCTGACCAGTACATACTTTTTTGTAATTCTTTAAATTCCTTCCCACATTCATACCATATCAGCATTTTCTATGTTCATTTATAAATATGGGATTATGGGCCCTTAACTCACCTACTAAAAGAATACTTGAAAACTCCTGTACTAAATAGACTGAGGGGGGCAGTGGGGAAGCATTGGGGGGGCCCTTGCAAATGACCTAACTTTATTTTTCTTTCAGACTCCTCAGTAAAGTGTGCTGATTTTGCACCTGATTTTTTTTTTTTAATGCTGCAGTACTCTCACTTGTCTTTGTAAAAAATTCCAAGGCCGGGTGCAGTGGCTCACGCCTGTAGTCCCAGCACTTTAGGAGGCCGAGGAGGGCGGATCACGAGGTCAGGAGATCGAGACCATCGTGGCTAACACGGTGAAACCCTGTCTCTACTTAAAATTCAAAAAATTAGCCGGGCGTGGTGGCGGGCCCCTGTAGTCCCAGCTACTCGGGAGGCTGAGGCAGGAGAATGGCGTGAACCCGGGAGGCGGAGCTTGCAGTGAGCCGAGATTGCGCCACTGCACTCCAGCCTGGGTGACAGTGAGCCTCCATCTCAAAAAAAAGAATAAATAAAATAAAAACAAAAATAAATAAATTCCAGTCTGAGCTTAAAACGCAGTGTTTTGTTAAATCCTCTGACTGAGAACCTGCCTAAGCACGACACTCCATAAGCTCAAACCCAGCTACCTTTGAACAACGAGAACTAATGGAGGTTGTCCTGATAAGCAGCAAATTAGAGCCTCAGTCATCACTGCTTAGACGAGATTCAAATGCCTGTCTCAAGATACCACATGGAGAGTGAGAACTGCGGGATTCAACAGGAGCAGACAGCACACATCACTTCACACTCGATGATAAATAAATACCAATTTGACTCCAGCATTCCCCAGAACGTGTACAGAATGAAGGTTCCAAAGATTTAAGATAAAATCTTGACTACTTGATTAGCATAATCCCCACGGTCAGAAATAATTTCTTATTCATAATGGTGCTTTATGTCCCATATGGTATAAAAGTTATCTTTTAATATCCAAGTTGACATGCCTTGCAATGATGTTAAAAAGATTATGGAAATATGACATGCAATAGGCTCTTTGCCTGCACAAAGGCCTTTGGGTACATTTTTTTAGTGTCCCGTGTAGACCACTGCTCTCATTTTATAGTTTTGGCTGAGGTATTAATACTGTGTCTGTAATGAGCCAGACACTAGAAAACAAGTATAAATAAAACTGATCATTCATAGCAGGAACTTTACAAAAATGCAAGTCTTGCGCAACATGAACTGTCTAATGCAACACCCGGCATCAGCATCAATATGGAAATTGGACATACAGCAGCCTATACAAAGTGTCCTCCAAAGTGTCCCTGAAGTATTGATTTCCACAGTAATGAAACAGCAGCAGTGAGCAAACATCAACTATAATCAATGAAGTCCTTAGGCCCTGGTATTTAACGTGAAAGCAAGTGAATACCCGTTACATAACAAAATATCAGATGCCCCTGGAATTAATTAAGTAAAAGACCTGGGAGAATTTTATTTTATCCACCAAAGGCCATAGATGCCATAATTTGCAGTCATGCCTGTATGGGTGTACTTGCATCTCAGGATCTTAATAAAAAAGGAATTTGGGGGAGGAGGGAAGGTGCATGTGTAGTGTGGAAAACCGCCATCTCCACTTTGAGACATGATATAGCTCTCCGCCTATAGGAAAGTTGCTGATCTAGGCCGCATATCTATACCGTATAAACATCATAATTGAGTTCTGATGTATATGCTAAGAGAAGCTACATGAATGCAGAGAAATTCATTCTCTGAAAAGAAGCTATTCAGAGAAAATAGCTTCTTTTCTCTTAGCATTTAGCCTCGTATTGACATTTTCTGGCCCATCTTTTGTATACTAGATTCCTTTTCAAATACATTCTTCTCTTTGTGAACTTTGAATGAGTCTAATATAATACCAGGGGCCCTGATATTTGACATCACAGTGATGATCCAGGGACATTGCAAGATGCTAACGTACCTGCAAAAGCATCTGAGGAGGAGTCAATAGTTTACTGAAGTCCATTTTTACCATAATGTATTGCCTTAAAGTTTCATAATTCATACAGTCCTTGTTTAACCAGGGCATGTTCTTTCTTGACCAGAGCAGACGAAGGTGTTTATTGCATTGCAAAATGACATTTTAAAAATCAAACTAGCAAGGGAAATGCAGAGATCACCTTTCCCATTGCCTTGAAATTCAGTCAGCTTATAAACTTGGGGCTAAAGCAAAAGAGAAACTGACCCTGGTTTTTGTCACTCTGTGTCCCTGTTTATAAATCATTTATGTCATAGACAGAGCTGAAATGGAACCCTTCCTTCAGATAGTGCCTGTAGCTCCGTGGGCTTTGCTTTGATAGCTTCCCTGGGTATAAGGTAAGCCTGCATTCCAAACATTTTCAGAGCTGCCATTTGTCTGGCTTCAAAACTGTTTACAGAAACCCCAGGGGACAGCAGATTAAACGCTTTATTCTGCTCCTCCATCTCCTTCTTACTCATTTTACAAAACAGGTTTACCTTTCCAAGCTCTTTATAGAAAAAGGTTCCAATCACTAATTTATCAGTTACCAAAATATTCAAATGAGCTTCAATAGACCTTTTATAATAAGAAGAACTTCATTGCCTAAGCAAGAGAAGCTGAAAGTATGTATTTTCAAGCACTGAACACTGAGTTACGCTGCATAAAAGCCAGAACTCAAATTGCTTTATAGATACCGAGTTTTTTCGTCATTGTTGTCATCACCACCAGCATCATCATCATTACCATCCTCAACATAGCTAGCACTCACCAAAGGCCATCTGATTACCAGGTGTGGTCCTTACAACCCCCCAGTAGGTTGCTGACTCTGAATTTTCCCACCCCATAGCCCAAGGAGGAGGGATGAAAGAAAGCCACAGGTTATGAACAAGGCCACAAAGGTCACGATGATGGCAATTTTTTTTTTTTGAGACGGAGTCTCACTCTGTCGCCCAGGCTGGAGTGCAGTGGCTCAAACTTGGCTCACTGCAACCTCCGCCTCCTAGTGATTCTCCTGCCTCAGCCTCCTCAGTAGCTGGGACTACAGGCATGCGTCACCACGTCCGGCTAATATTTGTATTTTTAGTAGAGAAAGCGTTTCACTATGTCGGCCAGGATGGTCTCAATCTCTTGACCTTATGATCCACCCACCTTGGCCTCCCGAAGTGCTGGGATTACAGGAATGAGCGACCGTGCCCGGCCGATGATGGCAATTTTTACCTGCCTCCTACCACTCATTTTCTGCTCGCTCTAGATTCAGAAATTTGTCAGGGGTTTACAGTGAAAATGTGTCTTTATACTAGTTTTCACACTATGGTGAAAAATAAAAAATCTTTTCCTGAACCTTAGAGACATTTTTCTCCTTGAAATTGAAGTTGCAAATGTTGCTTCAGCTTTAGCCCCATGAGGATTCTGCCTGAAGGCTTCAGAAGGTCTTATTTCTCTGATGTGTCAGTCTGTCAATTGTAGCCACTAACTCCTGACCTTGAATCAGACAAAACTCCACAAAGACAGCAACAGAAAAAAACATAGCAGGCTGGAAGTCATGTGGGAGTGGAGTCAGACCTCACTACCCCTGTGAAATCTACAGGAATGACAGGGAGCTGCTTTTCATGCTTTCAACATTATATGACACTTTGTAGCAGTTTGGGGTCAAGGCACTTATAATTACTTGTATTTTTGTCTTGAACATTTCTCGAAGAAATTGTTCATTAAAAACATCTTTATTTAAAGCCATGGACTATTTTCCAGTTATGCCTGGTGTATATACGCCTGTTTAAGATGTATGCCCTTTAAGAATTCTTTCATTCATCTGCTTACGCAACAAATAGAGTGACCTCCCCCTAAAGACCAGGCATTGTGCTAAACACTGGGCATGCAACGTTGAACACACACTTCCTGCCTTTAGAAAGCCCAAAGTCAATTAGGGAGATGTGCAAGGAAGCAGGCGATTACCTGATTGGCAAGAATTCCACTATGGAGTAGACCTTATTCATTTGCTTCTGCAAAGGTACAGCTACAGTACACTTAGAATACAAATTACCCTGTTAAAGATGATCCCATTTGCATGTATGAAAGTGCTTTTGAAGTATAAAGCATCATACAGATTTGAGTTCAATCAATATTCTTAGATTGTCTCACATTAACCATGAAAAAATATAGCACTGGAACACTTTGCCTATGCTTTTTTTTTTTTTTTTTTTGAGACGGAGTCTCACTCTGTTGCCCATTCTGGAGTGCAGTGGCACAATCTCGGCTCACGGCAAGCTCTGCCTCCCAGGTTCACGCCATTCTCCTGCCTCAGCCTCCCGAGTAGCTGGGACTACAGGTGCCCGCCACCACGCCTGGCTAGTTTTTTTGTATTTTTAGTAGAGACAGGGTTTCACCGTGTTAACCACGATGGTCTCGATCTCCTGACCTCATGATCCACCTGCCTCAGCTTCCCAAAGTGCTGGGATTACAGGCGTGAGCCACCGCACCCGGCCACCTATGCTTTTTTTTATCATATAATTTTTACATAGTCAAAAGTGATTTTTTAATATGGCTAAGTTTCCTTTTGACGTCCAGTGTCTTCACCCAGACCTCAAAAGCCATTTCCTTATGGGTCAACTCTACAATCAGGAGAAACCGGATATAGCCTGTAATTCCAGCACTTTGGGAGGCCAAGGTGGGTGGATCATCTGAGGTCAAGAGTTCGAGTTCGCCAACATGGCGAAACTCCATCTCAATTAAAAATACAAAAATTAGCTGGGCGTGGTGGCACACATCTGTAGTCCCAGCTACTTGGGAGGCCGAAGCAGGAGAATCACTTGAATCCAGGAGGCAGAGCTTGCAGTGAGCCAAGATCACACCTCTGCACTCCAGCCTGGGCGACAGAGCAAGACTCTACAAAAAAAAAAAAAAAAAGAAACCAGATATCCTTGGGTTCTTAACTCCAAACTTAATCTGGTATTCTGAGGCCACATGTATTCCACAGGAAAAATGCTTCTGTGTCTCTTCAAAGAGAAGGAATTATAAAGATTGCTTCACTTAGTTATCTTCAGATAATAGAATCTTCCCTTCCCTCTGCTTCCAACCAGACAAATAAATTAATAGAGGCTAAAACCTACTTGCTCTTGTGGAATAAAAATGATGATATGGTTGCTATTTTTAATCCTATAATGTCTTCCTTTTCAAGAATGTAAAAGATCTCTTAGTAAGGTAGATTGCATGATTAAGTTACATATAGCTAAATTTCAGCAGGTCCCTGAAGTCATGTTGACGTAAAGTTATTTTTTAAATAGCAGTACTTGGGAGCATAACACATGTAATTTCTGTTACGACAACTATATAAAGTCTTGTGATTTTTCATCGAAGATTATGTGGGATGCATGTCAGCCCATTTAAATAGCTTTACATGCCGTACACATTTCCTATGTTAGTTTCAAAGACTTATAGAAGATCTTATTAAAAAGGATACTGACTGCTCTTTGCTGCAAAAAATTGCTCCATATTTCATGTTCTACCCCAAGCTACCACAAGAGGGCATGCTTCCCCCAAAATATGTGCAAGTAGGTAGTACCATTGAGTTCTACAAATAGAGAAAACAGTATTTGCAAGATATTTCATGAGTTTCTTTGGCCTGGCTAGGAAATATTTACATTAATGTCTGATTATAAGATGATATTTTATTTTCTTCACTGTGTTTTCTCCGATTTTGAATGTTATAGGGTGTTAACCAATGGATTGGATGACAACCAAAAACTGTATATATTTTTTAAGTAAATGGCTTTTTGTTTTGCTTTTGATTTATGACAAGCATTCTCTAATAAAATTGGTGGTTCATTATGTTCCATAGGGCTTTTTTGAAGAAGAAGAAGGTAAAGAGTATATTTATAAAGAGCCTAAGCTGACAGGTCTGTCCGAGATTTCCCAAAGACTCCTCAAGCTCTATGCAGATAAATTTGGAGCAGACAATGTGAAGATAATCCAGGATTCCAACAAGGTAGAGGAAAATCAGTTTTCATGCAAGTGCTAACAATTGACTGAGTTTTTTATTCTTTAACCACATTAAGTTTTCATTTTCTGCCTGATGATGCAAAGTAAACTACTAAAACGATTTTAGATGTTTTGCTTGTTTGCCTATTGGTTGGTTAGTTGGTTACTAATTTGAGGGAAGAAGAGTCAAAAACATTATATGTGTTTATTTGGGTAACTTTTAAAAAGATCTTAGTAAATTCTCTATGTCTCCATTGGTTATTTGCATTTGAATAGCAATCAAAGCCTTAGAGTAATTGGGCTCAGTGGTGGAACTGGAGAAAACAGCAAATTGAAAATATTTATTGTCAGGGAAGTCTTCCTAGGCGTATGAGTCAGGGTTCTCTAGAGGAACAGGACTAATAGAATAGATGTATATATGAAAGGGAGTTGATGAAGGAAGATTGACTCACACGATCACAGGGTGAAGTCCCACAATAGGCCATCTGCAAGCGGAGGAGCAAGGAAACCAGTCTTGTGTCCCAAAGCATCAAAAGTAGGGAAGTTGACAGTGCAGCCTTCAATCTGTGGCTGCAGGCCCGAGAGCCCCTGGCAGATCACTGGTGTAAGTCCAGAAGTACAAAAGCTGAAGAACTTGCAGTCTGATGTTAGAAGGCAGGAAGCATCCAGCACAGGACAAAGATGGAGGTCAGAGACTCAGCCAGTCTAGTCCTTGCACATCCCTCTGCCTGCTTTTATCCTGGCTGTACTGGCAGCTGATTAGATGGTGCCCACCCAGATTGAGAGCAGGTCTGCCTCTCCCACCCAGTTCACTGACTCAAATGTTAATCTCCTTTAGCGACACCCTCAATGGACACACCCAGGAACGATACTTTGCATCCTTCAATCCAATCAGGTTGACATTTAATATTAACCATCACAGTAGGCCACACCAATTTTGAAAGCTGTCCCCTATAATAGAGGCAGACTTGCCAGTTACATTACATTCACCTTTGAACATTCAGTTACCCTCCTCTTGGCTCCAGAAAGCAAATACTTACCTCTTCTCTTAGATTACTCAGCATCTTCTTATACACTCTTGTTCAGTTAGCCAACCTCTATCAAATGCCTACTGAATGCCAAGCCCAGAACTGGAGATGAGGCACACAGGGTCTCTTCCTTCTGGAGCTCACAGTTCACATGGGGCTAAGAAGAGAAGGACCTGTGCAAACAGCCAATTAAATAGATTACAATCAAGTATCACCAGAGAGGCAAAGTCCAAGTTGTACAAGGAAAGCTCAGGGCAGGGACCTCTCTCAACAGCTCATTCTTGGTTGGGCAGCATTACATAGAAGGGATGATGTTTGAGTTAGTCTGCTGGAAGCAAAGGGCATGCTGAGAAGCCCAGCACATGCAATGATGGGGAGGAATGAAAGAGGGAGATATGTGTAGAGAATGGCAGGCCTTTGAAACACAGGTTGGATAGAAGAGTGTGGCAGAAGATGGAGGTGGAAAAGATGGTTTTTGCACAATGGCATACAGTCCTATTGGGCTATAGAAGTCTTTTTTTTTTTTTTTTCTGTCCTCTTTTACAAACTCAAGTTTGGAGGCATCTGGGCATGAAATCCCTGAGTCTGGGCAGAAATTTTTGTGACTGCGTTCATCCTTCTCCTTCTCAGCTTGATGGCTACAGTCCCCTTCCCCAGAAAGGCAGGCAGCTAGAACTACGGTGTTGCTGGCTCTCCAAAGTAGAAAGTATGCACAGAGTTCCTGGTGCAGCGTGGGGGATGAGAAAATGCCAAATTTGGTATCAGAACAACTTGAGTCTTCATTCCACCATCCCACCACCTATCAGCTGATGATCTTAGAGAAATTAGTTGGTCACTCTAAATCTCTATTTTTGATCTATAAAATGGTTACAATTATACCTACCTTATAGTGTAATTAGTAGTAGCATTACAAATAAATTCAGGAGGTCCCTCAAATCTCTGGGACTCGATAGGCAGCGGATGGGTAGACAGATGGAGAAAACTGGAAGAATTTTTAAAATTCTTTGAGGTTTCATTAGAAAAGAAGCTGAGAACTCCATCTCTTCCAACTCCAAAGGAGAGCAAGTGTGATTTCCTGGATTTTCTTAGTACCCCCAGCCTGTCTTCCTTGCTATTTGTCAAACTCACTCCCCAAAGCAGAGTTGAATTTTTTAAAAATGCGTTGGATGACTTGTTACAGATTAGAGAAGGATCCTGACATTAAAACTACAAAATTTCGCAATCATGTAATAGGCTCCTCAGCTAATCTGCTAAATAAAACAAGGAACCTCCCTCCTTGCCACAAGCCCAAAGCCAGTGGCCCCAGTCTAGATACATGGGTAAAATCACAGAGGGACCAAAATATATTTTTTAAAAGTTTTCATTTGAAATACTGTCAAGAAGCTTGCATTCTAGGGCTGGGTGCAGTGGCCCATGGCTGTAATCCCAGCATTTTGGGAGGCCAAGAGGACAGATCTCTTGAGGCCAGGAGTTTGAGACCAGCCTGGCCAACACAGCAAAACCCTCTGTACTAAAAATACAAAAATTAGCTAGGTGTGTTGGCACATGCCTGTAATCTCAGCTACTAGAGAATCTGAGGCAGGAAAATCACGTGAACCCAGGAGGCGGAGGTTGCACTAAGCCGAGATCATGTCACTGCACTCCAGCCTAGGAGACAGAGCAAGACCCTGTCTCAAAAAAGAATAATAATAATAATAATGAACAAAATTAAGAAATAAAAGAAGTTTGCATTCCAGACAAAGGTGATTAAACATTCATTACAGCGAAGAGAGAAAATAAAGGACTAAATAACATGCCACAACCAGGCACATCTGGAAGAGCCTGAGCTACTTGGTGAGCTGGCTCCAATCCCCCCTCTACAGACCAGGCTGCTCAGGTGCAGTCCAACCTTTATTCTCTCTGTGATCCTGCCTAGCTCTGAAATGATGTGACTGCCTATTTTTCTCCAAGGGGAGAGGCACAGCCTCGTTGGTATGCAAGCTGAGGGAATGGGAGCTTCCTGCTTTCAGGAGCACTCCAGGGCACACCACTCACTTTGCCCATAATCTGTTAACACAGGTAAACCCCAAGGATTTGGACCCCAAATATGCCTACATCCAGGTGACCTATGTCACGCCATTCTTTGAGGAAAAGGAAGTTGAAGACCGGAAGACAGATTTCGAAATGCACCACAACATCAACCGCTTTGTCTTCGAGACGCCCTTCACGCTGTCGGGCAAGAAGCACGGTGGAGTGGCGGAGCAGTGCAAGCGACGGACGATCCTGACAAGTAGGTGCAGGCAGCCGGGCCACATGTGTGCCCCTGTTCCAGCACAGGCCCCTTTATAGGGCTGGATCAGTAGGCATCAAGAGTTATTTCAGTCCTGCAGAGAAGTACTCAAAATGTGCTAACTTGGAAATGTTTGCCAAGAAGAGATTTCCATCTCTTTATTCTCTATTAACAGAAGTCAACCAGAGGAGAAACTGTCAAAAGAGTTGCTTTGCATACCTGTTCCTTTTAGGTTGTAAGTGTGAAGGGTCATGGGGTCAGTGCCTTGGGAAAGGCACAAGGCACTCTGAACTTTCCTCTGAGTCTACCTTCAACTGTTTCAGGGTTAGCAGCTCTCATCATGTGCTTTGGGGCGACATTCTAAACCACCACTCTGGGATTCAAATTCTTCATCTGTAGAGCTAATGCAGATGTGGATCTCCAGTATCCCTCCATGTGCTCTCTAGATCTATGCTGTGAGCTAGCCATCCTTTCATTTCCTCAACACACATTTAATGAGGCCCTACTAGGGGCTAGGCACTGTTCCAGGTACTGGCAATGCAAATGAAATGTGATTCTTGCCCTCAAGGTGCTCACAGTCTGGTAGGAGAAAGAACCAAGTAAGGCAAGAATTTCAGGTGAGCAGAGCATGAGAAATGAAACAAGAGCACCCGTGGGGGCTCCTAAGGCTGGCTGCAAGGTGAGCAAGGGCATTCTGGAGGAAATGATCAGTAACCCGCTTTGGACCTGGGCCATCCCGGATTAGGCTACAGCCTGTCAGTAGCACTGACGTCTAAACTGTGACAAGCATCTGCCTTCAGCAAATGTATCCAAAACTTTTGAAATAAAAAAGCCACAACAAAGCTGTATCAATATATACTATTTGGCATATATTTAGGCATTCTGTATTGTGGGTTAGTATAGTTTTTATATGAATTACAAGTTGCTGTGGAAGCTTTAATCTTTTCAGTGTTTAGAAATTCTAAAGGCTGGCCGGGTGCGGTGGCTCACGCCTGTAATCCCAGCACATTGGGAGGCGAAGGCGGGCGGATCATGAGGTCAAGAGATTGAGACCATCCTGGCCAAGATGGTGAAACCCCATCTCTACTAAAAATACAAAAATTAGCTGGGCGTGGTGGTGCACACCTGTAGTCCCAGCTACTTGGGAGGCTGAGGCAGGAGAATCACTTGAACCCGGAAGGCAGAGATTGCAGTGAGCCAAGATCGTGCCACTGCACTCCAGCCTGGCGACACAGCGAGACTCCATCTCAAAAAAAAAAAAGAAAAAAAAGAAAAAAACTCTAAAGGCCTAAAACAGCCCTGAGAATGAGGGCCTGTTAGCAGTGAAGGCAGAAGAGCACACCAGGTCAAAGGAGTTTGGGCAAAAGCTAAGAGGTATGAGAGAGGATGGCACCTAGCAGAAAAAGTAACTCCCACGCATGAAAAGCATGCAGAATGGAAGGTGCCATGTGCCGTGAAATGATAGGTGATTCTCTGGTCCTTCAGGGAAACCCTTGACTCTTCACTAATCCTCAACCTTGAAATCCCTTTTATATGGCTTTTGTGCAGCGAGTCACCTGTTCCCCTACGTGAAGAAGAGAATACAAGTCGTTAGCCAATCGAGCACAGAACTGAATCCAATTGAAGTGGCAATTGACGAGATGTCCAAGAAGGTTTCTGAGCTTAATCAACTTTGCACAATGGAAGAAGTGGACATGATCAGACTGCAGCTCAAACTGCAAGGAAGTGTCAGCGTGAAGGTGAGTAAGCATTGCCCAGGGCTGAGATGCACATGGCCAATGAAACAGGGTGGAAAATGCCCTGGGAACTTTGTTTACAAAGAATATAAGAAACATTTTTCTGTTTGTGAGAACACCTTTATCTGGGTCTTTAAAATTGCTTCGAGTTGTCAATGTGCATTAACGTTACTCGAAACCTGTAGATATCTCTTTCTTAGGTTTAGCTGAAATAAAATGTATTCTTCCTCCACTCTGCTATCCCATCTTCTATGGATAACTGTGTCCTATATCTGTATACTAACAAATGAATTAACAAATGAAGAAACACCACATTCTTGTACATATTTGTCATTAAGGGCCTTAAAAAATTGTTCCGAAACAAATCCAAAAAAGAATGATTACTAGTTCATAAAAGGTGCATACATGTTTATCTGTCTGGCAGAGCTGTGACAGGAAGCAGCTGGCATGCTCAGTGAGTGATTGAGGAGGATAGAGTAAATAAACTGTTCCCAAAAATGTGTGCAGCATTTGGGAAAGCCAGAAAGGGCTGGCACAGGGACTGGCAGCACTCAGGCGGTGTGACCAGTGTAGACCTGAAGATGTAAGCAGAGGAGGGTTAGTGGAAGCAGACAGGGGAGCTGAGAGGTCTGTCTGATGACAGACAAGTAGACAGGAGTGGCTTCAGCTGGCGATAAGGAGGCTTCTGCAAGCAGGAAGCCTGGGGCCTAGTACTCTGACCAGAGCCAGGCAGGTGAGGTGAGTAAGGCACTCACCTCGGGCACAAAATTAAAGGGAGCCCCAAGTAAATCAGGAATAAGGCATGAATTTTTATTTATTGTATTAATAAATTGATCCTAAGTATTCATAAGGAACAAAGTATTAAATTTTAAAATAAAGGAAGATCAGTAGTAGCACCCTGCACAGCTGTATTGGAGCCTAAAAGCCAAAGGCGGCTGGACGCAGTGGCTCACGCCTGTAATCCCAGCACTTTGGGAGGCTGAGGCGGATGGATCACTTGAGGTCAAGAGTTCGAGACCAGCCTCGCCAACATGGTGAAACCCCACCTCTACTAAAAATACAAAAATTAGCCGAGCATGGTGGCACACGCCTGTGATCCCAGGTACTTGGGAGGCTGAGGCAGGATAATCGCTTGAACCTGGGAGGTGGAAGTTGCAGTGAACTGAGATCGTACCATTGCACTCCAGCCTGGGTGACAGAGCAAGACTCCATCTCAAAAAAAAGAAAGAAAGAAAGAAAAAAAAGCCAAAGGAAAAATTAATGCTACTGATCCTGACACTGACCACACTCTCCCCTTCCCTACCTCCCTTGTCTGTGTCCCCCATGGGCCGAGAAGGCCAGAAAGCATGAGAGCCATGGTCCTGTCCCATGCAGGATGACTTCCCTAGGCACATAGCTGAGTGGAGGGAAGTGGAGATTGGATCTGAAGAAGCAAAAGATGGTACACCCAATACCAGTGACTGCATCTGCCACACTGGCCATGCCTGCTGGTCACAGGCCCCTGAAGTCAGCTTCCTTCATCTTTTACCATTTTCCTTCCCAAGTCTGACAGCCACATTAAAAGCTTCTATGCACTAAAGGATTTGGACTCCTGCACAAGTGAGGCCATCCGTGTGCATGAGCATGAACTGAACCCAGCATTGTGCATTCATTCAGCAAATCTGATAAATGCCTCCTTGAGCCAGAATCTAAGCCAGACCATGAAATGGAACCCAGTGAAACAGTGATTCCGGGGCAGTGCCCGCACCACCACCACTGTGGGTTATCCCTTCAAAGTAGTATGTGTTTATCTGAGTGTTAATAGAGAAAAACTAGCACTTCAAACATTTGATTTCACAAATGTTCAATTAAATAAATATCCTGGAGTTACTAGAAGTGAGTCTAGTTTTAAAAGCTATTAAGAAAACGGCAGATTCGGTGGGTGGGTCATGCCTGTAATCCCAGCACTTTGGGAGGCCGAGGCGGATGGATTGCTTGAGGCCAAGAGTTCGAGACTAGCCAGGACAATGTAGTGAGACCGTCCCCATCTCCAGAAAAACTTTTTTAAAAAAATTAGCCAGGCATGGCAGCAAACGCCTGTAGTCCCAGCTACTTGAGAGGCTGAGGCTAAAGGATTACTTGAGCCCAGTAGTTTGAAGCTGCAGTGATCATGCCACTGCACTCTAGCCTGGGCAACAGAGTGAGACCCTGTCTCCAACAAAGAAAACAATGAAGAAAAAAAAATAGCAGTTCAGGTAATGTGCAGATATGGCAAAAAAAAAAAAAAAAATATGGCAGGGTTGGCAAAGGACTGAAGTTTAGGAAGTTTGTCAATGAAAGGTAGAGCTCAGACTCATGCTTTATTGACAAGTTGGAGGACGGCAACTAAGTCAGGTATACAAATGAGTGGACTAGAAGGCAGGGTGTGAGATCGGGGTACCACACCATTGGTGCACAGTTGCTACTCCTTCCATGCAGAAGGTAGATCTTCCTCCACCAATTTTCTTCTCAACAGGTTAATGCCGGGCCAATGGCCTATGCACGAGCTTTTCTTGAAGAAACCAATGCAAAGAAGTACCCTGACAACCAAGTAAAGCTTTTGAAGGAGATCTTCAGGTAAGCTTCTCTTTGTTGGAATGTTCTTCCTTGAACTTCCTCAGACAGGGAGTCCTCAATCCCCCAAGAATCCATCCCACCAAAACTCACTGAGGTGGCAGAGTCCATCAGCAGCCTGACTCTGAACTCAGTCACTGAACTCAATGCCACTTGCGAGGACTGGTTTTTAATTTGTTTAATGCTGTTGCTAAAGGCAATTTGCAGATGCATGTGGGCAGGCCCTTGACGTGAATGAGCGCCTCATCAAAGAGGACCAGCTGGAGTACCAGGAAGAACTGAGGTCCCACTACAAGGACATGCTCAGCGAACTCTCCACTATCATGAATGAGCAGGTAAGCGCTCCTTGGTGCACATGCGCGATCAGTGGACAGAAAATCCCTTTCACCCCCAATGCCAGAAGGACAGGAAAGAGGCCCTTTTCTTGCTGCAGAAATCACTGCATCAGCGCCATGTTGCTGATCTATTTTCTCTCCTGTGCACACCACCTCTTGCCCCAAAGCAGAGGTCAGGTTGGGGAAAAATCTATAGAAAAGGATTATGAGAATCCAGATACTTTCCACAGTCCACATGAACCCTTGCTTGTTCTAGACTATGTGAGTCCCATCAAATGCTGAGGAACACTGGGTGGCATTCCCATGAGGGTTTGCTGCCACCCTCCGCCATCCCTGGTTGAGGACCGCACAACCCCAAGGCCGTGATGTGGAGTCCACAGTTGAGGGGGTCTCTGCACTATACTCAGGATGAACCCCAAGACTAGTCATGGCTGTTTGCTACCAAGACTGCCTCTGTGGCGGCTGGGCCTCCTGCAGATGTGCAGAATTCAGATAAAACTCTACCACCCACTCCATAAGCAAGTCATCCGTGATGTCTCGATGTGTACAGCATGTTCTGTAAGGCTGCACACAAAATGTGGGCATTCAGTCATCTCAGTACTTTCTGGGTGGCTAAAAATCAACTGGTTGAAAGCCAAATGTTACTTCCTGGCCGAGTTCCTAGAATTCATAAATACCCCCACGCTCTACCAGCACATCTCAGTACCCGTGCCCCCCCCATACCCCCACACTCTACCTGCACATCTCAGCACCCGTGCTCCCCCCATACCCCCACGCTCTACCTGCACATCTCAGCACCCGTGTCCCCCCATACCCACACGCTCTACCTGCACATCTCAGCACCCCTGCTCCCCCCATACCCACACGCTCTACCTGCACATCTCAGCACCCCTGCTCCCCCCCATACCCCCACACTCTACCTGCACATCTCAGCACCCGTGCTCCCCCCATACCCCCACACTCTACCTGCACATCTCAGCAACCCGTGCTCGCCCATAAACCCCCGGGGCTTTCTACCCTTGCACCCATCTTCGCAACCGGTGCTCCCCCCCATACCCCGGCTCTACCTGGCACTTCCTCAGCCCACCCGGTGGTCCCCCGCATCACCCCCGCTTCTAGACCTGCACATCTCAGCACCCGTGCTCCCCCCATACCCCCACGCTCTACCTGCACATCTCAGCACCCGTGCTCCCCCCCCCATGCCCTCACATTCTACCTGCACATCTCATCACGCGTGCTCCTCCCCAGGACTTAGATGTTTTCTCTACAGAAAAACTGAGGGACAGAACTTGAATTAGCCTCCCAGTAGTGCTTCATACATGGTAGCCACCCACTGAATATGCATTTCCCTTGTTTTCCTTAAATGGCCTGGCATCAATACGATTCACAAACCATGAAGTGTGTTGTATTAATCTGTTTTTTCTAATTGCATTTCCCATCTTGCTGCTTTTCTTTTTTTCCATCTTCTTCCATCTTGATTTTTAACTCTCCATTGTAGCTAGAGAAAGAAATGGTTGACCGAGTTACATTGGAGAAAATGAATTGCTGTAGATAGGATTCCTCATGGAGGTAGTATTGGTTTGGGCTACTTGAGGGGTGATGGGAATTAGGTACTCAGGAGAGATGACATGATAGAATGGGGAAAATCATAAATCTGGGAGTGAAATAAAAAGAACAAACGATGGATCTGAAAGTTTGGGAAGTTGGTGAAGGAATGCTTGTCTCCAACTGTCAATCACATCTGACCTAGAAACTTTGCACAAAAATGCTTTTTCTCTTTTTTCCTGACAGCTCTGTCGAGGTCCCTGTTTATACAGCTTCTGTTCCTCTGTGTCTAGTATTTCCCTCAGTACTGTAAGCAAAAGTGGTATGTTTTTCTTTCTTTATGTCTACTCTGTCCTTTGTGGCCTTCTGGTGTACCCCTCTCTTCCTAGCCATTCAGTTTCTCTAGTCACCTCCATAGTAGCTAGTACTCTCTAAGTTTTTATTTAATTAGAACAATTCCATTTCCATTTCAAGGGAGATCAACGGGGTGGGGGGGAAAGCCTAGTGATTTAAACTGAAGTTAACAACGTAGCTTTTAAAATGAAAATGCATACTCCAACTTTTAAAATATATTTGAGCTGATTCGTTTCCAAAACAAAGATATGCTATACCTCAAAGTGCTAAAACAAAAATATAAAGACAAGGACCAGGTGCTTAAGGGGAGAGAAAAATCATTTCTTTTCCAGGAAACCTTTGCTAAAAGAAGCAAAACTTGACTCTGCCTCGTGGAAACTGACACAAAGAAAAGAAACTGATGGATTGCACAGGCCTTGTTATAGAAATAGATCTGTAAAAAGATCTGTCCACAGGAAAGATACACCTCCTCCTGGTTCTGAACTTCAGTGGGGATTTGTCACCTAGGTCTCTATCTATCGGAATGCCTTCACATACCTATCTATTCATGCACATATTCTGAAAACAGGTACATATAAAATTACAATGAAGAAAAAAATTCTATTGAACACTTGAAAATAGAAACAGGCTGGGCACAGTGGCTCACGCCTGTAATCCCAGCACTTTGGGAGGCCGAGGTGGTTGGATCACCTGAGGTCAGGAGTCGCGAGTGCGAGACCAGCCAGACCAACATGGTGAAACCCCGTCACTACTAAATACAACAAAAAAGAAAAAAATTAGTCGGGTGGTGGCACATGCTTGTAATCCCAGTTACTCAGGAGGCTGAGGCAGGAGAATCACTGAACTCAGGAGGCAGAGGTTGCAGTGAACCAGATCATACTATTGCACTCCAGCCCTGAGTGACAAGAGCAAACTTCCGCTCTTTAAAAAAAAAAAAAAGCAAGAAAAAGAAAAAAGAAAACAATTAGAATGGATAGCTAGACATCAAAATATAAAAAAGAAATAGAAAAAACATAGAATTAATTATGTGTAAGCAACCCAGATTTGGCTGCTCTTCTGCTCAAAAGCCGAATGCTAGAAGTGAGAGTTGATGGAAGAAAGCAGGC